TTCTGATTCCCTCTTGAGTATTAGCATCAAATATGATAATAACATAATTAATAATAGATACACTATAATTTAATTGTTAATTTGTTTAATTTTAATACTTTGTATTAATAATCATGGTCTGCAAAGTAAAAGCATAAAAAGTAAATTTACCTATTTGCCTCCATTTTAACAGTTTGATGGGTAAAACATTATATATTGTGCAGCAGTACCAGGGATAAACCTTCGTACAAGTCTAAAGTTGATTAAATCAGAGAACATCTTAAAATAGCCTTAAAAAGATGGCGTCTCAGCCCTTTGTAGCCTGATTTATACTTTGAGTAAAGCTTGGAACATGTAATCTTAGCCGCTCTGCCACCGTGTGAATGTGTGTTTGACTAGTGTTTTGTTGTTTGTTGGATGCTGGAGGAAAACAATGAAAGTATACTTTATTGTGTTTTATCCCTGGTGATTGTGGCTACAGCCATGTAGAGTTGAAGTCTTTTTTAATCAAATAAATTAAGTCAATCACTGGTTCAAAAGTTACCGTAATACATGGCCATTCCGGTTAAGTTACAGCAATAACTGCATCCACTGTAGACAACTGTAATTAGATTATAATAGTCATTACAACCAGTCATTCTTCCAGGTAGGCTCTGGATTTGAATGTAATCTGGGATTTGGTGGCTCAGTGCTGAGTGGTGTGGAAACCCAGGAACTAGCCTGCATTTACTTTACATACAATACTATATGCATGCTAGTGAGAAAGACTGCTAACACTTGAGAGTTTATAAGTGTGAGAACGAGAGATTACATAAGTGGTTATGCAATCTTACTGTAATACTTGGCCAGAACAGTTATGTTATTTTCAAGGACTGAGCTGGGTATAATGGCAGTAGCCTAACCAGAAAGTATACTGGTTAAAATATATGATGGCGCAGTTAAGTATCTGTCTGTGTAAGTGGTTTGAAGTACCTTTCAGCAAGGAAGAATCCAACCTGCTTGTGTGTATAAGCTGAAACCTTCTTTACAGCTTTAACAGTCACATAAAAAGGAGATGAAATTGGAAAACACATCCAAAAGAAAGAAGAAGTGGTTAAGATGAAATGAAAATAGCTTAATAAGCCATGCATGCTGTTATGTAAACACTTCACATGAATTCTGTCAGTCACACACACAAACACACACTCCTCGCTCATGTGTATGCTCATGTCATGAGGTAAGCTCATCTCGTCACTCGTTCTTTATTAATACAGGATTACATTTATTCTCAATCCCAAACGCACACACACACTCCACATGAGCCTCACAAAAGTGCACACACTGTCTGCCAGGGACCGTCAAAGGTAGCAAGGCAGTCAGGTAGTTGTGTGCCACCAGCTGGCATCAGGGGAGCTTCATCCTTTTTGAATGCCACAAGCCCATGGAGGCCTGGTGTTCATTTGGCTGCTAAAAGAGGCTTTACTGGACAACAGGTGGATTTACGTTAGACAAGAATACACTTCAGTTTTGTAAATCCAGTTTCATGAAGGTAAGATAATTATTAAACGTGTGTTCTGGTTAGAGCAAGACAATAACAGGTGATAATCTCCTGAAGAAAACTTTGCTTGTATTGACTAGTGATATGAGCTGCTTGCATTTACATGTGGACTGTTAAGTCTATTATGAGTCACACACTGATGAAATAGATCTAGCATGAAGGTTACTTCAGAGGTTTCTGTCTGAGAATATGAAATATTACATTTTCTACACATTTGCAGTAGTTGTGATTAAGTTATGTGCATCTAAAATGTACAAAAATTCTTCTACAGACCGACTGTTTATGTGTTTTTATGGTCTCAAATGTTTCTATGACCTTTTAATTTGTCTTTGTCCTCCATTATAATTCTAAAATAGTAAAACCTTTAATATGAACTTGCTTTAAGTTTGCTGTCATGAATGCCACATCCAGTTATAAAGAAAATTTCATTTTTTTTCTACCTTAAACTATGAACTAACTCTCCATCAATCCTTTCTACTTTTCCCAGATGTTTCCTTGGTCCGCTGTTTTCTCTCTTGAGCCTAAAGTGCCTGGCCAGCGCACCACTGAGGAGTTGGTAACCAATACTCTGATGTTGGAGTTAGGCGCCATGGTGAAACGCACTGAACGCATCCGTTTAGAGAGGGCAACAGAGGGCCGGCGCCGCCGGCGCAGCTCATCCTCCACAGCTGACTATAGCTGGCTGGCCAACACCCCAACCCCACAACCCTACGAGCTGACACCCAACGACCTGCTGGAGCTGCAGGACCTCTGTGCCAAGATCCCTCCTGCACAGTGTGGCCCTGCGATCGTCAGGTGAGGAAGACAACAAGAAAGACAGGGAGGCATACAGAGAGGCAGACATACTTTAGATACAAACTGGCAGGAAGAGCAAGGTATAAGTGTTACTACAATTGAGAGAGTATAAAACAGACTGAAACAGAGAGATGCAGAAAAATGCAAAGATATAAAAGATGGAGAGAAACAGAGACAATGTTAGAGACTAAAACAGAGGACAGGTAAGTTGAAATAGAGTATGAGATACAGGTATGAACACCATATGAAGAATATGCACAGGAAGAGAGCTGCAGGGTTTCAATCTAATCCCTGTAACATCCTTAACTATAACTCAGAGAGCAAGCTGATAATTTCATAACCCAATTCTTTCTCTAAGAGACTACGTGCCTGACATTTAAACGTTACATGCCTAAACACGGCTCAAACACCTGTTCTATCCTGCTCACAACTTGTTTGTTGTAACTGGCCGATTAATCCATAATGAAAATATTTATTAGTTGCAGCCTTGCAAGGGTCAAGGGTTGTCACTGAATTCATGGTTGACTTCTAACTTCTGCGAACAATTTCCCATTAAATTATGTTTCTTTTTACTTTTTTTTAAAAAATTTTTTACTGGTTCTATCTGGTCTCAGCCACCTTCCAGTACACGTTAGTGTAATCAGGTTTCATATCCTACCAAGGGCATAGCTAGAGATTCTGGACGCCTTTAAAACAGTGCATTGTGATGGCACCCCCCTTATGACTACATCTGTCTGTCTCTGCCCTCAGACTGTGTTCCTGTCTTGTTAACCCAGATCGGTTGGTCTGCATCTTCACTGTTCCTTATTCCTCCTTCTGTAGATTCAGAAGGCTGGTGTCACAGATGGAGCCTGAGGTTCATGAGGTTCCTCGGCTGTTTCGCTCTGTACTGCGCGAATGTGTGGAAGAGCAGAATGGAAACGAAGATGTTCAGACCCAGGACACGGTGATTGAGAAGCAGCAGCGCAGCAAGAGCCTCTCCTTCGTTAATTTCCGCACAAAGTTTCGCACGGGGCAATTCTTCAAGGGCAGCAGCATGAGAGGTTCCAGAGGGAATCTGCAGCAGCAGGTAGATTGGTCCGACGAGGAAGATGATGGAGAAAGAGAAGAGGAAGCCATTAAGGCCAGGGCAAGGAAAGGAAGGAGCAAGAGCATGCCAGAGATTACCCCCATGGAGCAAAGCGCCCAGGGGTGAGAGAAAGGAGGGAGAGTCAGGGGAGAGGAGGGAGGGAGGGAAAAGGGGGGTTATAGAGGGCTAGCATAAATATGGGGAGGAAAGAAAAACAGGAAACGTTAAGAATGGAGGGAAGGTAGGATTCAGGGGAAAAAAAGAGACAGAATAGATTTGAAAAATTTTCATTTAAAAGGATTTTTTCCCCTTCAGAAAACCTGTCTACTTGCTAATGAACTTGAAGTCTTCAGTCCATCCCAAAAGCACTACTGTTCTGGTTTTAAGATGTCTGAAGCAGAAAGGTTAACATTTTGTTTTATTATGCTGAGGGGTCGAAGTCTTTAGCTATGCTAGTTGCTCTTTGACACTGCTAGCATCATCCTAACATGCTGCAGTGAAAATGCTGACATGCTTATGTTTCGCAAGTATAATGTTCACCATGTTCACCATATTAGTTTAGCAAATATTAGCATGCTAATATTTGCTAATTAGTGCTAAGCACGACTTAGAACTGAGGCTGATGGGAATGTCATCAGTTTTGCAGGTATTTGGGCATATTTCGACCTGATGATGGTGCTAAATGAAAAATTAAAGGCTCAACAAAGTTAATACAATTAATCATGACAATACAACCAAATGTTGTGGAGACATTTCACTGAAAAACACAATCTGTGAACCTCATGGTGCCACTAGATGAAAAAATCTGTAGGATTCATCGTCTGTGGACCAAGGACGTCTGGACAAACTTCCACAGCAGTCCCTCCAGTAGTTTTTCAGATATTTCGGTCTGTACTGTGTTGAGTAAAATGGCTAACCTTCGCATGCTTCAGGTATCTCTAAAACCAAATGAATGATGCTCCCTGAACAACAGTTCTTGATGAGTCAATTACACATCTCATGAACCGTCCCTTTAAAAACATATTGTGTAACCAACAGGACAGCTGTCAGTAGATGACAGGAAGTTCAGCTCAGGCCACTTGTCTGGATATTCAGCAGCCACAGTTCAGCTCAGTTAGTGGCTGCTCTCCTAGCGTATCCATTAAGCAAATCCTTGCAAGCAGGGAATAACTAGAATCATCTGTAATCTTTTTTTATTGTGAATATAAAATTTATTTGGGGAAATACAATGTACAATGAAATACAATGTTCTTGTCACTTCTGTGATTAAAACGTTGCTTTTTTCACAAATATGTGTTTTGTGGTTTAAATGAGTACAGCTGTCTGACATTTGAGACTAAACTGTAAACTTTTCATATCTAGTAGTGTTTACACGAGATGCATTGACCTTTCTCACTTTTTTTTGCGGTTGACAAGGCAAAATGTTTATATGTACAGCTATCTGGGGCCAGTACTATGATAAATGAAAGGAAGGAAAAATAAATACCATATGTCTTTGTGGTGTGAAACTGCAGCGCGGCACTGTTTAGCACCTCTCTGTTGGCTAGTCTCATAGTCCAGCATGGCTAATAATATCACTGCTGACTAATCCTCTTATCCCAAGAAAATCTCAGCCATCACTGCCAGCACCCCATTATTATTTTATTAATATGCACTTTCTTATCAATACATCATTATCACTATTTGCACTTTGTACATTAAAGTCAAGGCTTTTGGCTAAAAAGAAAGAAAAAAAAAAGACGGGGAAAAATAGGAAGAATGTTTTCTTTCTTCTTAAAAAGCTGTGGTCATTTAAATAACATCCTGTACATTAGATAAAGAGGGAAAGTAACTACAACAGTGACATCCAACCAGACACTTCCAGGGAATCTGGCTGATTGAGTCACTTCATCAGTGGGCCTTCAAACCAGTGTAACCCCTTCATAAGCACTGATGTCGAACCTGGATCCTGTTCAGAGACTCATAAGCTGAAGTCTTGCTGCAGCAATCAATGTGTGAGGCTTGCACTTTCTCAACAATTCAACTTGCCTCGTGGCTGCTAACCACACGGTTTAATTTAAAACATTTTTGTTACACTACTTATCAACATTCGTACAGCTCATGCCTGAATTATGTAGCAAAGCTCCCTTCAGCTGGCTCTTAATGCCTTTTCATGCCTTCAGGAGACAGAAATGCTGGACCACAGCGAGTGTCTCTGTAATGTGTCACAGTTCAATAAAAGTACCCATTTGGCAAATAGACTTTGAAAGAAAAACAGAATGTAAATGGATAAAAAAAAAAAAAATTCACATCATAACTGAATGGTGGCAAGTGAATAATTGCTAATAACTGAGACACAGGCTTTCTCTTCAATAAAAAGCAAGTAAACTAAGAAGCAAAATAATCTGAGGATAAACTCCAGTTCTGTTGTTTGGCTTTGAAATAACAATAATAATGATGATGTGGCAAAGGGAGTAAACAGGAAAAAAAAATCTAAATTAAAAAGACAGTTTGCAGAATCAAACCATTAAATTAGCCATTTTTGATTAAATGTTTATGAATAGTTGGTCAAAGTACAATACAGAGCAGTTTTCTGCTCTCTCTATACAAAGTAGGGATTTTAGATAATTTATTCTTTTTATTTGGACAGAGTTCAGCATCTTCTTTCTTCACTGAATTGTTGAATTAAGATCGAGAGTCTGTGGCTTGGGAATAACCGACAAGTCTGTATTATTTCTGAGTGGATCCCAAGCCTTCCATCAAACCGTCACTTTGATAGAGGAGTCTGTCCTTCAAATAAGACGTCTGGGACATGTGGTCTCAGTCCAGCTTCAGTTTTAGCTTCAGCTTCCCCTCATTCGATGTGCTTTTCCCCTCCCTTCAGCCACTCCTCATTTCTTTAGGCAAAGAAGACGACAAAGACGATGAAGAAGACGACGAGGACGAGAAAGATCTTGATCATCAGCCAGCGGTTGGAGGAGACTGACTGGAAGTATTTGAGGATCTCTGTGTGGGCGGCCTCCACGTTAAGCTGTGTGTCTTCCACGTTTGCATCGATCCTGTAAAAGAGACATGACAGGCAGATCAGTGACACTGGGCTTTTAACAACAGATGCAAATTACATTACACCTCATCAGTTTTCTCAAATCAGTTATTTTTGACATTTTAGAGACTAAAAGACTAGTCAAGTAATCACTTATATAACTCAGATTAATTCAAAATGAAAAAATTGTTAGTCAAAATCTTGATGATCTTATCATGGAGCAAGTTGTAAAAACAAACAAAAACAGTTATTGATATGAACAATCTGATGTAATTTGATAAGATAAGTGACTGATTTTGCCTATATTTCCCATATAGTTAGTTATATCCCAAAATATACATATTGATATTGTAATAATGATTTAAACCATATCACCCAGCCCTGACTCATTATTCCCAGAGTTTATTGAAGGGACAGAATTTCATGTTCAAGATTGTCATCACAAACTAGTTGCATTTATTTCTCTCCATATGCCTCTTTTATTTACAGTATGTGTTTCCATCTTACCTCTGGATCGTCTCCTCTTGCTCCTTGACCATGTGTGCCAGCTGTTGGAATATAGAGCCCAGTTCCACAATGGTGCTCTCAATGTTCTGCATGGTGTCTGCACGGCTCTGGATGTATGAGTCCTGTAATGACACAGGCAGCAGGATTATAAAAAGGGCCATGTTAGAGCACATAAATGGACAGTTTACATATTTGGTGACAGTTTTCACCAAACATCTTAGTCTACCTGCTCATCAATAAGTTGGAGTTGCAAGGGATTGGTCTGAGAGTCCATATCGATGGCCACATCCCCCAGACTCCGGGACTCATCCTGCATCAGGACTGAGCTCTCTGAAGAGAGACAACAAGCAAAACACAAACGCATGTTCAACAAGATTAGACAGAAATCCTCAATGGTAGAGGGGAAAAGCAGTGAGAACAGCGGGCACATAGAGTAGCTAGTTATACCTGCTGGGAGAGTCAAACGTTCCAGGGAAATACCTTTTAAATTTGAGGTTGTATAGCCCTGGTAGTCATTGCGCGGCTCGCGAGCTGCATGCGGCTCCTGGGCCCCTTTTTTGCGGCTCCCTAAAATATTTTTTAATTTTTGCATTATAGAGGACCAAATACAGTAATAATCATTCACAAGGACTAAGAGCAGTTCCCTATCACAACAGCTGTTGTTTGAGAAGTACACTGGCAGTCAAAGTTTCTGTCCAACCCATGCCATTTCTGAATACATTTCAAGCAATGTGCCCATTGTAAATACCCTAAAATTAGAAAATACAAAAGAAAATATAAAGGAATGGGTGCACTGAAAAACATTATATTATGGTAATAATGACTGTTTGTTTTTACTTTGTCATGAGGAAACATGTTTTGGTTTCAAATATCTTATCTCTATTTAAGTACCTTATTGTTGACAAGCACATTGGTAATAATGGGACCATAATACACAAAAAGTCAGATGTACTGGACATTACTGTGAGTCTCAACAGTTAATTAGACCCAGATCATTTCAATAAAATAAAATGTTGTAAACATTCTGAATTTCCATCTAATAAATGTTTATATGTTTGAATGTGTATATAATTCTAAGGTATTTACAATGAGCACTTCGCTTGAAATTGCCAAAAATACTGAAATACCACAGGCTGTTCATGAACATTTTACTGGCAGTGTGAATGCGTGCACAGGAAGCGTCTGAGCTCCCCATGTTTAATAGAAGGTGTCTGATAAGTAGCCTGTTTGGCTATTTGTTTAGCTAAATTATAAACTGAGCAGGAGCCAGACATGTCGAATATTGCAACAAAGCCAAAACAAAGACATAACAAAAGGTGTGTTCACTCTATTACACTTCTTTAAACTGTCAGCGCAGATTTTATGAATTAGATGAACAAATGAAGAGCGGGAAAAGACTGATTTCTACAATTGGGAACTATTGAAATTTTTAGAGGAATGCACATGAACCAGGACATAATTTATGAGGGTAGAGTTTATGCTACATATATGGTTACAGTCGATATGAAACCAGGATGTAACAACAGAAACTTAATATTCACTCTAACCCTCGTCTGTGCTGCAGGAAATGATTTTTTAGTTTATAATTTGAATGTAAGACAGCTGCTCATTGGTACTGACAAAGTTGAAACCTTGTGAAGGATTTTAATCAGCACAAAATGTGTCTGAGGCAAAACTTTTCCCATCGGTATAGAGTGAACACTCCCTTAAGAATCTACATCAACATGCTTTGTTTACCTGTTGCTGCCATTACTTTAATGCAAGACCCTTGTTTAAAAAAAAAAAAAAAAAATCACAGCGAGTGACTACAAGCATGAAGCTAAGATGTGAACAGACTTACTGAAGTTGTTGGCCATCAGAGGAGAAGACGAGACAGGAGGCTGGGAGAACTGCTCTCTCCTGCTGCGCTGCTGCTTCAGGTTCTGCAGGAAAACAGACAAATGATACAGGGGGTGAACATGACTGAGACAAAACCTGTGTCAGTTTCACAACTTTAGTTTTTAATATTTTCTGACTTTGAATGATGAAGTATACCAAATGTCAAGTGTACCTCACCTCTGTTCTGACTTCTAGGACTGATTTGAAGTCATTCGACATTGAAGCCAGTTTGGACTGTAGACAACAAAAGATGCAGCAAAGTTAAACAAAGTGCTGCTTAATTCAGCTGGGTACATTTGTTACAGGACACCAGTGTGAACAATATTTTTTTTACAAACATTTTCTGATGGTTTTGTATTTCTTATGATATAAAACTACTTCAATGGAAAACTATTTTTATCTTTAAAACTGTACACTTTATTTTATTTTATGATAACAAACTTCACGTTTTAATTGTTCTAGTGCAAATATACAATATAGTATGAATTAGACCTTATTGAATATACCTGTAATGACACCACGATAGTGTTTGAGTGGGTTTGGATATGCCTGCCACCCGGGGCTCCACGGGACCTCACCAAGTCCTGCAGCTGTGCTATCTGTTTGTTTAGACTGTTGATGTCCTAAAAACACAAACACGGGAGAGGTAGAAAACAATTTAATTGATATTTACAGGATTGTAGATAGCTGCTCTATTCATAAATAACATATGTTTGCAAAACCACATTTCATGGGATGTTAACCATTCAACTCACTTGTTTAATGATGTATGTTAGCTCCTCAATCTCCACTGCCTTGTCATCAAACAGAGATTTTCTTTTTGCCACTAAAGCATCAAAATGACAGCATGTAGAGTCAGAGCTTTGGACCATAACACACACAAACTCATAACATTTTAATTGATGCTAATATAACAATAATAGATGACTTACAAATAGTGAGCTTTTCCAGTTTGGCAAATGTATTGCTCAAGTCTTTCCCAATTCTCCTACAAGAAAACAAACACAAATTTAGCATTCTTTGTCACTCTGGGAAATATGTTGGTTTTGATTCTTACCAGGAGTTAGATAAGATGATAAGATCAATTTATACTGTGTCTGTGTCTCATCGCTCAGAATATTTTATATGTCCTGAACAAATGTTTCCACTAAAAATTTACATCAATCTTCTCATTTCACTCGCAGTGATCCAAATGCAGTATTTTCATGTATCCCTTACAAGCAAAATAAAGTTGTATTTCATATGCAGTAAGGATGAGGAGGATAATAATGTGTGAATACAAACAATGCAACACCCAAAAATCAACATAAAAGACCAAGTGCATTCTGCAAATATCCATGAGCTGTTAAAACACACGAGAAAACCAACTATAAGGAACTTACTTGGCCATAACGGTAAAGTCACTGCGCTGCCTGAGAGCGCTGAGAGCTGGTTTACTGGGCTGGACTCCATTCTGCCAGAGGGGTAAAAAGTACAGAGTATGAGATGGAAAGGGAAATCAAAAATAAGGGGCTGAGGAGCAACTGTGGAAATATGACAACAGGTTTCCTCAACATTGACTTTGGACTACTAAACAGGTCAAGTAAAGGGGAATTCTTTGCTTCCCATTTTATTGATCTTCTAAACATTGTAGTCAGTTCTTAAGTAAAAATGCCACATATTTCCTGTTACATGCTTTCTTTTAATACTTTATTATTAGTACACAATTTATGCAACAGGCTTTTGGGTTGTTGGTCAAACTAAGTAAACATTTGTCATGGTGCCCTATGTGCACTGGCAACTTGTAAATATAATCTGATACTAGATTGAGACTGATTCAACAGGGTTTAAGGGTTTGAAAACAAAAAAATCTGATTACAATACATTGACAATATTGCCATTTTAACATATAACTCAACAAGCCTTTTTGATAAGAATCCTTTTGAATTTGTCTTTTAAAGAACTGAGACCAAGATATGTACTGAGGACATTTTGCAGTTGAAAAATTGACTTGTTAGTGTTCTGTGGTGGACTAAAGTGTGTGTGTTTCTAAATTGCCTCCAACATATCTATCTGTCATATATACTAATATCAGTATCTCTACAATAACTAATATCGGCCAATATATTCAATTTGTGCGTAACTTGACCTAAAATTGCCTAAAACAAAAGTCTGAAAAAAGTCCCAGAAGGTATAAAAAGTCTTACATTTTATTTACAAAGCCTTGGATATTTTTCTTCCTTTCTGTTGACAGTAACGTAAGACATAACCTTTTATAGGAGCCTTTTTAGGAGTGCCTATAGGGACCTTTTTTAAGAGAACTAGGAAGCTCATAAAAGAAAGTGTTGATTGTAGCAAACGTGATCTTTGTGGTCATTCTGCATCTCTGGTTGTTGTTTTGTGTTTGTTTGGGATACTTCTACCTGTCTCTGTTGTCTTTTAACTGAACCTTGTGACTTTCAAGCAAGAAATACGTTTACATTTATTTGGCAGATGCTTTTATCCAAAGTGACTTACAAGTGAGAGACAACACTAAAGCTTCAAATATTAAACTCATACAGAGGCTCTGGCCCAGGAGGGGCCGGTGTAATTTAGTGTAATCATTAAATACAACTTTTAAGATATATATATATATATCTTAAAAGTTGTATAAATATCAATAGCTTCATGAAGTTAATAAATAACCTTATGTCATTCTTAAATCAGTATGACCATGAAAACGGTATTAAATGGAATTCCATGCGGTATAAAAAAGGTTTTAAATGTCATTGGTGAACACTGGAGAAACCAAAGACTTTGGAAAGGGGACTAAAAAAAGAACCAAAACCAAAAGTAACCAAACCAAAATTCATCAACGTCACAAAAAGCTAAAGTGAAAACACATCAATTTACTATAGAATGTAAATGCTGAGAAATTAAGAGTAAATCGTTAATTTTACATGAAATGATCCCTTTATCATTGTGATGTGATATCAGGTGTACTGTCCCAACATACCTGTCTGCCCTGGAGAGACTTGCAGGCCGACTGAAACTCGAGGGTTCTGTCACGGCACGTCATCCTGCCGCCGGGAAAGGGTCACCAGCCGTACCCACTATAAACCAGAAACCACCTGGGAGTGCCGGGTCCTCCTTCTGTGCCCCGTGTGATGGATAAATATGAAGAGTCCCGGTGTGCGGACGGACTCACATCCAAGGCGGGGTATCCTTCATGGACATATGTACAAACATGTCTGGAAAAGGGACGTGTCGAAATAACTTTTAGGCTATCACAGGCTGACAGCTTCAACTTTACATGATAAAGCACACAATTTGATCAGGTTGGTTGAGTTGTGAGTTAAAAACCCAGCTGGTACCGTTAGCTCACTGCTCTGTTCGCTCACACCGACACCAAGACAGGGACTAAGCTAAACTATAATAACCAGACGACAAATGGCAAACAACCGCCACGACTCACAAAAAGCCATAGGCGAGCTAATTATACACATTATTAGGTAAGAATGATTATCCAAATTGTTAACCAGCTCAGTGTACGAAGGCCGCCCATCACGACACAGCTGACTGTGGCCTTACCGGCTAGCCACTGGCTAACGTTAGCTCCAGAATGCTAACCTGCCTTTCCGTACGGTCTCTCCTGCTTTACTTCGGTAAAATTCGACCTAAAACAACCCTGTATGGATTCAATTTATTTAAAAGACAAAAATCAATTAGTTCCAACTTACTTGAATCGATATTAGATCATATTTCGAGAGCTCCCGATGTTTCTGGTAAAAACTAATCAACCCAGGAGTTAAAGTTCCGATCCGGGTCATTTCCGGCATTGACGTCACTGCCACGTCTACTTTACCGAGATGGAAAATCCCTGCGGTTGCAACACATCACCACCAGGGGTCCCCCTGTCCCCAGTTCACACTTACTTATTCACTATTTAGGATGACAAAGTGAAGCCTGGGATTTACAGTACTGTGCAAAACGTTTAAGCACTAAAAGTGAAGTGAGAATGCTTTAGGAAATAATGCAGTGAAGTAGTTTCAAAGTAAAGTGCAGCAAAGATGAAAAAACTCAATCAAAACCTTATTTCGTGTGATCACACTCTGTCGTTAAAACAGAACCAAGTCTCTCGCACACATTTTTTCAAGGAACTTGGCAGGTGAGCTATTCCAACTATCTTGGTGAACTTGCCACAGTTCTTCTGTCTCATTTCTGTCTATTCATGTGATCCCTGACTGACTCCATTATGTCGATCAGGGCTCTGTGGGGGCCAGACCATCTGTTGCTAGACTCCCTGTTCCTCTTGTCTCTGAAGATAGGTCTTGGACTCTGGCTGTATGTTTGGGCTCATTGTCATGCTGCAGAATGAATTTTGGACTGACCAGATGCCTCCCTGATGGTTCTGCATGATCATGGATAAGGATCTAAACATCTAAATTCCTAGAACATTACTGTATTTCCATTGTGGATTTTCTGTGTAAAGAGTATAGCTGCAGGACTCCATGTGAATAAATGTGTGGTATTTAACTACTTTTAATGTGAAAAGGTACATTATGTCCTATATATGGTTGGATTAACCTACTATGTGACCCAGGGGCCCAACTAGGCTCGTGGGCCCCATTAACCCCCTTGTTCCCCTTACCCTGTGTTCATTGTGCAATACCATCTGGAGCCAGTTTTGCTGCATGGAAATTTGAACAAATACATCTTAATTTAAGGATATGCAACACATGAGCACAAAGCTTATAAAATCCCTCATCCTCTTCAATTTAGGGCCTCAGGATTAGGAAATGAAGCAGGGCCCACCTTGAGACTGTTAGCTGATATTGTGCTTTAATGGTACATATTCACAAACACATTTTAAATTAAATAAGTGCAAACCAGTTGACAAACCCAGGAGAGTGGTGAGGGGATCTCTTCATCAGGATGAAATGGGAGGTAAAATGTCTTCCACACGAAGAATCAGAAACAACTTTGGATAATATGTTGAAACATACAAGGAGGCTGACTCTAGTTTTCTGTAGCTCTCAATATACTTATCCTTTGAGAGTCGCAGGGGGCCTTGAGCTAATCCCAGCTCACATTGGGCAAGAGGTGGGGTACAGCCTGGACAGGTCACCAGTCTATCATAGGGCTGACATATAGAGACAAACAACCATTCATGCTAACATTCACACCTACGAGAGTCTGCATAAAAGTTATATTAAAGGTAAGCAAAATGTAATATTATTGATTATGTGCTTTGAAAGTATTAATCTAAAATTCATGAATTAGATTATGTTACATTGGCCAATCATATGATTCATTTTCTTCAGGTGAAATATTTGAATAACAACCACAACAGGAGAATTGTGAGCCTGTTGGAGCTTTATGGTGGCACAAACATCAGCATTTATGTTGCAAAAATGGAAGACAAAAGAATATTGACTTTTGAGGTTAATATTATAAGTTATCAAACCTATCTTATCATCCGAGGAACAGAGTGCACTTATCACCATAATAAAAAAGCTAGAAGATCATTGGGTCACTTCAGATGGAGGCCAGCTGCAAGAAAAACATGATGTGTCATTAGTGATGTCGTGCCGATGAATCAGAAATTAACCTTTAAGTTAGTGGGAGTAGAGGAATGAGCCGACAGACAGAGAGAGAATGTGATTGGCTGTTGCCTCAGGTGAGTCAACCTGCAGGTACAGTATGGTATGGGGAGAGAGATAACATTCAGCAGGCTCTCTGATCTCCTCTCACTCCTACTGGTACCCGCATCCTCCAGGCTGACAGGACCGAGCATGCCAGACCACAACTACACCCCCACCTATTTACCTGCTAGACCGCCAACCACAAAACCCCCAGCCTTCCACCCACCCCCTATACCCTGCACCACCCCTCACCCTTCATCTACACCCTCCTTCACCTTTTATATCCCACTTTAACCACCAAACGTATCTCTTTATCGAAACACTCCTCTTTATGTTTTCACACGTTATTCAATGTTTCAGTCTGATGAACAAAATTACCCACATGAGGACAGAAAAGAATAGTTCCTCCTTCAACATCTCCCCATTCTTTTTGAGTTTCCTTTTAGCTCTTTTAACTCAATTGTTGAACCACATCTCCTTTTATCATATTTATTCTTAAACTGTTTATTTTTTTAGCCATGCTAGCAGCAAAGCCCTGTGAATGGCAAAGCATAGGCACGAGCTGTTGTTTGGTTGGTCCAGTGAATACTTTGGTCCAGATTGAATATCTCAACAATTATTGGATGGATTGTCATTAAATTTTATACCGACATTCGTAGTCAACAGAGGATGAATCCTATTGACTTTGATGATCCTTCGACTTTACCTCTAGCGCCACCATGAGTTTGACATTTGTGGTTTTGAATGAAACTATTGGATGTATTGTTATGAAATTTGGTACACCTGTCTCAGCTGCACTTTGTGTCTGTTTCTAATCACTGATTGTTAAATGCTAAACTATGATTGTGAACATGTGTGGGCATGTCAGCGTGTTGACATGAGCATTTAACTATGCATTGATACAGCCCCACAGAACTGCAAGCATGGCTGTAGACTTTCAGTCTTGGTGATGATACGTGATGTTTCAGTGTAGCAGTGTATGTTAGTGTAGTAATGTAAAACCATTTTTTACATTCTGAATTATTACACTCATGTTGTAAACACCGCACAACAAACTTTGGTAAAACTGAGCATTATCATGGTCATGCCAATGACGCAAAACAGCAGAATTTGGGTTTGTTTTTTTTCAAAGGGGGATTGAGGGGGATTACATCTCTTTATAAAGGCTGTCATGTTCACACTGAATCCTCAACCTGCTGACTTTACAGATACTGTTTCCCATGTATTAAAGAGAACCGTAAAATCTTTCATCAAGGTTGATGTCCTTCAGTGGACTGAGACAGACGAGGCCTTTGGATCCATGTTTCTGTTGGAGATAACGCTGTTTGTTTGTTCTGTAAAATAAAATGAAAAAGTTCTGTGTTCACAAGAGACGTTCAAAAACACTCACTTTCCTGTCAGCAAACACACATGGCTCTTCTTTACACTGCACATAATGAGCTCAGTCTCTCTTTCTGTCTCAGGCTTTTAACCCTCTCTATCTCTCTCTCACTCACACACACACACACACACACACACACACACACACACACACACACACAGAATAGTGCTGATACCATCTAACAACACACGCTCACAGGCCAGATAGCGTACAGTACCTGCTTCAACACAGCTGCTGCTACAAAAGCAGGGAGGAAACCACGGCTGGCGTTATTAGAAAAACATGACTATGAACGCAGAGAAAGCAAGGTGGAAAAATACAGGAAGTCCTGATACAAGTGCAAAGACTGAGTGAGACAGAGGGAGATGGATGATGAAGTGAGGTCTGCAGAGGGATGGAGGGAGGCAGGTGAGGAGAGAGACATGAGAGCTGCTAGTTGAAAATACACAAGTCAAATAAATGCATGAAATGAGAGAGAAATTGTCAAGAGCCACACGCACAGAGAACGTTTTTGTCTCTCTATTATTATTCGCCGGTATGATGACACAGTTTTGGGGTTTCTGACGAGCACAGAGCTTTAAAAAGAAGATTTTGGAGTAAAGAGATCTTTTCTGTAACATGATGGATGAGTCACTATGTCCTTTTCTCTTTCTCTCTCCCTCCGTCTCCCTAATCTTGCAGCTATATTTAGTACTGGCATAATGCCCTTCCAGACAGATAGCTTGGCAGCAGCATTAGCTCCTGTTCTCTCTTTTCCTCATCTTTCCTTTCCTTTCTTATCATGTCCCTTTTTTCCTTCACTTTCCTCTCTTCTCCTCTTTTTTGTCTCCCCTCTTCATTCTTCTCCTTTCACATTCCTCCAAATAGACACACTAAAACCCTCATACAATTTTAGGAGTATTTACGGTCATGATGACCAAATAAAACCACGGCCGATATACAGTACATTTCATCAATCATCATTGATAATACTGTCACTCATGCTTATCCATTTATGACAAGTAAGTGTGGCCAAAATAGGCTGCTATTAACATTATATCCCTGACTTTGGTCTGAAGTCTGCTCTGTCATGTGAGGACACAAATGTGTGTGTGTGTGTGTGGGTGGGGGGGCAGAACATCATATTACCAGCAAAAAACTACACAGTAACCTTTAATGAACAGTAGCCATTGAGCTAAGTAAGCTAACTAGCCTCACTTAGCAGAGTAGTCTCTGGCTGCAGTGGGAATCAGTTGTTTTTGGTTGAAGGACCTTTAAATCACATTTTTTTATGTATTTAATTGATGTTCAATTAATTAAAGTAGATCCTCTGTGCAGGTGCACAAGAAAGCTGAAAAAGACATAAGAAGATACTATATTTTGTTCGTAGGTATTGTGTTTTCCCTTAACCCTTTAGATCCAACCATAGGCTGCAGTTTCTCTAAATGTTTATTTTATTTTATTTTATAAGGTCTGTGATTATTATTAATAATTTGCATAAAAAGCATGAATTCTCAACTTCAGTATTTCTGTAATTATTGTGCTGTACTGCCTTTGTAAGTATAGCTCTCAAATTAAAAAAAAAGGTAGTGGTAAGTATAAAGTAGCATAAAATGGAAATAGTCAAGTAAAGGGCCAGTACCTCATAACTGTATATGAGAAAATGAGTAATTTTCCACACACACAGTGTGGGGCTGCACACCTTTGTACTTGACAAGTTCTGACTCAGCAACACAGATGAGAGGAGGAGAGGGAACAATATTATGTCCCATAACAACACGTCACAACAGGGTGGCACCGTAATCAAAAATGCCTGTTTGCCTTTCATTACCGTCAAATGAGAGATTAAAACAAAAGAAACAGGGGGGATGGAGGAGAGGGAGGGGAGCTGAGGTCAAACCAGAGGGACATCAGACACAGGGACAGCAGCATGGATAAACAGCGACAGGAAGAAAATGAGAGGTTTATATGAAAAATAAGACATTTCCTTTAATAACATCTGTAACATCACGGTTGTATCCTGGTATCATTTTCAATATATTTGACGATGCAGTATACATTTTCATGTGGACATTGAATCGATTAATTGGCATTTATATACTAATACAACATAAAACTGCATTGTTTTCTACAAAGACATCATAATAGGGCACAAATGGTGTAGCAGCAAAAAAAGAGTGTAGGTTTTTCTTTATACATAGGCTACAGTAGTACAATGTATTTGCAGAGAAGAGATTCATTGCAAAGTACAGCTAAAATGAAATTACAAATACATTTCTAATGTATGTTGTACATCACACACAAGGTCATGGCTGGATATTAGAGATTATAAAATGTTATATAGTTAGTAAGGGGTCTCTATAGGCTACTAAGACACTGGAGGCTAGAACAGGGCTACCTCTACAGTACAACATAGACTGTGCGGATACAAAGCACACTGATGTTTGATACTGACACAAGATCAGGACATTTGAATAGGATATTCATATGTCCAGGCTGTATATCTTTAAGAGTCGGGATGCAGAATTAGTATTTTAAAATAAGAAAATCTGGTCACAAGAAGTAACAGTTGAAGCCCCCAAAAAGTCATCTCAGCACCACAACTCTTTTGGTGGAATGTAATTGATGTCATGCATGTCTGCATGAGTGGAGCTTTTCGGTCCAACTCCATTTGCTTCTTCGGTTCTGCCATTAACAGATTTTTTTTTTTTTTGACCCAGTGGACTAATGTTCAGTATGTGCTTTGCAATCTCAAACACAAGTGCAATCTGTACTGAGGTTCACAGTTTCCCAAAACATTTGTTTGCTTGTTGACAAAATGCAATATTGTTAAGAAAAGAAGACTGGAAAGTGTATCAGTTTACACAAATAATAAATGCATGATTAGAAATAGCTGCGAGTAAGAGAAACTTAAGGGAACAGTTTGAGATTTTGGGAAATACACTTACTCACATTCTTGCACAGTTAGATCAGAAGATCGATACAGTTGTGGCAACTGTATCGATCTTCTCTGTATGGTAAATATAGCCTGACCAAATGCCGGTTAAATTAGCTTAGCATAGAGACCGGAAACAGGATGAAACAGCTAGTCCAAAGGTAAAAAAATCTGCCTACCAGTACCTCTAAAGCTTACTTATTAATTTGTTGTATCTTACTTGTTAAATCCATTTAAAAAAGGAAGTGTAAAGACATCAATGTGCCATTTTATGGATGGCTATGTGAGAGAATATTTCTTGGCTGGCAGCAGTGACTTCCTGGAGTCTTTGCTGGTTTCTAACGTTCAGAACCAACAGATAATTTGGCACGTAACTCTTATAAAACCATAGCATGTTATTTTCTCACTTTGGTTTTCATACGGATTTAAAAAAGGAGATACACTAGATAACATGTTAACTAGTGAGTTTTTGCAGTGCTGCTCCATAGATTGTGTTACCCATGGACGGAGCCACGCTAGCTGTTTCCAATCGCTATACAAAGCTAAGCTAACCGACAGCTGGCTTCAGCTTTATATTTACTGTACAGCCATGACAGTTGTATCAATCCTTTCATCTAACTCTCAGCAAGAGAACGAATAAGGGTATTTCCCTTAAAGCCAAGAACGGTCACCATTAGTTTGAGGCTACAAAGGTTTTGGGAAACCATCTCCTGTTCCACATTATCACACAGTGTCTGGTCTACAGTCAGAAGACCAGCTCAGCTCTGCTCTTGTGAAAAATCTTGCTCCTCAGATTGCTAAGAAATCTCCTATAGGTTCCTCCAAACCGGTGCTTACTACTACATATCTGCTGCAGCGCTGAGTCTCTACACTGGAGACTGTGCTTATTGCTAATTGTAAATAAAAATATCATTATCTTAAAAGAGGTCTGAAATAACACAGAGAAAGTAACAACAATGCTCTAATACTTGGTCATTAATATGTTATGACATAGAGGTAGTGATTGAAGCATTGATTGACAGTAATAACAAACACTGAAAAATGGACTTGAGCGTGGAAAAAAATAATCTCATGTCAGGAGAGTATAAATACAGAGCTTATCACACCAGCCACTGAAACGAAGTTCTTTTGCTTCAAGGCTGACACATAATTAATTCAGACTCTGGACTGCACGCTGTTTCTGGGTGACTATTCTTCTATCAGCAGGATGGCATGAATCAGGGGGGAGAGTACAAACAGGAATCACAGAGTTTCAAAGCTACTGTTTCTCATGGAGCTAAGACGTCACTGGTAAAATTTAACATGGGACACAGACTCTGAATGGTTGTCAGAAAGGGGTTTCAACTCCCTGTCCTGCCCTTATGAGTCCTCTTCATGAAAGCAGACCCCTGGCTTAAGCCCGTCACGCTGACTGACAAGTTGCTCAAGACCTCATCCTTTCTGAACCAGTCACAGTTCAAATCCAAAATCCCACCCAGCAGCCAAGCAGCCGTGAACTAACATGGCGTTAAACCGTGAGATTCATGCAGAATATAAACAAGTTATGTTCCAAATGAATAATACTCTTTCCATCCCAGCTCACACATGCAACAACAACAGCCATGTTTTCCTTTCACTGCACTGGGAACTGCTATTTGCTTGGTTTCTGAGTGCTGCAGACAACAGTGACCCACTGATTGTTTGAATTACACATTATAATGTATATAGTCTCCCATTTGTGGCCTGTGTGAGCCGTTTCTGTTTAAATTCAATACATTTGCGTATCGGTTTAGTTGCTGACTGGGTATGTAGCCGGCCACCCAGCGTGACTCTTTATGCAGATGGATTAAGGATGAACAAAAACAAAACAAAAACACATTCTGCAATATAGAATATCTTTTCAATCAACTTGACAGAATTATAATAAAATATAAAACAGGCATATAACACAATACTTAATGACGACTTTGCATTAAATTGCAAATATAAACAACTGACATTTATTTGCACACTTAGTGTGGCGCGAACAAAAGCTTATGGCTACCTGCATTCATTTCACATTGCATGTGTGTGTGTGTGTGTGTGTGTATATATATATATTTATATGTGTGTGTGTGTGTGTCTGTCTGCTATAGCACAGAGTGAGTGAGGTTGTATGTGTCTGCATTTGCAGTGCTATCTCTGTTCCTGGTGTTATAAGTGTGAATGTTTGTGTGTGAAGTAGTGGACAGCCGCCAGGCCTCATTATTGTCATTCTCCTCACTGCCTAAAAGAGAGGCAAAGAGAGGCAAAGCGGCTGCTTTCAATCGAGGTGCCGAGAAAAGATGGAGACAAAAGGCCCAAATTAAACAAATGCCGGAAAGCGGCTTGGAGAGCCAGCCTGTGGTCATATGCTTTGAATGAGAGAAAACGGCTGCAGGGATAACCCATCTGGGTCTTTCAGAGGGGAGACCACACAGATACACTCCATTTCCAGCATTCAGCTAAACTATAGGTCCACACACACTGGGGTGCCAGTTCATGTGCATGTCTTATGTCCTTCTGGTATGTCTGAGTGAGTATGTGTCCACTAATAATCTGTTCCCAATGTTTTTCAAATCCTCTGCACAAACATTGGCCTTCACTTAACATCTCCATGTGTAGTTTCCTTGTGAGCAGCAAGTCACAACTTCCACTGAAGCATGAAAACGTAGGACACCTGCGAAAGACCGGTCCAGTTCATCTCTGTTGTTCTTGTATAGTATGATCATTCCTGTCTCCACTGTTCTCTGCAGGGAAGGGGAATATCTTGGGTCCAATGTCCAAGCCACAGCAGGACAGGAGCATGTTCAACTGTTGGCTTGTGTCCACCAAGAAAGATTTTTTTCTGGGTATTTCCACATCTCTCAAAGTCACCCTTTTTCTGCCACTTTCATCCCTCCACTCATTGGGTGAGTAGTGTGACTCTACACGTCTGTACAGGCATGTACATGTGGACTGATGGAAGCTTTTCCACAGAAGCGAGGAGGCGGTAAGATGTTTGGCTGCACACAGACACACACATGTAGATCTTCAGTATATTGAGGCTGTAATGCTGCATGTCTGCTTTACTAGAGTGCTACTACAGGTTCTTGTGTGTGCTTCTGCTAATATTTCCTTCAATCTGAGATACTGGATGTCCAAGCGTCTGTATGCTCCATGGCAGTGATGCTGAGAGTGGACGATGAATTAGCAGGGGTAGTTGGAGAGAGAGAAGGAGGTGAAAAGAAAGTGGACGGACACATCAAGTCCTTATGGCATCACACCTGGGACAAGAAACAATAATGAGGGGAAGGTTTTAGCATCTACTTTTCTTGGCAGTAACTCTTGTCCACTCTTTTCCCATCAAATACATCCACATCCCGAGCAGTTTGGGGTTCAGTGTCTGTCTCAAGGACACTTTGATGTGTGGAGTCAAAGCACTGACCCCACCGCTAATAGACAGCCCCCTTCATCAGTTACAGCTGCTCTAGCTTTCTCACTGCATCAACTGAACAGAATCTCAAACATTAGATGTTTTAAAATCTGCATATGAAATAAATTTTGGTGAGAACATACAGATTTAGTTCGTACAAGGCAGAGCCTGATGCAGTTCAAGTTGCTTCACTCAAGTGCATTTTCCTGAACTGAATTGAACTTTTTTGTTACACATCTGTATGTTCGAAAACCAATAAAGAGACAGCAAATTTTTATTTTTTAGTTGTGTGTGGACTGACCTGCAGCGGTGAGGGTTGAGCCTCCGACCTTTCTGGCTACAGCTCTCAGCTCTGATGGTGCAGCGACACTCACACGACGTTGCATCCAATGCCCACTTTCTCCCCTTACAGGGGCGGCAACAAGGCCTCGGAGACGGAGACGGAGAGGGAGAGGGAGAGGGAGAGGGAGAGGGAGAGGGAGAGGGAAGGAAGATGGTGGGAGGAGGTGTTGGAGGAGGAGGAGAGGATGGGGGAGGCAGAGCTGGGGGAGCATGGGTCCTGGAGGGAAGAGGGATGTAAGAAGAATGTGGTTAGAATTTATCAATTCATTCTAGCAAGAGTCTACAGCTGCACTTTAAAGTACAGCAGAGGCTGATGGGAATGTCATTAGTTTTGCATGTATTAATATAAGTATTGAACAAATGAAAATTTTAATCTGATGGTGGTGCAAAACGGAAAGGTAGGGGACAACCGAAGTTATTCCAAATGAATGTCTGAACTAAATTTCATTATCCATCCACTGATTGTCTGTAGGCATCATCGTCTGGGAACAATGAATGTCTGAACCAACTTTGGGATCAATACAGGCTCCAAAAGATTTTGCTACTTTGCTGTTGATCTCATACCACATCACTAGCATGGTGAAAAATTAAATGCAAGGCTTGTTTAAACATGCACCCTGCCAGTCTGAATCAAACCCACACAATGCAGTGTGTGGGAGATGTGTGACTAATGTGGGATACTGTTTCCTGAGCTGCTGACAAACTCTCTGCTCTTTCTGTCTGTCTAGTCTCTCTGTCCGTTACCATGGCTTCATTGCCTGTGAGGCCTTCGGTTACTCTTCCAGACTCTCTGTACTTTCTCTGCGTCTGAGAAAGTTGCCGGCATCAGTTGGTCTATTAACTGGAGCTGGTTCTGCCTCCATCTTCTCGGTAGGCTGGCGGCCTTAATGAAGTTACTTAATGAGGCAGAGAGGGGCCATCTTTGTTCAGATCCTGATGACCACGCCTGCCACTGGCATGGACAGAGGAGGTGGCATTTGAGAGCAAATTACACAGATTTCACCCCTGCCAGAGTCTGAATAAAGCCTGTTCTGAGTGATGGATGGGTGCCGAGGGACATCACACCCAAACCAAGCCACCTCTGGCCCCCAGGGGACAGAAATGATTGACAGCAAAGTCAAGGGGAAGCAGATGAAAAAAAAAAAAGTTGTAGGGAAAAGAGCGCTAACCCCTTTGTCCTTCAGTGATTTGTACTGAAACACAGGAATCATGGCACATGTAGCTGCACCTCTTCCTCTCAGATCACAGTGTAGCAGGTTAATAGTCTCAAAATGTTGTTATTGTCCTTTTATATTTCTAACTGACCTTCTTAACAGTCTGAGTTGATAATTATTTAATAAGTACTGATCAAAGTATACGATAAATATCCACGAATAGCTGATATGCTGTATACTGTTTCGTTGTTATTAAGAGGCTTGGCAGTCTTATGTGCTTACAAAACAGAGGTGACCCCTACAAGTGTGTGTGTGTGTGTGTGTGTGCGTGTGTGTGTGCGTGTGTGTGTGTGTGTGATAGACCTTGACTGGTGTGGCTGTAAAACAAATTGTCCTTCAGTAATAATATAGACCAGATAACCTAGTTTGTTTTTCTAATCCAAACGTTCACACTGAGGCTGACAGTATCTGAAAAACACTGACATGAGTAAAAACTTAAGGTTCATAACTGAGTTTAAAATAAAACAAAATCAAAAGTGTGTAGTGAATGTTAAACATACGCGGCTCTGGTGGCTCCGCTCTTCTGTCTGGACTTTCCCCTCTCCCTTTTCTTGTCTTTTCTTGGTGGCTTCAGATGCGGCCTGAGAATATCAGACACACAAAATGTGAGGAGTTCAATTTTTAATTTGTATGCAACAACAAACATGAAATTAAAATGAGTCTCCCTGTATCTACTGAGTGAATATTTTTTTGACGATATCCTTAAATGAACCCAATGTACTGCATGTCCCCTTTCAATGTTTGTTAAGATTTGTATCACATACGCATTACAACTAATAGTCAATCTGATCAGACAGTATCTAATGCCAGTTTACTCTGTATTTTATTCAGACAACAGCTGTTAAACAACATTTAGTATTTGATACGTTGAGTCACAGAAGGGTTTTGTGGAAAAATGTTTATATTTGTGTAAACAGGTGCATCTAATTGGACATTGTGTTTATTGTTTTGCAGAGTGTGACAGTTGTCTTAGTCTGTTTATGCTGTTTGTACTTATTGTTGCAAAGATACAAGGTACAATTTTGAATGCAGGACTTTTACTAGTGATGGAGTATTTTAACAGAGTGGTACCGGCACTTTTACTTAAGTAAAAGATCTGAGAACTTCTCCCACCACTGTGTCTCGGTCAGATCACTTAGCAGAAAGTTCCAAAAAGTGTGGATTACCATCTCATTATATCCCCTGACATTAACAGAAATTAGCGAAGAAGGCGAAACAATCACATCAGCGCAGGACATCACGGGAGAAAGAGAGAGACACTCCCAAGAAAATAGCTTTGCATTCTTTGTCCACACAGTTTACATGACTCTCTACACTACAGTTTGCTGATTCCCACCCTCCTTATCATGCCAGTGTCCAACCTTTATTGAGCACAATCAGTTTTACTTTAATGTATGCTGGTGCCTTCAGAACAAAGTGCATCTGCCCTTCAGCTCTGGTTTTCCACTTTTAACCTCTCTGTTTTTCTCTGCTCTAATCCCATCTGCTGTAAACTCTATTAAACTATATCAAATTATTATGGGGACAGTGTTTACCAGTTTAGCCCTGACATCATTAGCAGAGTCTGCTGCTACTGCTGCTGCTGCTGTTGTCTTTGGAGCTCTAATTTACTATTATGAATGCGTGACTCTGCCCTGTCAGTCTGTGAGAGAGCACATGGCAGGGGAGATAAAATCATCACTATGGTGACAACAGGATGAGGGCCATCCCAGGGGATGCTGGGAGAGAGTCACACAGATGCTAACTCATTGAGGGACAAACACACATTCACACGAACCACACAAAAACAAATATTCACACACATTAAAAGTCTAATGTACATTTATACTAATACACAGAGCACACACATGTGCACAAGTACATGTAGAAATTCAGCAAAACCACACATACACTCCTTACTGAGTTTTAAAATGTACACACACATACATTGGAATCCTTTATTTATGTCCACATCCTAACAGGAAGCAGGGGGACATAAACATTAAAGATGCAATCATATGATTGCCTGGTCGGACCTGCCAGTATGAGGCACACAAACAAACATCAGGGACCCAACAGCAGTGTCTGTTTCACAGTGTACAGCTGTCAGTCCCAGCTGACACTGAACAAAACCTGAAAAGCACAGTGTCTATCTCCTGGACAGTTTCTTTACTTTCATGAATTTATTAACCTTAAATCAGAGATTAACAGCTTCTCTTATGTTTTAGTCCAAGGACTGCAAATTTGAAACCCTAAAATCAAGTTGTGTGAGATAAGTAATTTATTACAGTGTAAAATTTATCACAACTTTTTATTTGCCAATATTATTATTTTGCATCATGGTAAGCCAGCTCTCTAAGACCCATACTGTGTAGCCACAATGTGTCTGGTGTGATTCTACCTTCACCACATTACCTCTTTATGTTCCCTGCTGTTGTCAGGAACCATCTAATGAATGAATTGAATGAATTTTGTAAGTTCGTGCTTTTAAAATGGGAAATACTGGCCTGTAACTTAGGACTTTTGAAAGCCAGGAAGAGTTTCCAAAATGGTCAAATCCACTCATACAACAAAGCGTCGATTAACACATGCTGGCGTTGGATGATGAATACTAGAACAAGTAGCTGATGAATGTAACCTCTTTTCAACACTATTAAGCTACTTATGGTTCCTTAGGTTTGTGCTGTTGTTGGATGAAAACCTCCTCCTCATTCGTAGCATCATCAGCAAACTTATAACAGCATCATTAGTGCAGAGCTTGGACATGAGTTTAGAGACAGGGTTTGATAACGTTATTTGATAAGAATCAACATTAGATCTCACAAAAACAGCTCACTAAGATACAGTTAACGACAAAAAAAAACAGAAAGATTAAAATTCAGAACGACAGAGGGTAAAAAAAGGGGGGGGGGGGACAAAGTGCGTTACCTTGTCGTAGGTGTTGGCTGGAAATGTTCTTTTAATCTGCACACAGATAAAATAGACAATGTCAGTATAAAGGAGCAGTGACGTCAATGATAGCAGGTACACCATGAACAGCAATTACACCCTGCATCTCCACCTTTGTGCACAGACACTGAAAGTGTTTGTATTACCTGCACTCACACTGGCTGTGCTCAACAAAGGGCAACTCGATGAGCTCATGCTTCATGAAGGAGGTCCTCATCAGCTGCACACAGATGGGCAAATATCATGTTAAACCACAGACATCCTCTCACTGTTGCACTTCTAGGGATTTAGTGTGTGTGCCTGCATGGATACCTCCATGGTGAGCGTGTGAGTGAGCAAGGGCACACACTCTAGGGCCTCGTCAGCACAGCAGCCGCCACATCGCCTCACCGACACGCAGGAAGGGACAAAAAGGTGGTGGGTCTCCCCCGGCAACTCTCGCCAAACCTCCACCAGAGTGTCCCGAGGCTCACATCCACTCCTTGAGTACACCTCCAACCACCGCCGCACTGGTGGACCGACACAGACAAATAATGTGTTTTAATTTCACTCTTTCAGCTCCATGAGGGAGGAATCTTTGTAGGAACAGGGGGCGTACCTTCTCGACCTTCTCTGGATTTGGGGGAGTCTGCTGGCCGCCAGTGGGCAAGCTGTTGGAAGAAATAAAAATAATGAAGGAGTTCATGTTGAAAGCATTGTTTAAGTTAGTTTATGATTTCATTATCAAGTTGATCTGTTTGATAGCATTCAGCATTGCACTTTGGAGTCATGACGAGTGGTTTAATTTCAGTTTAGCAAAAACTTGACTCAAAAGTGTGGGAAAGTGAAAAAAGATGCATCGTAGTCAGTCAAAAGTCAGACAAACTAGTGCTTTGGTTGGTCTTCATCCTATCATGCTGAACTATGGGCAGACTGGATGCTACAGTGACTCGCTATCACAAAGTAGTATTATGAGGTGACAGCTTTGGGGCTAGCTGGTTAGCATGCTAACTTCAGTAGAAGAAAAGAAGTGATGGAAATAGAGGCAAAACAAGAGTTAAAATTGGTGCTGCTTTCCACTTTAAGTTCCACCAAATTAGTTAATATTAAACCAATAATAACAATGTTTGCAAAATAAGAGCATGAAAAACATAAAAAACTGAAATTAAAGTAAAATATTAGTCAAAAAATGTGAGCAAATGTCATAAGCACATGAAGTAGCCTACATGAAAATCCCCAGACTGCCTTCAGATGCTGAAGAGAATGAGTTTCAATGTTTACATTTTGTTTAGGCTTTTAAAAAAAAATATAAAGATCATCTGCCAAATATGTTCAACAACATAATGGTGCATATATTTGTTTTATTGATCAAGTTTTTTTCCTGAATGAAACCATACCAGTAAATCTAACATCTGAGCTACTGCCTGCAGCTTCCAGTTTGACACTATTGTAAATGCACACTGGTGCTTATCTACAGTTCAGAGTTTTACCTGTCAGTGAACACAACAGTATTTCACACCTGGCATCTGAGCATGAAAAGCTTATAATGCATGGTGATAAGTGACAGGAAATGAATACTCTGAACTTTGATACACAGATACACACGCAAGAGGGTAAGAGCGGTGACAGCTAAATTAAACAAGCCTCATATTTGGCTCCATTATGAAATATTTACTGCACAGACACGGTAAACTGGTCCATTTGAGTATGTCAGCTGAAATTGTCTATGTTCTCGTCCCGACTCGATTCAAATCCAACCATATTTTCCGCTGTCTGAGGGAGTGAGCTGCTGGATTTCTTAACAAGCTGTACCTGCAACCTTTGCCCTCAAATCTATCACCTGATTATAACATTTGAAACGTTTTCAGTAGCCCCACAGAGGTAGATAGTGAGAGAATCTGCCACTGGATTTCTTGACAGTAAGCTGTCACAGTCAGTGTGAAGCTGGGAGTCAATAAATAGGACAAATATTACTATTTCATAAAATGAGCTGATGAAAAACAACAGAATGCAGCTTGTTATTGGTTTTGTTCTGACAATTAATCCAATGTCTTTTCCTTTAGTTTCATAGTTTAGTCATAGTCATAGTCATATTTACTCAAGTTATTACTTAAGTACTTAATTACTTAAGCACAACTTTGACGTATTTGTACTTTACTTGAGTATTTCCATGTTCTGCCACTTTATACTTCTACTCCACTAGATTTCAGAGGCAAAGACTGAACTTTTTACTGCTCTATATTTATTTTACATCTATAGTTACTCGTTACTTTGCAGATACATTTTTTACTTTCACAAACATATGACAGCCTAATAAAATACCTAACCCAACCTGTTTGGCTTGTGACAATTACAGGGGAGAACATGTATTTCAACTTTTGATAATTTAAGTACATTACGCTGATGATACTTCTGAAATGAAGTATTTTTACATTCGTACTTTTACTGAAGTAAATCTGAGTACTTCTCCCACCATTGAAATTGTCAAAAAAAAAGAGAAACTGAATTTTACAGCCCTCAGTTCTATTCTCTCTAATACACACACACACACACACACACACACACACACACACACACACACACACACACACACACACACACACACATCACACACACACAAAAAACAAAAACAAAACGCACACTGCTGTTATTTGACTTATGTGTGTGAAGACCAAGGCCACTTGTAAGGGAATGTAGACTTTGTTCAGTTGCCCCCTTTTAACTGCTCCACCCCCTTTTACACACACACACACACACACACACACACACACACACACACACACACACACACACACACAGATTCTGAGTTAAGCTGGGACCGAGGCCATTTTGTGACTAGTAGGATGTGAGCTGAAGTAAGTGTGTCTTTTCTGTAGGCCTATCAGTCTTTGAGACTGGGCTGAGATTACCTCCCTTTGGCAGCCACAACTGTGAGGAGCTGACACACACACATGCACACACTCCTGAGTGCCAACCCAGTGCCATCTGCACTGGCATTGCTGTCTGTCTACTGTCTAACACATTGAGCTCCCAGCCACTCCCAGAGCACACTGTACAGATGGGCCTGTGTGTGTGTGTGTGTGTGTGTGTGTGTGTGTGTGTGTGTGTGTGTGTGTGTGTGTGAAAGAGACCCTGCCCTACAGCTAAACACCACCTCTCCCACACCCACACCAAGGAGGAAAAGGATGACCCCTTTTTCAAATAAGCAGTCAGAGAAGCAGACGGCATGAGAGCAGAGTCTCAGGTGTGAGACAGCAACTGTGAACAGACAGCTTTCTTTTCTGTGCACGTAGCCGTGTGCCATGTAGTGTCTAGGATGACAAATCACTAAAACATACAGTATACAGCAGCACAAAGTCGGGGCTGGATCCCACACCGCCTCTGGGCACTGCTTGTTCCTGATAGAAGTCTCCAGACATAAATAAAAAAACCAGTGCATGCAGGTCTGTGTGTGTAGAAAAATGAGCTCATTTGTCACATCAAGGACCATGACAGCACAATTGATGAACATTTCTTGTGAATTATAACTGTAATAACCATCTATTTAAATTACTCAAAGCAAAACTTCAAGGCCATGAAGAATTATAGGAACCACTTTCTAATAAGACACCCTTTATAAATCATAAAGACTGGTAATTAGAGACTTTAGACTTAAAATTATTGGTTTATTAATCCGTTAGTCAGCTGAAAGAAAATTAATTGAATTGCTCACGTTCATCTTCTTCTTCTCATTTATGTTTTCCAAATGTGAGAATTTGCTGCTTTTTTCTGTTTTATATCACTGCTGACTGAATATCTTTTGGGTTTAAAACTGGTGGTCTGACATAGGCAATCAGAAGACTATCCCTCTAATTTTACAGAATCTGTAAAATTGCAATGGGTTTCTTTATATTATTTTCAGTCATTTCACAGACTAATGTATTTATATATTATAATAATCCTCACATTAATCAATAATGAAAATAATGGTTGGTTGCAGCCATAAATGGCTCTATTAGCTACTGGTTATTAAATAATTTAACAATGCTTCGTAAATTAGTTATAACAAAGTCATTAATAAGTACAACTTTTGGGTTGCCAGGTTGTAGATAAACCTCTTTCAGCAGGACACTTGCTCTGTCTTCTTCACTTTCTTGCCAAGAGTATGAGAAAAGAGGTACTACTCTTGTTTCTGTACAGTAGGCTAAATTTGAAGCTACAGCTAGCAGCTGGTTAGCTTTGCTTTGCCCAAATACTCAAAACAAGGGGAAATGGGTAGCCTTGCTCTACCCAACTGTTACAAAATCTTCTTACCAGCACCTCTAACGCTTACTAATTAACATGGTATTCTAATCTGTACAAAACCTATGTGTAAAAACAACATTTCACTGTTTTACAGGTGATTATGTACTGGACTATTCCTGGCCAGGAACAGCTGCCAGGCAACCAGCAGGTTACTGGTCTGAGCCAAAAAGTCTCATTTTTATACTTTGTTTTTTTGTATAAATTAAACAAACGATACAAAAAACTGTAACACAGGGCTTTAGAGGTGCAGGTAGGCAGATTTTGTCACCTCTGGACAGAGCCAGGTTTGCTGTTTCTCCCTGTTTCCAGTCTTCATGCTAAGCTAAGCTAACTGGAATGTTATCTTCACATCTATCCCTGTGAAAAACGTTATGTCAGAGGGATTTCCGGTCCAAAAGCCCTGCAGTTTTATTTTCTCCTAAAAGAAAGTGGTCAAACAGCCCATTTGAGGTGTCCCAATGAGTTAGCCAAAAAGAATAACCAAATGCCATGCTGGAGGAGGATTTTTCACAACCTGGCAACCCAAAAACTGGTCTAACCAATGGTTTGTAACTGATCTACAAAGCAACAGTAAATTATTTATTACAGGTATAAACTCTTTAGCCTATAAAAAGTGCCTCATTAGAAAGTAGTGCTGATTTTCTCTGTGATAGTGACAGGAGACAATAAACAACAAAATGTGACTATAAAGTAATTACTGAGCGACACAGACAAGCCGTAGCATCCAATCCGACTATTATAGTGATTTTTCCTGTCACGGGGCCTAAAGTGACAGGTGTCATTGACCTAGGGGATAACTTCCACAAAGCCCCACATGATCTCCAACACAATGAATTCATACAAAAAGCATGTTATTCAGGCTAATGCAAATCTACATAAACTAGAAATAAATCTCGTGACTAGAAATAATAGAAATAAAGCTCATGACTGGTAGCAGGCTGACCACTTCAGACTTGCAGTCTTTTGAGGTCAAATGGTCTATACATTCATACCTTGGCATGAGACGTCGGTATTCTGGTCAGCAGCAGGAACTGAAACATTCCTAGAATAACTTGAAGCATAATCCCCATTGTGCAGGAGTCCAAGGGGCACGCCAAAAAAAATCTAAAATTTGGACCAATCCAAAAAAAAAAAAGAAAAGAAGAGAAAAAGAAAAAAAGAAAAAAATGAAGGTGGTTTGTCCGGCTGTCTCCTTCCTTCGCTTCAGTGTCCGGTTAAAGACGCAGAAATCCCGCTTTCAAGCTCCAGTCTCCCTTCCTTGACAGGACTCCCATGTGGCATCCTCAGTGTTGGAATAATAACTTTATTTTTGTTGCGTTTGACACTAGACGATCTTAACTGCACAAGGAGACAGCTCCCAACATGAACTCTAATGATAGTTTGTTATACTCCCTTAGCCTAATTAACGAGACACTGGAGGCTGTTGTCTACAATAACCATCCATCCAGTAATTTTAACATATACACCGACAACATGCGCCTTTCTTAAGTCATTATTTAATATCTAACCGTGGCACCATAACCCCAAAATCCTGGTATTTTGGTGACACTTGTTTAAACTTTGTGATGCCTCCCTGTATTTATTTTAGGGCACCGTCAGTCTATTGGTCCTGATCCCATGAAATTGGTCTATGGGGTCCGGGGTGGCGTGACTGCAGGATCATTCAGGTTCCCACTGAAACGTGGTGCGATCATAAATCCTCTGTGCGGCTGAAAAAAAAAATCACATTATCCAGCTATCGGACGTTCATCCGGTAATGATCCGACGCTTTGGGCCGACGTGCGGAGTGACAGTGCCGCATATTCCTCTTCCCGGCTCGGTCACAGTCTCTCCACACTGTCGCTCCCACTGAAAATGTGACGTTTCCTCCCCAGGCGCATCTTCTTTTTTTTATCCTCTTATAAATAAACCTAGAATGATATCCTCCACTGACATGGCAGCGCCGCTACAGCAAAGCAGGGTGGCCCACAGACAGACAGACAGACAGACAGAGAGAGGTCTGGAAAGGTGGGAGTCTTCATTTGTTGTTGTGATCGGTTTCCTCATTTCCTTTGCCCTTGAGACGCAGGCGGCGTAACCATTGCGCTGCCAACTTTTTCCAAACGGGACAGGCGCACTGCATACAGGTGTAACGTCTCCTCTGGTCCCAAAGTGAGGGGTCGGGGGGCCTCCAGGGACCCCTTACAAGTGGGGCACAGGGCTGCAGCTGTCACTGAGGACATTGAGGTCATGTTCCCAGCATTTCTCTGTAAATTTCAGGGGGTTTAGGATGGTTATTTTGTATGCTGATTCTCGTATTTAAATATGAATATAGATAATTGATTGGTCAAATGACTAATGTTTTGATAATAGGTTAATTCTTTATGACATTGACTTCATGACATTTTAATTAGTTTTCTTACTCATCTCTAATAGTAAACTGAGTATGTTTTTAGACTGCTGCTCGGACAAATCAAGCAATGTGAAGATTTTTCCATATTTTCTGACATTTTATAGACCAATTGATTATTTGAATAAATAATTGTTAGTTGGAGCCCATTATGAATATATTTAAATTCGACTACATATTGTCAAACAATTTAAAAAAGGACTCTGTGCTGTATTCCTGGCATTGTCAGGAAGGCTGTTTCAAAGTAATGAAATCTGGTAGGACTTTGTGTTTTCCTGATATTACATAATTTCCCAAGGAAGTTTTCTGGAGAATGCAATGTCATTTGTTAAAAAGACATTTCTCTGGAAAACAACAACTTATAAACTAAATACAACTATCAACCAGACTGTAGTGAAATAGCAGAACCTTGCCTCTGTAGGTTTTATTCACAGCAGACATAGTAGTAAAAACACAGGTGTTACTAATAACATTAACGATGGCTCTGTTCTACTCATGTGTCCCTGTAAGACATGACAGTGAGTCAGCATGTACAACACCACGGCCCTGTAACTGCTAAATGGGATTCAGCCATCATTAGTTTTATTATTCACACCTGTGCTTTTTCTCCTGTGACATGAGAAAATGTCACATGTATAAAAAAGGCCTGTTTGCTCTATAATTGGTATCAAATTACATCTGGAAACCTCAAGGGAAATTATCAGGAAATTGACCCATAAAACAAAATTGTATCAATTTTGTAAAATTTATAGAAAATATAGTTGTCCAAGTTGAAATATGAAAACCCAACCAATTAATAAAGGTTAACCTTTTGATGTCAGGAAGTGGGCTGTTGTTATTATTGTTGGGGAGACTTCAGCATACATACATCCTGACTACGGCCCTGGTGGAGAAATATTATTATGTGCATTATATTTAGACTCTGAACATGTGAACATCCTGCCCCCAATCAACATATTCAACTCTCACAGGTTTTTCTGAGACAGAATCACATCAAATAAGACAGCATGGTGTAACAGTCTGAGGGTCAATTTGTTGTCGACCAAGTCAATGATTTATTTTTCCACTCTGTATCACTGTCTATTGTTTTCCCAAATAATAAATCGGAGGGCATGTAAGAGTATTATGTCATGTGCATGATTTGACAGTTTTCCTCTGCAGCACATTAAACTAGATGAAAATCAATTGAAATTGTCTTCATAGCTGGTTTTCCTGTGTAATAGCTCCCTCTCCCATGAGCCTTGTCTTCCACCAGAGTGTGTGTGTAGGTATGCTGACACCAGAGTCTCAGTCATTATGGTGTGTTTGGGTTATGACAGGGCACTCACACGCCACATGAGGGTGAGGGTGTCTGTATGCTATGCGGGGATAAGTTATCTCCTGCTGAAGTCTCAGGACAGGGGCCGTTGGTGACAAGAAGACAAGACTCACTGTGAGAAGGAAAAAGGCAATAAACAGTTTGCACACGTCTAGGACTTTTTAAGTTCAGTCCATACTCTTACCATACTCTTTAAAAAAAAAAACAAAAAAAAAAAAACTATAAACCGAGCGTTTTCTTCCATGTCATTTGCAAACAAATGCCATGTATGCAGGGAAAATTTATGAATTGCTTCATAACCAACATGAATAACAGCTTTCATGTGAATTTAAATATGTAAATAAACAAGATATGTTCTGTATCAGCAGAGCCAGTTTTCAGAGAATCACATCTGCAGCTCCAAATGTGAGTTTAGAGGTTTAAAAGAGCTATTCAAATTCACATTCTCAAATCCTGACCACTGAGATAATGGAAAATAAACATTTGAATTCTAAAGCAAAGCAGATAAATAATTATCTTTTCTGTGTGGTTGCTCATTAAAAGATCTGTCTACAGCTGGATGTTGAAGCCTCTCGTTAATGCTGCCAATCAGTTAACAAATTTCACCATACAAAGATGTCACTATCATGTTTATTTCCCCAAAATAATCTTAAATTTATTGGAGTAAAATAAGCAAAAATGTAAAGGAATACATTAAGTTTGGAACGGAACAACTGCAGACTGTTCTGTATCGCAAAACCAAAGCATGAGAGAATGAGAGATGGAACAAACCGTAACAGGAAGTAATGACTGATGAGAAAAAGTTGATCTTTTAATCATTTCACTGACATCCCCCCAGGGAACAGACAAGGCAGTCAAGAACAGGAAAATAACACACTCTAATATCTAAAAACTAAAAGGCCAAATGGTAAATGTTGGCTATGGAGGTTGAAATAACTTTCATTCAATTTGTACATTTTCATAATCTCAGTACTATTATTAATATTATTTGTCTACAATTGAATGACGCAGTGTCGCTCTTCAAGTCATAATATTGATCAATTATAATTTTTGTCTCAATCACATGCGTACTTTTATCATGAGGAGCTGAGCAGCAATGTCCCAAAATTCAGGCCAAGTAGCTTTTCATATTTCCGTCACATAACCTGGAAGAAGATGAATGCTTAAAATACTTTGCATGTGTTATAAAGCACCCTTCGCAACTGTCCCCCTAAACCAGTGAGGCTCATAAAACCCAGGAGAACATTAAACTGTGTCCTCTTGTGCGCAACCCAAGACATGATTTTAATCAGTATCAGTTTCTTTTAGCACCAAGAAATGTATTGGTGTTACAATCAATTACACATGTTTGCCGTCATGTGCCATTAGTCACTGTTATCTGTGAGCCCTGCATGCTGTGTACCACTAACACAGACATGAGGCTGAGAACAATAAATAACATGGTCCTGTGAGTTCATTAGAGGTAATTTGATAGTGTTCATTGTGGCTCCATTGGACAAACAGAGGACAAGGTCTGAGAACATTCTTCCAACAGTACAATCGATGCTATTAACTACAAATGGTTCAGTCCAAGCTGATATATAGCTCAGCCTGGTCAGGCGTTCACACCTCTGTGACCAAATGAAATCCTCCTACATCACACCCACGCTCTCGTCTACCTTCAGCTTCTCAGTATCACATCTGAAGACAAACTGTGGTTCTTTGTCATGTTTAAATACGCCAGAAAAACCTTTAAATCCTAAAACTCATACCACATTCACTCTGCCACCTTCCACCTGCTGACAGTTCAAACTCCCTCATCATAGAGCACAGTTGGAGACTCCTACTTGTCCTCTCCATTGTTCTGGTTTTTGTATTTCTCCAGGAACTCCGCATGTTTGTGCCGGAGGATTTCTGTCTGTTTCTTAAAACCGTTGATCCTGGAAAACAGCAGAAAAGACACCTTCAGGCTCAGCTTCATATTCAGGCATCACAAAGCTCAGACAAATTTACTGTTACCAGACAAATGTGCCATGAAAGAGAAAAGAAAAACTCATTGATTTGGAGGACTTACTTGGCTCTCTCTTTGGAGTCATTATAGATTTCTGTGATGATTCTATCTTTCTCGTCCATGAAGTTAGTGTGAATGTCTTCCAATTTACTGAAAGAGTCGAGAGAGACATTTGATTAACAACAATCTTAACAGAATAACTTTGCTTAACCTAAAAACTCAGAGCTCAGCAGGCGCTCTGTATGCTCAGTTGTATTTATGAGTTTGTGCAGCTGTTATAACAGCTCTTCAGACCATAAAGAAGTGAATCTCTACAAACAGAACTGGCACAGAGTCAGTGTGTGAAAACAAATACGACGACACAAGCCCTGAGGTTGTGTGAAGACACATGGCAGAGGGACGTGTCCACAAACAATCTCATTCATCTGGGTGTGAATGTGCAGCAAAGAAAAGTCAGGAGTGCAGTAAGGGGGAAACATACATTAAGGAAATAAGATGAAGGGGCTGCTGTGTTTCCCCTATATCCATCCATTATGAGTGCCGCTGCTGATTCTTTAATATTCACAGTGAAACGTAACCACTGCATCGTGTGCTTTCTACACTGTGCTCAGCTGACTGGGGTTAAAACAAAGGGGACCCAATAGGGGACCCTTATCACAGACCCACATAGAAATACACACATGCACAAACATATACACGCACACAGGGACGTCACAGGAGAAGCAGCATATGGCAAAAAGATAGACCTACCTACCACCTAATGACCGACCACACAAACATGTTTCTGACAGTCCATGGTGAAGTGATTGTTACTGTTACCAGTTCATTCTGTGAAGCTGCTGTACGTATTAACACCGTTGTGCAGCCTATTCTGTACACTTCTGTAATACCTGCACATTTCGCATTAAATGGGCAGATTGGGCGTCTGATTAAACAGATATTATGATGGTGTATCGCTTTTCTGAATTCTGTAGGGAAGATGTCACTTTGTTTGTGCACACAAAATAAAAATGTGTGCTCGCACCATTTTTGAAAAAGTAAATATTCACATTTTAAGCATAGGACTATTATCTCGGCAGCCCATGAAAACCCATGACTCTCAAAGGTCAGATGGCCTCTCAATTGTTATAAGGATTTATTTATCTGATGTGTAATTCTCATAATTTGTTCAAGTTCAAGAATGATTATTACATACTTTAATGTTACATTATTTCCGACTAATCTTGTATTTTATGATATTCATCTTTGAAAACTAATCATCTCTGTTTATAAAATAATGAAAACATGGTGAGTACCACATTGTGTGGGTTTTTTACCTGAAGAAGACTATGTGGGCTCCTATGCTGAGCACCATGGTTAAGACACAGTAGCCCACCAGGCGGAAGTTCCTCCTCCTCTTCTTCTGCCTCTCCTCTGGCGTCATCTGAGCAGTATGAGACTGATGAAACTGCTCCCAATAATAATTGTTGTCCTGGTTGTTGGCACTGAGGATGAAGTTGTTGAAGAGGGATCGTGATTGGTGACATTAAACACAGAGGAGGGACAGACGGTACAAAGTAAAAAACAGACTATACTGGAGAATTCTTGTGGCGAGCCTGAAAGACTACGTCAATGTATTACCAATAAATACTTTTATGCATTTTACAACTACATTTTTGCACAATCCTACTTGCTGTGCAACCATACAACGTACATATCTGTATCCATCCGTATATTTTTGTTTTGGACTCTTTCTGTATGTTTTTACTAGCTTTGAACTGTATGTTTTTCCACTGCGCTGTGAAGGACAAATAACTTCTTCTTATTCTTCCACCTGACTGTTGAAAGACTCACAGATTTTCTGGTTTCCCTCAAAAATGAGACAGTACATCTCAAGCAGTTTACCCTGAAATATAGTCAATTTAAACAAAAACACACAATCTGCTAAAGAGTGATTCTACAAAATGAAGACGAATTCTTCATTCTGTGTTTCTGCAGAGGTGGAGGTTTCAGGTGTGCAGTACTTTCAAGAATATCATGTCCTGTGTGTGTGTTACAACAAGCAAACATAAGCCACATGCTCATTGTCTTGAAATGAATTATACATCTTCTCATAAGAACATCAGAAAAGGTCTTTGTTCTTCTCCACCCTAACAGTGTCGGAGTGTGGAAACTGAGAGATTGTATGTATCTTCACCTGGCTCTGTAGGTGGTGTGACTGGAGGAAGATCTGAAGGTCTGGCCCCCACTGTATCGATGTCTGATTTTGAAGTCGTACTCTTTCCTACTTGGCTCTTTGCTCAGCACACGGTAGGCCTTGTTCAGCTCCACAAACTGGCCGTGCAGCGCTGGGTTTGATGGGTCGCTATCTGGGTGCAGCTACAGTAACATGGGAGGAGTGGGTCAGTCATCATCACATGTACAAAGCAAACCATTCAACCGAGAGATACTCTGGTGCTCTTATGAGTTTATCTGGATATGGATACTTGCATTAACACACAAAACTCTTCTGACTTCCTCTGTTGAACAAATGCATGCACATACTGTATATGGTTTGCACTCACAACCAAGCTTTTTTCTTTGAGGGGTGAGTTGCCTCAACCCTCAAGGTAAATACACATGTCACATCCATATTTACATTGGAAGCCACAACATGAAAACAAACAGTGAGGAAGCCCACTGTGGGAACAGTTAACAAGCAGAAACCAGGCTGTTAAAGGCTGCCCTCAAGTGGCCAGACATTTAATATTAAATGCACAGCTTGTTAACAAACAAGAACCATACCTTCCTAGATTTGTCAAAAAATGCTTTTTTAATTTCCTCCAAGGTGGCATCAGATTTCACTCCCAGAAGATCATAGTAGTTCACAGCTTTTCTGTGGTGAGAAAGGAAGTAACTCAAAACCAAACATGCATTCGGACCTGTTCAAAGCAGAGTACATCACCATAATCACTCAGTTGTTTCAGGAATTCTGATTAACTTCAACACACACACACACACACACACATACACACACACACACACACACACACACACACACACACGCACACAAACACACATACACACCTGTGTGCAGAGCTCTGAGAGAGCAGACGCAGTCCGCTCTTGCAGCACCAAAGACAACTCTGACATAGTCGCAGCTGAGCCTCCAACTGCATGATGGGAAATTTCTAAGATTCCACACAGACCTGTGCATAGAATTTAATATTGTTTTAACATTGCAATGTTACAAAGACATACCATTATAGGAGAAGCAGAAAGACATTTAAACCAAAATATGAACTACTAAGTGGGCAGATTCCAGACCAAAGCCTCAAGGTGCATTTTTTGATATGTTTATGTTGCACTTGAAGTATACAAATCTTAGAAATCTACTTCATATGGAAGGATATAATCTGATGTTTTATGACTCTGAAGTTGGAGGCAGTGGGCTTAAAAATGGCTGATCATTTTCATATTTTCTAGACTTGCCTATTAACTTTGTCATATTGGCAAGAGGTCACCATAGAGATAATTAAATTATTTGTTATATTAGTTGATTGTGTTTTGCTATATTACAGTGGGGATTATGGCCCAGTGTGAAAATCTCTTTTAAAAAATTTTGGCTGCTAGAAACAAAGCCATGTCACTGAAATAGTTTCAAGCAAATCTCCCAACCACGTACAAGTGGAATTCAATTGTCAATGCAGATATCAATTAAAGATCATTGTACCATGTCAACCCAACCAGTTTGTTTGAAAACATATTGATCAAATTAGAGTTAAATAAAGACGTAAGCTGTTAGTGGAGAAAAAAGGCTGTGTTTCTGTCTATACCTTTCAGTGTGTTTCCATTGAAAATGTGGAGTCAGCAGCTCATCCGCTAACATGTGACCTGTCTGGGGACCACAACAGATGAGAAGGTGAGTGAAATATTTTTTAAAAGAAGGACTTTAACACTAACCAACTAAAATTACTTCTGTCATAATCTGCTGAGAGATAACACACACAGCCTTTCATTCACTCTAACACCATGCAGTTATGTTTTTGGGGGCGTGTTCATCCTGTAAAATTTTAGTTCGTTTTATACACTGTAGATTAAAAAGCACCTTCATTAGCTATATCGACGGCTACAAACTGGCTGCTAGCTTTGACCGGCTTGACTGATTATATAAGTAGTCAAGTTAAAAGTAGACAGGCCTCTTGAATTTCCAGGAGGAACACTTTGTTCTGCTACCTGAACGGACAGGCTAGTGTTAGCCGGGGTTAGCTTGAAGTCAGTCTCTGCTACTGTTATTGCTAAATGCTAATGATTATCTAATAAAGGTAGAAGTGATGGTTCTGGTAAACATAAAAAACAAACATAAGATCTTAATTCAAAACTGGATCAAGTATAAAACCAGCATTTAAAGGAAGAAGAGTGACATACCACAAATGCTCAGTTTCACAACAGTACAGTTGTGCAGCGAGACCGTTGCATAAACTCAACAGCTTCAAGCTAGCTGAAACTAAACCGGAAGATGGGAGACTTTCCTTCAAAATAAAATAAAAATAAAATAAATGTTCATTAACGAAAACAACTACAACTATAAAACACAATATTCATCAGAGCAGACAATTATGTTTAATTACTGTCTTTGTCAAAGATCACAAAAGCAAAAGTTTGGACTCTCCTAGGCAAATGACATATTTTGTTGATTTCCAAGTGAACAGATGAAAATACAGCCTCTGCAGCAAACAGACATAGATTGAGCTTTTCTTCGAATACTAATGCACTGTTACTTTTTATTTCGTGAACTTGAAAAAATAAAAAATGTTATGCATAGATATGGAAATTTTGTGCATTTGGCAGCCAGTAGCACAGCAAACATTGCACGGATGTGAAGGAATGGGAATGAAGTGAAAGCTCATTTTTAATATCTGTTTGCAGCAGGGTTTACTTCTTTCTTCTCAGAAATTAACACAGTTTTAACAAAAGTTTTTCCAGGGTTTTAACCCTGTGGTTGCCGTGTTCACCTATAGAGTGTGATTTATGCCAAGTCCTAAAAAAAACAACAGTATACCTCGAATTGAACATAACACATGCGCCGTTTCTAAAATACAGTCAAAAGTTTGGTCGCACTTTCTCATTCAAGGAAGGCGTGTCAAAACTTTTGACTGGTGCTATATGCACATTCATTTACATTTTACACAGACGCAGAGGTGGGATGTAAGTAGTACATTTACCCAAGTGTAACCCCAATATCTTGGTTGGTAGCGTTCTCCGTTCCCTCCGGGCTGTGGGTGACAAGCGGGCTAGAATTTTATTTGAACTGTCTTCTACAATCACCACCGACATGGCAGGACAGTTGACACAGCTTTATTCTGCTCTCTTAGCAAGACATGTTTATCTAATAGAAGTGAATAATATAATAAACTCAAATAATATTACACCAGTTAATGTACAACACACATTTATATGGTAATCTTATAATTAAAATACACGTGCACAATAATTAAGGTTTACATTTTATGCTGCTTTATACTTCTACTCCACTATATTTCAAAGGGAAACTCAGTAGGCTACTTTTTATTGCACTACATTCAACTGGCAGCTTTAGTTAGTTGGTTTACAAATTAAGATTTTTACATTCAAAACATATAAAGAATTTACAAAATATGAAATTTGTTGTAAATTAAACTATTCAACAGTAAATACAAGATCTGTTGTTCCCGTTCGCGGAACGTTCGCTGCCCCTGAACTTTCCTGAATCACCTCAGGGACGCTCCCGGAACAGAACATTGTGAGCTAGGCTGTACCATAGACTGCATATAAAAAGAGATGTACTTAAAGTATTAAAACTAAATGTACCTGATACAGAAAAATGGCCCTAGTGAGTATCATGCTCTATATTATTAGATTAACATCACTGTTGCATTAATGTAAAAGTAGCATTTCACTGTTGGTTGAAGTGAAGATAATTTTAAATGTTGTAAACTGATTTTAGTACTGTTACTTCAGTAAATGATCTGAATGTCTTCCACCGCTGCAGTTCGTACTCTTTGTCACTAGGTGGTGATAAGTAACACACCGTGCAATCTGTCAAAAAAGAGGAAGAAACTGCTCCGTTGTTTTGCGAATACTTCCACCCAGGAAGGTAAGTAAAACATTTTTTTCAGCTTTTATGTCAAAATCTGACCGTTGATAATCGCTGTCTAAACTGCTTTTGTAATGATGCACGCCACTAAAGACTGGCGGGTTTACATAATGATAGTCTCTGGTTTCTCTGTCAACGCTAAGGTCCAGGATGAATTAATTGAAGTTGTTTGTGATCAGTTAACAGTCCTAAAGTTTACAACATTTAGACTAATTCAAGCGACTCTAACAAACAGCGCCAGCACTGTCACTGTCACCGGTACGAAACGTGAGGTGTCTCTCATTTCACTTTTGTCACATGTTGAATCTTTTCACAAAACTAAACACTTCTTCTCCCAGATAGCTGTTTCAACTATTATCCTTTAAAGGTAAAATAAGCAATTAACCACATTCTGCCGCTCTAGTAAATGTTGAAATGTCCAACATTTCTGCACTGCTTGCAACACCATCCTGTTTTATTTTGAAGTTACTTCCATATGTGTCTGTTGGTTGCTGATCATAACAGATTGTGCTTTTTACATGTGCTCTCTGATGAAGTCAATTTATTTATATTTTTCGTGTGTAATTTTCATAAGGGAACCTCCAGAAGTGAAACTATTAAAACTGCAATGCTAGGAGTGAGGAGATAAGCGAAGACTTTGATGATAATCTGCAGAGATGATGGACCCTGAGGTTTCTTTGCTGCTGCACTGCGCAGACTGGAGGGGGCTGCTGGAGTCCCAAGTAAAAGTGGAGCTTTGTGAAAGGTAAAGTAACTCAAGGCCTCTGGACTGGGTTCAAACAAAGTCAAGTGTAACTTTTTGATCAATAGTGACACTCAGTAAGTGAGGAGCGGCTATATTAGGGAAAGGAAAAAAGGTGCAAAACAACTCATAGACACTATACCCCACACATTATGTTAGGGCTACAACAGTTATTTTTATTCTCAGTTAATCTGTAGATTATTTTTCTTGATTAATCATTTTGTCTATAAAATGTCAGATAACCCTAGTGCTTGTTATAATTTCCCATTTTCAGATGTTTTGTCTGACCAACAGTCCAAAACCTGGAAACAACAAATGTTTAGCATTATTTGATTGTAGAAATAGTTGCAGAATAATTTTCTCTTGATTGACATATTAACTGTTGCAGCATCGCATTATATACAGTCAGTTCAACATGGAAGTTGGAGGGGGATAAAATTTAATTGCAGCAATCTGATGAGTTTGTTTATCTTCCATTTTCCCCTCCTCAGATTTAACAGGCAGACAGATCCAGCTCTAGAGCTTCACATAGAGGAGGTGTGGACAGAGCGGGTGTCCAGGGAGCCGTGGCTTTTCAATGGGGCCAAATTCAGGCTACACTCTTTCTGCTTCGCCTCCCTAGAGTGTCCCTCATCATCCTGTGCTGCTTCTGAACATCTGGCCTGCACTCAATCATCCGAAGAATGCTCCTTAGTCTGTGTGGAGGATCAGGAAGGCAAATTACCTGTCAGACAGAGACAGGAGGATTTGTGCGATTTGGATCCTCTGCATAATGGTGCTCAAAACAGTTTGGACCTTAGAAACACGTCTATAAATCAGACAGAAAATATGGGGGATGTCATCCAACAGACAGCTAGTTCATTGGAACAAGACTCCTCTATTTGTAGAGCAGCTCAACTTCCTTCCCACTCTGATAAGAACACACATGACAAAGACACAGGGCCACTCCTCACTCTGAGACTTGGCCTTACGTGCTACAAGGACTATCTGGGAACCAACTGGTCTTGCAAGGTGGCAGAGCTCCGTCAGCGTGGGGAGGCGGAGTTCAGCGATTCTCTGGCGCTGCTGGCTCAGCCTTTGGGTGTGGGCGGCGTCCTGTGTACAGATGACGGACAGGTGGTGTTGATCAGGAGGAGCCAGAGGGTGGCAGAGGCAGGGGGGCTCCTGGACATCCCTGGAGGTCACCCAGAGCCAAAGGTGAAATGAGATTTTAAAAAAAAAAGAATGTCATGTGAATGATTGTTGTGTTATTGACACCATCACTGCTCTCTTCAGGCGGTGTGTGAGGAGGTCAGCATGGTCATGATACAGCAGAGGCGGGAGGCCGTCGTCTTGGAGCTGTTCGGGTCAGTGTGCGCTGAGATCAGAGATGAGGTGGGTTTGTCTGCCAAAAGAAGTCAACTGCCAACCTGTTAATCCAGGGCTGATATTTAGCTCTGCAGGGAGTTATTGTCTGGCTGGATTTAAGGATGAAAGGGATGTGTGAATGCTGCAAGGTGCATAAAATAAAAGGGAAAACGGGTAGATCTAATGTCACATCAAAGACAGACAGAGTAAATCTGAGATTGCCAAAATTTTATAGGCTGGGACCAGCTGAGCCCGACTCACCTGCAAGACAAAAGTGAAACAGTGAAGTTAACAAGCGAGGTTACAATCAGTATTCAGTATTCACTCCTCTTAAATTTCTCTGAAGTGCTGCAAAAGGCAGAGTTTGGCAAAATGACTTCACAAAATAAAAATCTGAATTTACAGATTTTTGTAGTATAAGTGCTTATACATTATATTGGCTGATGGTTTAGTCTATAAAATGTCACAATAGTGAAAAATGTCCATCTAAAGTTTCCATAGGTGATATTGTGATATGAAGTGATATCACTTGTTTATAGTGATATAAAATAGGGAGAAGCAACAAAGCAGAAAATATTTGGTGCTTTTAGCTCGGTCAGGCTGTTCCTGTCCTTGAGTGATAAACTATGAAACCTGCACATGAAAGAAAAGCTCAAAAGACTCAATAAAAGATCAATAAAACAGGGAAGAATAACTACACTGCTGAAAAACTCTCTGCTGCATTCTTAAAACTTAAATTTGTATAATATTAAGTGATTATAACATCTTTCTGGTTTGTTAAAAAAATAAAATAGAGATAACTCTGGTGAAAACTGGTGCAGAAAATCATTTTCAGATCCTATGCATACTGGTTTTATGGATCATGTCTGTGTTGATATTTTACTTTACTGATTGTTGAACACTAACTAAATACTTGGTAATAGCCATTTCAACACTGTCACCACATATACCCCTGACAGTGTCTCTGCTATGTCGATTATGTTATGTAACGTTAATAAATCAACCAGATCTTGAATTAACACAAGGAAAATGGAAAATAATATTCACTGAATTAGCTTTTTCCAAAATCCTTAGGAGCTCTGTCAGCATTTGAAGAGAAAGCCAAGACTAAAGTCATGATATTTACTTTAGAAAGTCTTTGGAAATGAAATGTTGGACATTTCACTTCTCACTTCCCTCCGTCATCCTCCAGGTGAATGTTCCTCTGAGCTGCCTCGGAGAGCCTGTCCTGATGGGTGTCGCTCTGAATCACACCAGTGCAGGAAGACCAAGTGCTGAGTTCTACGTCAGGTACTTGTCTCTCCCATTTTAATCCTGATGGCGAACTGTAGCACTGTTTCCACTTAAAGCAGTGTTTCCTCACAGTGGAACCGAGAGTATAATCTGTATTGTACAGTGGCCCCGGGGTGCAAAACACAACAAAGTTTGGAACAAAACACAGAAACAAAATAGAAAACACAGCAGCAACAATGATATTTCAGAAGGCAGAACAACAAAACCGAATGTGCAACTTTTTTAGAAAACATAATAAATTAGAAAACAAAACAGCATTTTAGAAAACACAACAGGAAACAACATACTTTAAGAAAGCACATTTAACCAAACAATTAAAGGAGTAAACTCTGAAATGACTCGGGTTCTGTCCAGTCATGAGCAAGGATTATTGTTTCTACCATATCCTTTTTGTGTAATGTTGTTTTCACTTTTATTGTTGTGTTTTTGTTCTGTTGCTGTTACTGTTTTCTCCAATGTTTTTAATCTCAGGGCCACTGTAGAAATTTTCCTGTCAAATAAACAAATGTTAAAAGGAGGTTTTGAGCAAATGTATTTCTACTTAGGGGTGTATAATATGAAAATATGAGTATAATATGAGTAATCTTGCCTTCTGGCCTGTAACACACCATCTGTTTAGAATTAAGTGTCAAAAATGCAGCTGTACCTATTCTTAAAGTAACGTCAGAATCTTTACCCATCAACTTGATATCAGTACAATGCAATACCGAGTCAGATGTATCTGTGTGTCCTCAGTTGCTCACTGACATCAGACGAAGTCAGAAAGTTGTACTGGAAAGGAGGAGCAGAGGCCCATGAGTCCACAGACATCGTCTTCCTCAGCAGAACAGTAAGTAAACTGTAGTAACAGATGTGTAAATGTCTGCATAGCAACTCCAGAATGAGCTTTCTTGTTTTGACAGCTGCATTAGGAGAAGAGTACAGTTTCAGAGTCACACCATAGTAGTAGTTGGCATTTTTGTTGTCTGTTTTTACAGGAGGTGTTGCAGCTGGACAGGAGCAGCCCTCTGTGGTTGGAGCTCTGTCCTTCAGCTAAAGGAGCAGTGCTGCTTTATCAGACAGTGAAACCTGACGCAGAGCGAGACCGGTGCAGTCGACAAGACGCTCAGCTGACGCACAATTGATCCAGTGTACAACCACAGACTTTTTCATCAGAGTTCAGGGATTTATTAACATTTTAAGCACTCCCTGACCAATACTGCTGTTAAAACTGTGCAAAAATACTGTATATTTTTAATCATTTGTACATTAAAAACAAATTATAAAGTTTTTTAAATGTTTTGAATAAAAATCCTAAAAGAGTGACCTGTTTTTTATTTTTAAAATTATTAAATACTACAACACTGATTATCATTGACTGGTCAAAGCAGGAAGTACAACACACATTCTGTAGTCCTCTTGATGATTTAACCAGCTCTTTGTTTTTAAATGAAATGACTGATCAATAGACTTGTCCTTGTAAACACAGGTAATGCAGCAGCATCGGTTTCTTCACCAGTAACCCTCATAACCACTGGAACCAAAGTCTCTGTTGTAGTTGTAGCTCTGGTCCTGATGAGCCACGTTCCACTGAAATGTAAATGACACAAAAGGACAATGTGATTTTGTTTACTCTGTGAAACAACAGGCTGTTGCTGTGTCACTAAACGTCTGACAAGCTGAGTTGAGGTTCAGAACGGACTCAACAAACCAGATATAGCTAGGTGTACCTTTATAAACTGGCAACTGACTACATAATAAAGAAGAAATGGTAATTAACCTAATTAATCAGTCTACTCACTGCTGTGAAACTTGTACCCAAACTCATTGGTATATCTCTCTGTCAATCAACATATCAATAGCCCTGATCATTATAAGCAAAATGAGCTTGTAACCCCCTCGTGAGTTTTTACACAATCCAATCGACGTGTGAGCATCAAAGTTTAATTGTGTCTAATTCTGTTTAATGGGGAAAGAGGCTGTAAAGACTTCACTGAATAGTTTCCTCTGTTATGTAAATGATTAGCATTCCAATAGTTGACCCTAGTTGTAGTGACGGTTTGATTTGAGTAAAACCTGAGTAAAAGTTACACAGGATAAACCTTTGTTTATTTTATTTATTGATTATATTAGCATAATCCCCACAGACATCACTGTTCAGCTGGGTTACTGTTCTGTAATGAGCTTTCATATTTGTCACCTGCTGAATTCTGAACAGTATACATTGCAAGTTAAACAGATGCAGTGACACAGGAAGAAGCAATGATGTTTAAGAGACCACGTGATTTTGTCCAACACAGGTTTAACCCCCAAAGAGAAATGATGTTACTGAGACGTTTGGCTTGTTCGGTGCATTGTGTTGCTGCAGGGTACTCACATATCTTGGGTGCTGTTTCCATGACTGCATGTTGAGTCTTGGGTCATTCCACCCTACAAAGGCAGAAATGAAAATCACGTCAACTATCATCTTAAAATACCAAGTCTCCCAAAAGACTGTCCATCATTTTTCATGCTGACCATTTATCTGAGTCCACTGGATCCTATGTGATGGTGGAGGGCCGTAAGGGTGGGGTCTTTTCTTGTGAAGTCTGGGTTTCTTCTTCTCCTGTTTGGGGATGGGGGGGAGCAGCCTGCGAGCACAGTCTTTGTACTCCTGCAGCAGTGTCTGTGCTTGTTCCTGAGGCAGCTCGACATACTGCAGCTCCTCCAGCAGGTCAGTCTGCTGCTCTGGAAGACTGCAGCTCACTGGAGTCACAATTGAAGAGGCATTTACACAGAGCGTAATTCTTAGCCTGCAGTGAACTCATTTGAGCTTTTTCAGGTTCGTGTCTAATGGAAAGCCAGCTACTAAGCCCATCTCTCACCTCACAATGTGCTTGGGAAGAAGGGGCCAGTGTTGATGAGTGTTAAAAGACCTTTTAATACTTTCTAGGGCTTTTTTTTAAAGGAAACCAAATTCAAAGCTTTTGAGGACTTTTTGAGAACTACAGATAGTCTGGAAAATGCATCAGTAATTCAGTCTGAATATCAGGCTAATCCACCTCTGTTCAGTCACTAAATTACACAAAATTACATAAGTACCTAATGAAGTTAAGTATCAGTTCTCGGTCTGTCATCATTAAATATCATGTCCTCATTTAACCCACTCCACACGGAGAGAAAGCAACAGAGAAACAGGAGAAAAGTTTCCATTCCTAATAGAAAAGACTTTCGATCAACTGCCAACAGACGATTACCTCACTTCACAGTTCTGCTCTTAATTGGCAATGAGCCATCCTCTCATTAATCACTTAGATGTTAAATTTCCAATAAAATGTGCACAAGTCAGACCTTGGAGTTTAAGCAGGGCCGTCTCTGGGATCTGCTCCTCATCACTCGTCTGGTGGTGTGACAGTCGCTTTTTCCACTCGTCTGCAGATGGAAAAACCACCACCACCCGCCGCCTGAAGCCTGTGAACAGCTGCAGCTTGTGACGGCGTGCCGAGAAGAGGATGTTGCACTGGAGAGACGACAAAGAGAGGAGAGTAAAATAACTGAGGGGGCAGAGTACAACATAATGGCTGGCCTGAATTGAACTACTGCTGTTATGTCCAAACATTTTTCAGCGCTTTAATGACTTAATTAATTCCACATGCTTATGAGGACATGCACAGTGATGTCACTTTCATAGTCATGTGACACAGTAGCTGACATTCTGTCTCACATTCAGGTGCTTTGAGGTACGAAATTAAGAAAATGGTATGGGGATAATAGGTAGATACATACAGGTCAGTTTCACAAGACAACAATGTGAATTAACAGAGTTTTCAGAGTTAAACTGATACATGTTTCGAAGTGAAGGGTTACCTGGTCCAGGATGTAGTTACCAGGAGTCTGAGCAGCCAACTTAATTAAATCAGTTAGACACTGAGAGGCCTGCCGCTGCCTGCTGTCCCTCTGTCCACCACTCTTCACACACACACACACACACACACACACACACACACACACACACACACACACACACACACACACACACACACACACACACACACACACACACACACACACACACAACACAACACAATGGTATTTAGATCAGTTGATCAAAGGTTGAACATGATGATCTTTGAATGTGGATATAAAACATGAATAGAGAGACAAGAGGTTTGACTGACAATCGTACATGCGAGCAGCTCCTCTGTGCCCAGAAGCCTGTACTGTTTCTCTGGATGCTGCTTCATGTGAGTTCTGGCCCAGTGGCTCTTCCCAGAACCAGGAAGACCCACCATCAACAAAACCTGGAGGGAGGAAGAGAAACATCAATGTTTACAGGCTGTACTGTGCACACAAATAAAAATTCCTTAATGTGATAAATTTGAATTTTGGTCATATTGTGCCATTTTGCCTTTCCATAATACACATAAAAATACTTTGGAGAGACCTTTTACAGCAACAGAATATTTTCATCCTTCAGAAATCCTTTTGGTGGACCTAACACACACACCCAATACACAACTTGTTCCCCTAATCATCCTTCTGAGTCTCCAATAGATAGAAATTATCTTGGAGCTCATTTCACTACAAAACTCAACTGTTAATCTGAGAATCTGCTGAACTCGTGTCCAGTTATCTGTTGATTAAACCAAATTGTTTGAAACCTTACAAACTTTAATTTTTATCACCCTGATCACTTTACCTTCTCCTTTGTTTTGTTTATGTTAATGTTTTGTTTTCAAAAGGCTGAACAGGGTGGATGCATGTATATGTATGTCTTTTGTATAAGTATTGACATTTTAATTTAATTTGTAGAAGAAAAAAAAAAACTTTGCATGGAAACCCAACTATTAACCCCATCTCTCACCTCACAATGTGTTCGAGAAGAAGGGGCCAATGTTGAGCGTACCCTCTGCCCAGCAGGTAGAGCTGCCAGCGGTGTAAAACCTGGAGGCCCAGGGTACCAGGGAGGACTGGTGGGGTCAAGGAGCAATCTGACTGAACAGCTCTTACAGAGGACGTGAGGGACGAGAGCACGACCCTGCAGCACAGAGGCGCCCAGGGAGAAGGCCACACCCATGAAACGACCGTTCTTATGGAATGAGAGCTGAACAGCACCATCTGTGGAGAAAGACTGTGGGGGTATAAAACACACAAACACACACGCACACACTTAGATCAGAGAAAACTTACCCTACAATTGTATTACAGAGATTATAGAGAGAAAAGTGTAACTCACAGCGTAACAGCCAATGATATCCCCCTCTGAGAAAGGTTCTCCAAACTCCTCTTCCTTTCCATCTGATACTTTTTTACTGCGCCCATCATAAGCAAAAGAGAGATCATCTTCACCTGGTGTGAGACAGATTGAAAACCAATGGGAAATAAAAGCATGTTACCATTAAAGAGATATTAACAAGAACAAAAACAACTCCAGAAATGGGGCCTCAGTTCAACTGACTTATCCTGAGAAAGAGAATGAAATCCTCCTCACCCAGCAGCAGAGAGGCGTCGGCCACCGACCAGCCGACTCTCAGACCACAGGGCTCCATGACCTCTTGTTCCAACCTCCTGTCCAGCCTGACCTCAAAGCTCACCCTACCCTGCAGCACCCCGTGGGTGAGCCTGGAGCCTGACCACAGTGAAGGGAACTGAGCCCAGAACCGTGGCTGCCCACAGGATCCATCAGGATCCACCTCAAAATGGAGGTGACTGTCATCTGTGAGAAACAACAAAGAAAGATTCAAAATACTGCTGTTATGGCTTTAATTTTTATTCCAAGAAACTACATATTTCATTTTTCTCCACCAGGAAGGTGGTGGGTGTTCTCCAAAGACTCACATGGATCTAGTCTAACTTTATCTTCATCCTTCTCCTGTACTTCTTCTCTGTCCACTGGAGGTTGTGGTGATTTGGCTCTGGTTGAGAGGAGATACACCGCGAGGCATGCTGTTTTATAATACCCATTTCATAGAAAGATATAAAAACTCTCTCATGAGATATTCACAGTCCAAGTTCAGGAAAGTTTCACAATTTTTTCTCTAAAATTTGGGCACAGAATGTACTTGTAATCTGAACCTGAAGCCTTCATCTCCTCTGTGGCTGCTTTCTCACAATACTATTAACTACTGTGCAGCTTGCATTACCTTTTATATCGTATCTCCTCTTTGAACTCGTAGAAAGCTCTTCCCCTGCCCGTCTCCTCTGATGACAGAGCTCTGTCCTCTCCGGGACCATCCACCTCTCCCCCCTCAGCCTGGTGCCCCCTCACGGGCTCTGACACAGACTCCGAGCCGTGTTGTAGTGTAGTTACACCGGCATCAGTCTCAGTCTGTGTACCGGCGTCTGTGTAATCTTTGGTGCTGTCTGGACTACATGGGGCAATGACACCCGCTTCAGTCGGTGGTGACGGGGACTGAGCGCGTGCCTCAACCGTCTCCGTCGCTGCTGAAGGTGTCGGTGAGCTGACACGTTGTAGTGTTACCTGTGTTTCACCGTCTCCCCCGGTGTGTCCGCTCTCTAAAGCAGACCACAGCCGGCCAACCAGCTCAGCCTTCAGTCCTTTACTGTCCAGCCCAACTTCTTGAAGTCTGAACCGCAGCTCCGCCACTTTTAACTTTTTGATATCCGTTAGCTTCATTGTTGCCGTGTGGCAATGGATTCAGGTGTTCTCTTATTCAAGTTGTGACTTCTTTAAGTGAAAACAATCGCCCAGAAAACTGTAGTAAAAGAGCAAATATTCGGATCAAAACAACAGTTCAATATGGTGCCCTGGTTTGTGATTGGCCGCTTGGATTCGGAACACTTTACTTCACCCTTATAATTACTGGCAGGTTAAACACTCGCAGGACTCTTTACTGCCACCAATGGCAAGAAATGACACCTTTCGTTGAATCACGAGGATCCCCTTTTTTAGGCTTTCTGACTATCTTTTTCTTTTTAATTTCATTAAAGCTGCAAGACTTACAAGGAGGTGATGTCGTCACCTGTGTCTGTTTATTTGTCAGCAGGATTAAACAAAAAGCACTGAAATAATTTGCACCAAATTTGGTGGAGGGATGGGGCATGGGACAGGATAAAACCTTGGGGCAAGTCAGAATTATTTACTTTTAATCTTAATACTTTAAGTACATTTTGCTGATAATACAAGATTTTATTACAACACTACATGCTGAATTTCTTTGGGTTCCTGACTGTTATTTGGACAAAATGCAATGTCACCTTTGGCTTTGGGAACTTTTAATGGATGTTTTCATTGTTTCCTTGGACTTTGGGAGGGTGTGATAGGCGTTTTTCACAACTTTTTTACATTTTAGATCAAACCATTAATCGAGGAAATAATTGGCAGATTAATCAATTATGTAAATAATCCTTAGTTGCAGTCATATTTTAAAATAAAAACTTTTCCGATATACTTTGTTCACTACTTATGAGTTAGGACAACATTCTTTTATAATGGGAAGCTCTTTATTCAATGAACAAGACAAATGCAAATACACAAATATGAATAAGCACAAACAGGTATAAGAGGTAAAAAGCAAGACCATTATCAGTTATAATACAAAAAACATTTCATATGTTACAATTCAATTCAAGTGACAATGCTGGCTCATCTCTACTTCAGATTTCTTGCTCTGCTGCCTGTGTGTCATTACAACCACTTGGGTCAAAGAGAAAAACCTTAAAAACAACTTAGAATCATTCATTTAAAAAAAAACTCTTCAATGACCCTTTTGCGCTCCACATAAATCCCTCTTAATTGGAAACTCTCACAGATCCTTGAAAGTTTACCTCCTAATTATTCTCTACAGACTCTACACAGATCATTAGAGAAGAGTTCATTGCTTCATTAACGCCCTGAGAGCGGCTGTGTCCACACAAACAGCATCATAATAAAAATCGTCAAAAGAAGAGAGCAGGTCAGCAGCAATTTTTCTGTTGCGCAACAGAACATTCAGGTCATGCTCACACAGTGAGCCTGTTTCACGTACACGGTGGCTCAGTCACACTCTCACCACATGCTTCACAATAAAAGCGCCTCAGTACTAACATCTGAATATTACACTCAGAACAAGTAAACAAAATGTATTCTCCCTGATGAGGACACAACTGTGCAAAATGTCAAGACCCCAGCAGAACTGTAAACAACCATGCATATTAAATATATTGAAAACAGAATGTAGGATAAACACCACCTGGTTGTGTGTAGTGCCATACGTCTAATGCATGAATTCACAAAGTCAGGATCAAATGACAAAGATAAGCAATAGCTTCAAAGTAACACTGTGGTTGTTAGATCACTGAATACAGATGCTTCAGCTATCCCAGTGTGTGTTTCTTTGCATGTTTCTTCTTCTGTAAAATCCCTTTTATCCCAAGAAAGACTTGAGAATAGTCCCAGTTTGTGCCTCACATTTCCAGAATCCTTTAAGACTCTTCTAGCCACATAGATAAAAAAAAGAAATTCAGTCGAATATGAATAGAAAATCCAGGAGTCACAACTGGAGAAATTATTTACAAATCTTTTTTTATCGTGCAGGGGACAGAATATTTTTTCATCCAGATGGTTAAAAGAATCTTTAAGAGTTTTAGAAATGGATTTTTGAGTGTTCAGGAAGGATCAATTAATATTTATCAGAACAATGGATGCTTAATTCTGTGACAAAAATGTAATAAATACATAAGAGGTACAAACTGGTGCTAAGTCATGGTGTCACTATGAGGTGATGGGTACTTGAGTGAGGCAGTGTTATGTAATCTAAGTGATGTTGGGCCTGCTCAAACATCATATCATTATATAATATAGCCTGTTTGATACTGGATTTCTGAGGCAGATACTGATATCAGTATTCCAGATTTTCAGATGACAACAGATTCTTAATTTGCCGAGAACACACACCATAAAAAAATTCTCATGAGTATTCCTCATATTTGGTTATCAAAGTATTTTGACCTTTTTTACAGTTGATACATAAACTTGCCACGGCTCTCTGGAAGTCAAACTACCTCAAAATGTCTTTGCCTGTTCTGCAATGTATCATTACTTATTGGCTGATACGAACTCCAATATGATTTATCACTCAGGCTCTATTATATAAGATGCAGGATTATATCAAAATATGATGATACCTTTAATATTATGTTGTAAACAATACGTAAAACATTCACATTCTACATGCAGGAGCAAGAACTGTCGAGTGGACATTATCAGTAGTGATAAGGGGAAAAACAGAGGTTTAAAACTTAATTTTTATAGTGTAACACCTAATATCACTACCTCATTCACTCTCAGTTAGACGAAGATGGTGGGTGTCGCTGGAGGATGTGGAGGTGAGGGGGAGCTGCTGACAGATGTACTGTGTCCCAGCAGCAGCTCCTTCTCTCGGGGAAGACAAGGCCCGCTGATGTGCTGGCTGTGGGAGTGGTAGAGCCGCAGGAAAGCCAGGATGGACTGAGCCAGCCACAGAGCCGTCACACACCACAGAGACGCCTGAGGACACAAGGTGTGACTGAGTCAGTCTTACAGTTAACTGACACAAAGATGTACTTTACATGGATGAACATTTCAGAATATATGAGTCAGGCAATAATTCAATTGTTGTTTAATTGTGGCTGTGCTAATTATTGTACCACATTTTTTTTTTATCTGTAATCACTATCATTCAATTTGTTTTATCATTGAATCTGTGTACTGACTTACATAGTGAAGGTAAGACCTATTGAATGTTAATAAAATAAAACATTATATAGACAGAAAATCCCAGCATCATGCCTCAGCATTTTAGAACTACATTAAAGAAAAAAAAATTCACAAATACATTGTCCGATTCAGGCTACTGGAATAGAGGCTAGGTTGAAAAGTGGGTGTGACCTTGGCTATCCATTGTGCACAATGTGTATGTTTGTGTGCAATTGTAAGCACTCCTACCTGTGCCAGATTGAGCTCTGTGTAGAAGAAGGAAGTATCCACATCCAGGTAAAGTGGAACAGACTGTGACTCTGCACAGCTAAACACAAAAAAACACGAGGGAATGAAAGAAGATTCCCAACCACACTCACAATATGGTAACAAATATTAATGTAATACAGAAGCTATCCCTTTTACCTAGTTAGTGTTGTTACAATTAGTCGGTTAATCAATTAGTTGATCGAGACAACAATAATCAGTAAGTATTTTAATAATCAATTTCAGTTGTTTTTTAAAGCAAATACGTCAAAATTATCTTGTTTCTCTGGTCTTCTTAGTCGTCTATGACAGTTGAGTTCTGGACTGATTATCGGACAAAACCAGAAATTTGAAAACATCACTTTGGACCATCTTGTCGCGATATCACTCCTGCAACATTTACAGTATGATGATCCACCAGGACAGTATCAAAGAGGTTTAGTACCAGACTACTTACCTGTATGTGCGTGTGTTGTCATCAGTCACTGTGTCACACCATGAGACCAGACCCAGAGACAAGATGACACTGGCCCCTCCAGACAGGAAGAGCACACACACACTCAGCAGCACCGTCAGGAAGGACGAAAACAAGGTGCTGAGCAGAAACACACAATACAGATATTAGACATACTGTGCAAACAACAAACGGACACTAATGATTAATTATCAATGAATCCGTTGATAAGTTTCTTGATTAAGCGACTAGCTGATTGGTCTATAAAATGTTAGAAAACTGTGAAAAATGCCCATCACAAAAAAAAGCCAAATCCCAAAGTGACATCTGCAGTTTCTGTATCAAAACTTTAGTGGGTATTAGCGCTCCAATGACTTATCATTTTGACTATGAAATGCAAATAAATTGTGATTAAGAGCACGTTGATATGTGAGTGATAAAATAAAATGATACTACATTTTCTGTCGATTAGTATCAAAGAACAATCAATTAGTGTACCCACCATTTTTATGATTTTTATGAGCGATGAATTGTTTGTATCATTTTTCTAGCAAAAATGCTACAAAATTCTCTGGTTCCTGCTATTCAGTGAGGATTTACTTTTCTTTGTCTTTACTTTTCCTTGTCTCCTAATTAACTGAATATGATTGGGCTTTGGGCTGTTAGTTGGGTAAAACAAGGAATCTGAAGACATCACCCATTGGGCTGAGAATTATTAATATGCACTTAATTACAATTAATTTTCATTTCACAGACAAAACACTGCAAACCCCACTAAAGCTGCAACTACTACTATATTAGTTCAATACTTGCAGCAAATACCACTGCTGCAGTAGTAGATGTAGAATTAGGTCGGTAGTACAGTTATCATATCAGTAATAGTAATCAAAAATGCAGCCACCGTCATTAGTGTTACCTCTATAATAACTGCGTGTATATTTGTGGTGGAAGATGCATTCAAATAATAGTTTAGTAAGATTTAGAATATTTCCTTCTGAAATGTAGTGGAAGATAACATAACAGGGAAATGCTCAAGTAAAGTAAGTACCTCAAAACTGTACTTATGTACAGTACTTGTGTACTTAGTTGCTTCCCACCTCTGTGTAAATATGTTGTTTATGTTGTGTCAGCGAACTCACTCGTCATGTCGTCCGTGCAGATAAAAGAGGCACCTCCAGCCCTGCGCTGCACCGTACAGCACTGTGAAAATACCGACAAATGTGGCGAACTGGCAGGCTGCCGGTGGACCCCACTGCTGCACCACCAGGTGAGAGATGTCTCCGGGCTGCCCTGTCAGCTCGGCCCGGTCCTCGGTCCTCCAGTAGCCGGTGGAGAAGAGTGCGCAGCGGCCTTTAAAAGCGGAGCCATTGAGAGCCATGGGGACGACCACCAGCAAGCCCGCCACGATCGACAGGGCGTGAACCGCACAGTGGGCCAGCAACAATCGCCGGTCCAGCTCCATATCAGAAGTAAAACTAAACTAAACGGTGAAAGTATTCACGTTGTTTAAAAAAAAAGTATCAAGCTATATCAGCACATCCCCGTTTATGTCCCATATAACGGTTCACCGTGGTGGTGGGTATTTAAAGAAGTAAGGGCGGGGACGGACTCCTCCGTTACACAACAGAAGAGGAGCCGAGAGGTCTCACTCCGCCGCTATCTCCAGGAACTAGAAAGAAAGAAGAAGATTCATCATAATTATTGTCATCATTACATAATAATAAGTTGTAACATTATCAATAAAAACTCCGTTTATTTGATAGATTTGCAAAATTCAGAATTCATGTCTCCTCTCGATAACATCAGAATATAAGAATAGAACAACAGTATATTGAATCCAGAATATTATGATATTACCATAGTTAACTAATCCTGTTTAATGCATTTAAATTCCAAATATGGGCACTTGTATGATCCACAGATCAGTTTCAATAGTGAGGTCCCTTTTGAATCACTGGCATGATGGCAGATCTAGTTGTCATTAGCTGGAAGCTTTCCAGTGGCAAACCTGGAGGACTGCTCCCTTTTCAATTAGTGCTAGGCTAATTTTGAGCAGAGTGATATATCTGTTTATACAAGCCATCGTTTGGACTACAAATTCCTCCACTAGTGACGTAGGTCGCGAGGACCTGACGTCTGTTTTCACCAGCTGGCCTCTTTATATCAGCTCACGCAGAAGAGGATTTAATCAACCTGCAGATTGCTGTGTGGATGATCTCACTGATGAAAACTCTGATCAGTTACGCCAATCGGCAGACATTTAAGGCCTGACAGCAGTCAAAACTCACCGCTATAACCTTAAAAAAAAAAAACTAAATGAACATTAAAAAAAGGCTAATTTCCATAATTTTCTTAAATAACCAGCTTTCTTGTACTTTAACTTGTACAGTTAAATCATGAACTAAACATTTGGACTTTCTCTCTGGTTGCTTACATTAATGTTGTGTTTTATAATCCTGATTACATATAGCGACTCATCTGTTACAAGCAATGTTTTCCCACCCCAGCATCCCAGGGAATCATGCTGGTTTCACTGCTAACACAGACATACTGGGTCACCATGTGAGTCTAATTTCCAGCTAAAGAATCTGGTAGGACAGAATAGCAAAGGTGCTCTGGGTTTAGAGGACCACAACTGACCATGGTACTGGAAAGAACACACTGCATTTTAGGTCTTTTAAATTTGGATGTCACAGTTTAGTAGAGAGGAATGTGGGGTGGAGCTGGGGTGAAATTCTTCTCTGTAGGAGAGACACTGGTATCCACTCACTGCGCCCCCACCCCCTTCATCCTACTGATAAACAAGAGTTGCTGAAGCTTTAATGCATATTCTTCTAAAATTATATGGAGATGTCTTCGGTTTTCATAATGTCGCAGACCAGGGCACTCAAAATCACTGAGTGAAGTACACAACACAAACTGTGCAACTGAGAAAGGCTGAAAAAAAAACATAAATTCAGGAGCTGAGTCAGAGGTGTGGTCGAAGCCACCACCCCCTTGGATCTGTGTTTATGAGCTTCTGAAAAAGCTTCTCACTTTGACTGATCGTTCTTTTGTGCCCCCTCCACCAGAGTCAGAGGGTTGGAGGTAGTTGGCCTATTAGCATGATAGGTGGATTACTAAACAAGACAAGACTCTGTATGAAGTGACAGTTAAGATTTCCAGTTGGAAAGTCAATAAAATTACTACAAAGCCAGAAGCAAAATAACCACAGAGAGACGCATATCCTGTGCAGAAAAAGATGCAAAAGAACCACAAAGAAATGAAAAACGAATACACACGGAAAGAAAATTCCCACAAATGACACATCTCATATAGGAGGTGTGGGAGGCCTTTTACATATTGGTCTGCAGGACCTTATTACCTCATGGTCCATCCATGGCTATAGGCTATTTAGGGTAAAAAATAGCAGCTGTTTATTGATATTATTTAGTTTTTAGAATATGTAATGGTATTTATTTGGCATTCTTTATTACACTGAATAAACAAACAAACCACTGATAATGTAGAGTTTATTAATGCCAAGAACCACAGGCCAAGTCTACTAACAAAATTACGCTATGTGGAACAGTTGTGAAAATCATGACCATATCAATCATGAAATATGTAAAAATTGGGCAAATTGATGAAGCAAGTACAAACAAGTTAAAGGTCACCCTCAAGTTGACCTTAATGGGAAACTTACTGCAAGCCAAGTTTTCCAGATTGAATTAACACAGAACTGACTGAACACGATGTCTGTTTAACAAAAGGGAGTCTCATGAGGTTGTTGTCATAGGTTGTTATATAGGGCAGGCAGCCATTTTAGAACAAGGCCAATACACATAGCTGTATCAAAAAGTCAGCTGAGAAGTAAGGAATAGTGGATTGAATTGAATTGTTAACAACCTGTCAATTGATGGATTTTTTAATAGATTATATTACTTTATGTTAGGTTAATATGATTTGTATTTATTAATACAAATGCACATAACTGTGCAATTTACATGGCCTTTGGTCAGTTTATTACATAATAATTTGTTCATAGTGTTGCTTGTGATGGCTTTACAGTTTGTTGGGTTTTTTGCAATCACTAACATGCATTTCTCGGTACTGAGTTCACTTTTTTAGAGCAGTCAGCACTACAGAGGTCAATGTGGACTTAACTGTGGATCACTTTTCATTGCTTTGATACAAAATGCATTGAATGATCAATGTGAATTTTTTTCTCACCCAAGTCAACCACAACCAAAACACAACACAAAATTACTATACACTAGATTGCAATTTGTTACATTCTGGTACATCTATATCAAAAGAGAAATAGAAAATAAAAATGCAGAAACCTATCTACCTGTTTTCAATACATGATGACGTTTAATGTTTAAAGATTTCCCCTGTACTATCATATTTTTTTATGTATTCATTTCGAAAACCAGTTTCTCTACATGTTCATCTACCAAAACTGTATCTATTCATCTGTCTGCTTATAATTTGTCTAATTAAACGATTTAACGACAGTTGATCTCAAAAACATGATATTTGTTTCGAAACGAAAATGCCGAAACCCGGGATCGAACCAGGGACCTTTAGATCTTCAGTCTAACGCTCTCCCAACTGAGCTATTTCGGCGGTGACCACATGAAGATGGACATACCAGATTTAATTACACACTAAAACTGACAACAACTGTGAATAATAGTTTTTAGTAATTAACAGGCGCATAAATGGTGACAAAGCCCTAGCCGGTAATTGGGGTAACTTTGTGTCTCTATGGCTCTTGGTCGGCAGGACGTTACCCTACATGATGACGTAACTTCACACCCACATTCAGCGAGCGCAGAGGCTGATGGGAAGAAAGGTCAAGAATCACAAGCTGTTGAAGACACGGATCTAGTGCTGCGACAAAGATTATCTAATACTCCAGGTGAAACTAGTCTGTTATTTTAAATGAGACCTGTACGCTTTGCTGCTAACAATACAGCAAAATTACAATACGCTATCGCACGGTTCTGTGTGACTCGCCGCCGATACAGCACTCTGGCTCAATAGCTAACGTTAGCTGGCTAGCAGCTGCATTGTTATTGTTTTCGCTTTATTTGGGGGCAGTATATACACACCTCACAGAGGTTCCTCAGCCGAGACAGGGGCCTGGACTACCTGAGTGATGGTTTTCTGTCCGTCCCGGGACAATGGATGAGAAATCCAGCAGCAGCAGCAGCCACCACCGGCTTCTCATCGTCCTACTCATGGCGTTGCTCTTTGGCGTCATGATGATCCAGTACGTGTGTCCGAGCAGGTCTGAGTGCCAGATGCTGCACCAGCTGGGATCCTGGTTGAAGGTCGGTGGTACAACTGGTTCCCACAGCAGTGGCAATGAAGTCCAAGATGGGCTCTTAAAGGATCCGTACATTGCAGAAGACGGCGCTCTGGTCCGCTTTGTCCCTCGCTTCAACTTCACCAAAGCCGATTTAAATCGTGTTGTAGACTTCAACATCAAAGGGGATGATGTTATAGTTTTTCTGCACATTCAAAAAACAGGTGGCACGACGTTTGGTCGACACCTGGTGCGGAATATTCAGCTGGAGAGGCCGTGTGAGTGCCACGCAGGTCAGAAGAAATGTACCTGTTACCGGCCAGGTAAAAAGGAAACCTGGCTCTTTTCACGTTTCTCCACCGGCTGGAGCTGCGGGCTTCATGCGGACTGGACTGAGCTAACCAGTTGTGTCCCGTCACGCATGGACTCACGAGAGGCTCCTAAGAACCTGCCCAGGTTGGTGACTTCACATTTCTCTTAATAATGATTATGTAACTGCACAAATGTATAGAATGCAGGGATGTGACAAGGTGTAAACTAAAATGTAATACAAGTCAAAACGTTTGTGGAACAGTTTACCCTGGCCCGTTTGACCTGGTTTTAACACGATCTCTGAGTAGAGAGATTTTTTTTTTTAAATCTACATAAAAATTGTGTGTGTGTATTATGTCAACTTGAACCTACTACACAAGTGCTCCTCCACACAGCAAATAAACAGTTCACATAATTGCAGGACTTCTCAGTTTCTTTTTGTAATTTTTGCCAAATCAGAACCAACTGAATATGAATCAGTTTCTAGTATTTAACACCTCCTTCTCTGCTTAGTCTACCTATTAAATAATTGAAAAGAACATTGAACGCATAAATTGCAATGACTTAGTTCAGTTTAGTTACTTACTTACTTTATTGCAGGCCTAACGTCCTCTTTTTCTTTCCAGAAGGAACTATTATTATATAACCATCTTAAGAGACCCGGTGTCACGCTACTTGAGCGAGTGGCGTCATGTGCAGCGTGGTGCCACATGGAAAGCCTCCTTACATGTGTGTGATGGACGTTCACCAACACTGTCTGAGCTACCAAGCTGCTACTCAGGAGACGACTGGTCAGGTTGCTCCCTGCAGGAGTTCATGGACTGCCCCTACAACCTGGCCAACAACCGGCAGACCCGCATGCTGGCTGACCTCAGCCTGGTGGGGTGCTACAACGTCTCTGGTACGAGTGAGGAAGAGCGGTGGGCAGTACTTCTGGAGAGTGCTAAACGTAACCTTCGGGGAATGGCCTTCTTTGGGCTAACTGAGTACCAGCGTAAGACCCAGTACCTGTTTGAGCGAACCTTCAACTTGGAGTTCATTGCACCCTTCACACAGCTCAATGGCACACGTGCCTCCAGTGTTGACGTACCTCCTGAGACGCAACACAGAATCCGCCAGCTAAACCAGTGGGACGTAGAGCTATATGAGTACGCCCGTGACCTTTTCCTGCAGCGTTTCCAGGTGGCGAGGCAGCAGGAGCGCAGGCAGGCCAGAGAGAGGCGGCAGCAGGAGAGGAGGCGGCTCCGTGGACGGCTCACAACAAAGCAAGGGAGGCAGCTGAAGCCCACAGAAACACCTCATCAACATGACAGCCACTCTGTAGTAACTGAGGAGCAGCAGAGGGAGAAGGCTGGTGAAGACAGTGTGGAGTCAGAAATGCTTCTCCCAGAGTGGTGGGATCTGGATGAGAATAGTACCATTGAGGACTATATGGACAATGTGGAACAGTGGTAGTTACGGGAACAAGCAGTAGGGTCTTAATACTAAGTGTGCCAAGTTCTGCCTTGTCTGTTGTTAATTAATCCAAGTTAATTTTAGTATTTGCCTTCCACTATGATTTTTGTCACTATGAACTGTTTTAAAATGACACATTTATTTATTGATACCAATTGTATTTCTTTGCCTCAACTGACATTCATAATGGATACATTTTCTTGACAAGAAGAAAGGCTGCTCTAGTTACCTGTTATCTCATACCTTTTAGTGTTCACACAAGCCTTCTAGATTGTTCTCTTGGCTTTTAAACACATCTGAAAACTTGTGATGTAGCTTGAAATGAGGGTAAATAATTTTCTTTGTCAAAAGGAACAATGTGACACTTGTTTCTATTTAAAATATGCTACTGTTTGTGATTAACAATCTATATGTTTGCCAGATTGTTGTCTTGTATGAAATATGTACATTTTGAAATGTACCTGTGTTTTTAAGTGTCTCTTAAGTTACAGAGGAGAATGGAATTTTCATAGATACCTCAATGTGTTGCATTAACTGCTAATGTTGTAAAATTACTGAATGTGTCCCAAGTCTTTATATAAAATCCTTTTACATTTACCGAACTGCTGTTCTATTCTTGCCACACAGATATCTTCTTATTGTAAATATTCTTTTGTCTGATCATTTGCAGAAAAGACTGCAAGCTTTTGTGTTGCACTTGCAAGCCTCTGGAACACCAGCAGGGAGTGCTGAAGTACTTTTAATGAAATCTAAAGTTACTGAATGGGGATACTGAGGTGATAGTTGACATCACAGCTTATTCTTAAATTTGGTTGGGTAGGATTTGAACCATTTATCAGTCTGATCCTCAAAGGATTTAATAGAGGGATCAGATTTGACAGCTGCGCCTAAATTTTGAAGAATTATTCTGCAATGTAGTGAAAATGCTTAAAATTTTATAGAGGTTATTGGATTGTTAATGGCTGGGATTATTTTATCAGTAGAGTTGTATTGCCAGAAATGGTTGAAGGATTAGAACATTTTATATATGGTCTTAATTGTCTACATTATACTAAAATATGAAAACTAAATTTCAGTCGATGTTTAAATTGGGATTACAGCATGAGAAAAGTGAATCGTGTACAGATTTGTTAAACATTTTTTGGTCACAATTAGAAATTGATGTTATTAACCAGTAATAGAGCCATTGATTATAGCTTTAAACCCTCTACACAATAAATTAGAAAGTGGTACTCATTGTCCAAATTGTCAAAGAAGTGATTGCTGGTTTTATTGTGAAAAACCATACGGCGACCGGAAATACTGAGTCGGTATAAAAGCAACGTCCTAGCATCAGGTAGAATAACTAAAGAGCGCTCCTGTACTGTCATATTTTGACTGACATTTAAATGTAAATACTATGTACTGATTTAATGTGTGTTATGTTTTAAAGTGTTAAAAGATCGAGAAACACAGACACCCCCGTCTTTGTTTACATGTATTCTGAACGGTTGCTGAAATGTTCAATAAGGCGGACGTTAAGTTTTAATTTTGAATGTTAGTTAACGTTAGCTGTTGCAAAACGCTAACTTTAACGGGTCATTTTAGCCCAACCGCTATCCTGATGCAACGCCTTTAAGTTAAATCTTTAAAACGGCAGCACGTACTTTGACTAACATAATGGCTGAATCTTTTGGCTCTCGTTTGTTCTACCAGGTTGGCACAAGGCGACATATTATGTATATATACCTCATAAGCTGTACCCACCTGCGACGTCTTCACGGCAGCCTACCTTTTTGTCGTGACTCTCATTTCCACCAATGCTAATGATGTTATCTTATAAACGTAAGCAAACACACACGCCCTCTCTGCCAACTCCTCCCTCACCATTTTGCCCTGCCTCTGATTTTTTTTGAATCTGTCATTCTGCTGTGTTGCAGCCGAGCATATTTAGTTGCAGCTAACATTTCAGCTGCAAGCTAGACCCCTCGCCTCTTTCTTTCTTTCAGTTCGCGACGGCAACACGTTTTTCTTACCTGCTACGATTTTATTATGTCTAGCTAGCGATAACGCGCTTTTTCTTTTTCTTCTTTCACTTCCAGGTAATGCTGAGTGTACACTAGACCAGCAACGCGCCTTTGTGGAAAATAACCACCAAATAAACATTTTAACCGACGTTCATTTAGGAGAAAACATTTGAGTCTCAATCCGATTGGACTACAAACAGGTAAGAGGCTGAGCACGTCTGGCGCAGTTGACTTTGCAGCAATATTAATGCTACCTGACGCATTTAAATAACTAAGGTTAGCCGTGAATTTTATATTTCATCCATATCAGTTAAAATGCTTCTTACAGTCTGCCTGTTGCGCAGAAGCTCAAAGCCGCCTTTGTTATTCTTAATAAGGGCGTAATTGTTGTGTTACACATAGGCAAAACTGTAACAGTATTCACATTTAACATGCACTGGGCAGGTCTGCTGAGAGCTGGCGGCCATGCTCTGTAAAGATGTAAATAATGCTGAAGCAGCTGTCATATTTTAGTCTGGTATCTGCACACGAGGTTTTGATTGAATGCAATATTTTTTGGATTTTATTGGATGGCTTTTGATATCATGCCAGAGAGTGAAGAGCAAAAAAAATCTATGTTAAATTACTTTCTGGGTCACTCAGTTCACTGTAATAGTGGGTTTAAATCTATTAAGTGAGGGGCACTTGCAGCTTGCCTCCTGGTTATCTATGTATGTGTGCAGGATTTTGCAGACAATATTAATGCATGTGTGCAATCAGTGCAGGAGTTTGAGTTTTGTCCTTGGTTTACCTTTAAGGGGTCAGACACTCGAGCCACCATGCTGTGTTGTCACTACTTGCCGACACACATTGTATGCATCTACAGTGGATGTATTGCCAACATCTTGTCTTAGTTAACAATACAGCCAGTCAAGACAAGTTCACACTCCCTCCAGGCTGTGGACTCACCACCAGTGTAGCTTGTTTTTCTTTACTTAATATAAACACAGATAAACTGACACACACTCACACTATAGTTATGAGGACACTTGTTGGCATAATACGTACCCCAAACTATTACCCCAACCGTAGTCTAGACCTAATGCCAACCTTATTCTTAAAACCAAATCTTAACCCTAAAACAGCCATTTTAAGTTGTGAGAATTTGCCAGAATGTCTTAGGAATTACAAAATGTCCTCACAAAAATGGGTTTGAACTAAAATTTGTCCACACAACCATAGAAAGACGTGTATACACATACACAAACAGACACAAGCAAACAGTCATATTTCCCGCATAACCTGTTTTCATTTCCCCTCTGACACAGACAACTACCTGGGACGCTCCATATTTTATGGTACAAATAAAACCATTCACTAACAATGTAGCAGCAATAACAAATCAAAAATATTTAGCTGACAATGCATTATTGGCTCAGCTATAATATGTACTGCTTTTCCACACAGTTGACTTTCATTATTTCACTACAGGGATGTGAAACCCCCAGCTGAAACCAGTATTACAGCAAGTAAAATGAATTCTACACTTCATTCAGTCTTTTCTAAAGTAAAACTGTTAAGTGCAACACCCAAGTTATGCTGCATCATTCTAAGTATTCATGCTTTGTGTAGTTTATATGGTCCTGTATGATGGAATAGGCTTGTTGTATGCTTGCTTGAATGGGAGCTGTGGTGCTTTAATGAGCTGAAAGGATTATTGATACTTAACCTAATTACTTTGCTCCCTCCCTTCAGGCTGCTGGCTTTCACTCTCACTGTGATTTATGGTTCTTTCACCTTGTGCTTTTTAATCAATCACCTGGTCATTGATGTTATCCTGTTTCGCACTTGACCTTGTCACAGCTCTCAAAAGAGTTGTCTGTTTAGTGAACTGTAGCACATCAGCGATCAGAGTTGTGTTTTCACAACTTCAGTATTCGTTATTAAACTACCTGTGCTTCTAAAAATGGAATTCACCAGACTTTTGGGAATGGGGAAACTCCATATTAAAAAAATATTCCCACAGGAAACACCACAGATTCTCGTGTGAAACCAAACTGACACAAAGATCTGAGCTCAAGTGTTTTTCCCAGTGTGTAAATACTAAAATCCCTCACTGGCTTTCCTCAGTCTGTGAAAACTGAAGTCCACAGTTTTAGGGTCCTTTTGTCCTCTCTGGAGACCCACTGTATAAGCCTATAACACTTCACATTCCCATTTTACACATTGGCACAATAATCTAAAACAATTCACCAAGTCTAACAGTAGAGCAAGCTTAAATTTCTAGACATTGACATTTCAACTTGTTTCAGTGCTTGAAATTCAATTGAATTTTCTACTTTTTTTCAGCACTTTCACTTGAGCTGATACTTCCCCTAAAGCCAGTGCTCACACTTAAACTTACACTGTCAGCTCTTCCATTTTAACTGTCATGTCAATATAATACTTCCAGTGTTTGCATTTAGGCTTTCGCTTCAGCCCAAATAAAATCAGTATCTCAACTATTTCAAATATTTCAACTGCAAATGTTAATTTTTCTCAAATTTTCCAGCAAAAGTGAGGTGTTAACCCATAATGCCTCACATTCCCGATTAATACAGAGCAGTTCACAAGTTCACCAGTAGAGCAATCTTAAATTTCTACGTAACATTTAAACTTGCTTTTAATTCAGCTGAAGGGTTAACTCTTCTCGGCATTTTCACTCCAGCTAATGTCAAATTCACCCAGGACTCATGTCATTTCAACTTTTTAAAACACAGTAATTGTATTTCACTTACCACTTCCAACATTTCAGCAATTTCAAGTGTTTCTAGTTTTTTGTAGCGAGCACACTTCCTGTATTACCCTGTAACACTTTACATTCCCATTTATTGCATTTGCTCATTGCTCTTAATTTAGAGGAATTCAAAATAAATGCGACAGCAGAGCAAGCTAAAACTTCAAAACCACCAAAACTGCCATCGGCCACTGGCAGATAATCACACAAGGCACTTAAAATATCCCCCTGCCTATAGAATGATTGTGCAAAAGAAAGGACTAAAAAAAAAGATCCAAAATTAGAAATAAAAGGGATATATTTTCCTCACAAGTGTTATTGTGTAACCCTGCCTTCCACTGAATGCATGTCTGACACTTTCCAGTTTTATTGGTATAAAGCTGTCTGTTAGTGTGAGCAGATAAGGTGCAGGGCAGTCTGTCTAGGTGGCATACAGCCTACTCACCAGCCATAATGCAGACGTCAGAGCTCTGGTGAAGGTTACACGGTCGGTAGCCCTTTGGTGCACTGTGTTTGATGAGGGACGCAGTGCGCTGGAGTCAACAGCAGCCAGACCCATCTGTCCTCCTATACTTTCCCACATCCTGTTCCACCCACATGTTGACCCCCACCTACTGACTACTGACTGCTGGAGCCCCTCTTCTCCCTGCAGACACCTGGAAGACAGGCAGCAGCATAAGGGCTGTTATAACTAGGGCAGTCTATATTTATTCATCATTCTGCATCCCTGCATTTGACTGTTTACTGTAAAGGTCGTACAAGTTCAAGTAGACCAAAATTATGTACAGAATGTAGACTCTTTAATACAGCTGGATTTAAGATTAAGTGGGAATTAAATATAAAGTTTTCAAGCAAAAATGTGAAAGTTCTTCTGGTTCTAGCCTCTGAAATGTGAGGATTTGCTACATTTACTTTATGATTTATCATGTGATATTAGATTTGATATCTTGATTTTGAGATCTTGGTCAGATGAAAGAAGCAACTTGGATTCATTAAAGTGGGCTCTGAGAAATGCTGACCAGACATTATGAGTAATTGATTCATCAAGAAATAATGAGAATATTTATCAGTACTGACAAAAATCTGCAACAATTTTGGTATTTTGGATTAATTGTTTTCATTCATTGATTAAGTGTTTTCTTTAAGCAAAAATAACAAACATTCACTGGTTCCAGCTTCTCCAATGGGAGGATTTGCTGCTTTTCTTTGTCATATATCACAGTAAACTGAATATTTTGAGGTTTTGGACAGCTGGTTGATTGAACAAGATATTTGAATACATCTCCTTGAGCTTATAATAGAAAATTAGAACAGGCACTTTTATATTAATATTATTAATATATTAATTGTTAATTTACTATCCTAACAACATATCTAAAGCTTATTTTCATGCTTTCTTTTATATATTTTGCTTTTACTTATGTGCTTTAATCCATTCATCAGACTTGCAAGTTACTGAGATAGCGGTGTTGTGTGGGCTGCAACTGCACAGTAATGCAGCCTCAAGCATGTGGCATCAAAACCTTGTCTTTTGAACAGTTCTTGGTCAATATTTAGCTGTAAGAGTTCTTCAAGCAAAACTTCTACATCTTTCTTTTTTTTCACTCCTATCATTTCTTCGTCTGCACCTTAATTAGTTGCTCCTCAGCTGTTTGCTAAGGTCTGTTTGCTGGCCTCCTATGCTTGATCTCTGCTGTGGTAGGTAGTGGTTGCAATATTTCAGCTTGGCAGTAAATGTCTGAAGGATCTTTTTTTCTAAAGAGTGCTATCTTTAAAAAAAAGACTGCTGATGACAGCACATAAAACATAAAATAAATGCAATTAGGCATATTGTTCTTAATACACACATTTCATGTGACTGTTTTGGTACATTTTGGGAAACTGTAACTATATTTGTTGGGTTTTTTAAAAGTTTGTGACATCTTCAAAGACGGTCATCTGTATGTTTTTTATCCTGAACCCTGAATGTTAGGTAACTATGCAATGTACTGTTGGATTGACCCCTGGTGGTTATATTTGCCTTCTGCTGGTGCTGAATCATTTATCAACTAATGACAGATTAGTCACAAGGTGTACTTTCACAGTGGAGTCATCAAAACTCTTGGTGGGCTGCCTGCTTTTTAAACACGCTCGAGTCATGGCTCTATGGATGTCGGTCTGTCAGTCTGCTTTGGTCTAGATTGAAATATCTCAGCAACTTTCAAATGGATTGCCATGAAATTTTCATTGTCCTCAGACATTTTAATCCCAATGACCCTTATGACCCCCTGACTTTTCATCTAGCGCCACCGTGATATCCTGTGGAATATCTACTCGATAGACTGGCACAAAATTTGGTACATTCATAACATTCATGGTTCCCAGGTGTTGAATCACATCGACTTTGGTGATCTTCAGACGGTTCCTCTTGTGCTAGCATGCAGTTCATATTTTTGTTTTTTAATTTTTGCATTTATTGAAGCTTGATTGACGAGAATATAGATAAGTTAGATACGATAGATAAGTTACACAAGTTAACTATGTGTCAGAGCATATTTTAGCCCATACAAAACTCCCTACATGTCCAAATAAGGATATTCTTCATGGGACCACAGCACCTATCCATACATGTGTGAAGATTCTGTTGGGTACCAAATCCTCAACATTGAATCATGTTCCCCTAAGACACGTTGCATATTTCATGCAATACTCTACCAAGGTAGCCTATCCTGGAGCTGGAGGGCCCCTGTGTTATGACTGTTCACTCCCTCTCCCGGAGGCTCGGTCCATCATATCTTTATGACCTTGGTTGCTCATAGCAACTGCTTCTGTGGACTGGGCCAGCTTGACTCTATCAGTGTCTTCACGGCTATCCATGAGACAGACAATGAACTATTGCTTTTAGGGCTTACTTGTAAGTGACCTGTGAAAACGTTGCCTAATACTACTACTACTACTACTACTACTACTAAAGACCTAAGAGAAGGAAAAATTCCTTAACAGCTACGAAATTTGGTACACACATTCATGACTCCCTCAGGATGAACTGTAATAACTTTGATGATCCCCTGGCTTTTCCTCTAGAGTCACCATCGGATCAAAATTGGATTATGTCCAGTACTTTGGTTTATGACCAAATACCTGCAAAACACATGACATTCCCATCAGCTTCAGCCGTATTTTTCTGTTCTAATTAGCAAATATTTGCATGTTAACACACAAAACATCAGCATGTTGGCATGCTGACATTCATATTTTGCCAAAAGTGCTTAAGTATAGTCGATAGTCAATCCTTAGTACGAACTTTGTACTGTGAGTCATCTGTCCATATTCATGTCCCTACATTTCTGCATTCGGGAATAAAGAGGCTGCAACCACTTATGAGTAACTAATTAATAAAAACGTATTTGCTGTCTTGTCTGAATGTCTGATCTACTTAATTACTTATAGCTCTCACAGGTCGCTCTGTCTGTTCATGAACATGTTGTAACAAACACAACCCCCAAGTAGGCATGTCACATTTAACCTACTTACACATTATGCCATGGCATGATTTCTCTATTTTTAACTGTCCCCATTGTCTTCCAGTAGCCGTAAAGGCCCTGATAGAGGCCAGAGGCAAAAGCTAACAAGGAAAAGCTTGGTTAAACAGTTGGTGAAATTTTCCAGGAGGGTGAAACTCCTGGAAAGCATGTATCAGTGATAGGTCATTGCTGTGCATATTCAAAGGTACAGGATGCAGTATAAACTGGAATGGCTTTGGAGGAGAGCCAGTTCTGCTGCGTAGCTTTCCAAGAATGGTTGTAATGGCAACTGTGCGCCATTTGGTGTCTGGTGTGGCAATAGCGAGGAGAGGAAGTGTGGAGCGTTGCTGAGGAGCATTTTGATGATGCGGGTTGCATATTGCTGAGCTGCGTCGTCAGGGCGTGCGTAAGCAAGAGCGCTTGACACTGATGTGGTCGTGAATGCAGGACAGGCAAAGCTGCAGGAGGAGTGCTTGTCTCGTCCCCCCAGAGAAAAGTTTCTATCGATCTGTAGGTAGGCTGGGAGGAGGAGGAGGAGGAGGAGGCATAATGGTTAAGCAAGCAAAGCAGTTGCTGTACCTGCTCATCTCTCATTCCTGCCTCTTTTTTTGGGGTTGGGATGTGTCTTTGTTCTTGTGTTTGAAGGTGGGTGTATCAATTCAGTTCCCACCTCCCCCTTATCCCTCCTTCTCCCACTCCACTGCAGTGTGCTCCTACTGGGCTGTCTAGCTGCATGCTCTCATATACACACACACACACACACTCGTTCCCTCACACTCTCCCCCCCGTCGCTTCCTCCGTCTGTGTCTGCCGCCATCAGACACAGGGACTGATAATATCTGCTCCAACCCCCCTCTCCTCCTCCTATTTTTTTGTACTCCTCCTCTCCTGCATCTCGCCTATTGTTTATTCACTTTGTGCATTCATGTACTACCATGTATCATAAAGGGTAGCCCTCCTTTCTCTTTAATATCTCTCATGTCCAAAATGCAGTTTGGACTTTGCCTTCCCCTGGGAAGCTAAATTGTAGTTTCTCCTCTGTGTGTATCTTTATTGAGCCACCTCACTGATTGTTATCTGTATTCAGTTAGTGTCCGGACACGTCACTCTGCTCCCTCACAGCACGCGTCTTCCTTGCATCACACTGCAGTATAATCCACTGATTGAATAAGACATAACTTACTCCTCCTTGTCTGTGAGGAGACAAAGCTGTTTGGAGTCAGCTCAGAGTTGTTGTACAGTTTGAATATTACCATGTGGCTCAGCCATGACTGTGCTGTACCAGTGAAAAAAGCCTGGGAGGAACAAGGACGGGCTCTGTGGAGGGAGGAGCTGCTGTGGAAACTGCCCTGTCATTGGTTGGTGATGTGTACTGCCTGTCTGCAAAAGTTTTCCCGATTGGCTGTTGCTCTGCATTGAGCACAGCAGCTGCAGTTGTGAAGAACTACCTCTTCTCTTTCCACCCTGTCTCTCTCTTTCCTGCTTCTTCCCTTCACATTAATAACTGTCTGGGAATCACTGGTGTCGACCACACGTGCCACTTCAAGGACACCGCTTTTCACAGTATATTGCAGCATGATTCATATCAAGTTAGTCAATTACTTTCTGCTTCGTGGACCTCAGGGGAGTTGAAGTGACGTCTCTGTCCTGCCTGCAATCTCCCTCCATCCCCTCTCTCCCTCTCCCTCTCTCTCTCTTGTATCACTTAATCAAGACATAGCTTGCCCTTTGCCGTTCATTGCTGCCTCCCTCCCTCCCGTATGCTCTGCTCCCGTATTTGTTTGTCCTCGCTTTATTCTCTTTGGCGCTTTCCCTTCCACCCTCCTGCCTCGTGGTCCTCATCACCCTCCGTTTAAACAAGCTCCACACGAGGTTGTAGCTTTACATTAACAACGTTTTCTCTTCAACAGGCTGCTGGTTTGTTAATGCCTTGGATTAATGTTTGCCCTTCTGTTTTTACAGTCCACAGCAAGACAACAAGCAAGGACATGCAGAAGAGAGGTCAGTGAGGAGGATGACAACAGAAGAATAAAGGATGGCGAAGGAGGGATGAGAAAGAGACTGAAGTAAGAGGAGGAAGTAGAACTCTGAAGTGCCTACTGCGAGGGGTTGTCTGCTGCCGCTGTCTGACTTTGCTGGATGAGAGCAGGACGGGGCTCAGTGTGTGTTTGGCCTTGAATGGAGGCTATATTTTATCCAGACAGCCACAGAGTCATCCATCCCATGTTGCTGAGCTGCAGTCCCTACATACCCTGAGCTGGGCTGCCACCTCGTCTCATCAGTGCAAGGAAACCATCCCTATAAGGTTCTGCTTTTTTGTTCTACAGAAATCTTCCTTTTCAGGCTCTTGAAACATAATTAGCTCTACAGAGACTGCCACAGCCTTGGCCATGTTGACTTGAATGTAACAGTGACTTAGGGTGGGTGTCAGTTGATTCAGGTGAAGGCACAGATGCTCAGCGACATATCCAAGCACTGTAGAGTGATGTCCTCAGAGTAGTCTCTGTTTTTTCTCTTTTTTTTTGAGACAGAGCTGGCCTCTGCTCACAACCAAGCCCCTCTATCTCACCCCAGTGAAACCTCAGCTGCCACATTTCCCAGGAAAAACTAATAAACATCCCCCAAAATACTTTGACTAAAAGGACTCGCTGCCTGTTTGCGCTGAAGGAAAACTGAAAATATTTTTTGCTTCTGTTCTTCCTCTCTGTTTTGCTGGGGATTTCTTTTTTTGCATCACTATTAGTCACCCTTGCACTCATCAGACAGTTTTCCGTCCATCTATCCCCACCACTGTTCCGTGTTTGTGAGCGTCTCTGATGGCTGTCAGCATGACCATGGGACGGGACACCAAATGGCTGACCCTGGAAGTGTGTCGTGAGTTTCAGAGAGGTACCTGCTCAAGGTCTGATGCAGAGTGCAAGTTTGCCCACCCTTCCCGGAGCTGCCATGTGGAGAATGGCCGAGTCATCGCCTGCTTTGACTCACTGAAGGTAACAATGCAACAGACATTTCACTCACCACCAATCCTTGCCATATTATATCATGTTTGTTTAGACACATGCATTATGGTTAATGTCAGGGTAGTTGGTTCCTTTTGGCTCTGCGTAGTATTGTATAAATACTGAAGTTAAGGTGGTGCCCGCTTATTTAACACTTAAACACAAACACACCCACATATAGGCCCACACACAAACCACAGTTCCCTGTAGTGTTTTATACTGGAGGTGGTCTTTGTTTCAGTCGAAGTGGCCCAGATTTAAGGAAACAACAGAGGTTGTATTTCACGTATCAAAAGCCATGAGTGTGACCATGGTTAGGGGTGTCATCTGCTAGTTAAATTGTTCAAGTGAGAAAGATGCGTCACAATAAGCTCAACGTTTTCCTGGGGTAAAACCTTGCAAACTATGTCAGTTGGTCAGTTGATCCACCCTTTTTACTGCTACTAAAATTTTTAAACACTATTTTTGTCAGAATCTTATACGTTCTTGTGATTCTGGGACTGGGCACTACAGGGGTGTTCATCATTATTTTATGTCCTTGTGATTATGTTGTTACTTTTAAATCCCATGAATTATCATGAACATGTTTGTTATCTAGGTTTATTATTTAAAAAGTCACATTTAGCCCAGAATGATTTTTAAATTCTTGAGAATACCAGCTGAAAATTACATTTTTGACCTGTCATCATGCAGTCTGAAGCAGTTAATTTCAGCTAAGCGTAGGTAATATGGATATAATAAAAAAAAATATCACAGTTTAGCAATTCTATTTCATGATAGCAGTATATTTTACTGTCATAGCACGTATAAAAATTTTAGATGAAATATCTAATGCAAGGGCATTTTTCTTTGAGCTGATTTTTGTCTTCATCAGACAGAATACTGTTGAGAGACAGGCAGGAAATGTGAGAGACAGGGGGATGATATACAGGCCAGATCATAACCAGCAACATTGCAGCTACACGGTACGTGTCCTGCACCACTAGGTTACAATGGTTTCCAATCAAGGTACTTCATTGCACCAATTAAAAATCCTGTAAATCCAATATTGCCAATAAGTGGTCTTGCTCACTGATTTGCAACATTACCTGCAATGATAGTAATAATAATGATTAGTAATACAAGCACATATATTAATGGGATAGTTACCATTGTATAAATGGTGGACGAATTTTGTCTCATGGTATATGTAAGGGATAACTCCCAACAAGTTGTATGTCTGTAATTGCCTTGGAATAGCTTACATTATTTCAGAAGTCTTCTCTCTTCTCCTACTGTTAGTCTACTTAGATGTCCTGACTCATGACATGTTTGAAATTAATTTTTCATTGCTCTCACTGTGCAGCTATTAAGCTATTTTTTTATTGGTTACACAAATAACCTAGCTCTAAGCTCTTTAGCTAAGCCTCATTGTTGCTATCGTTACTTATGGTTTAATATTGTCACATTAATTTAGAACTGAAATCAAACGTACATCATAGGTGTCCACTCATACTCTCTGTTCACTAAAGGTCAATCCACACCTTTCAGCCAATCAGAATGGAGGATTCTCAGTGGCCATGGTATAAATTGTCACGTAGACCAACTTCTATACCTAAACACATATAGATGCGTATTACAATGTCAGAAAAATGTCCTCTGTTATCTAGATATTTATGGTTAGTATTATGCCCAGACATAATCTGCTGCTCTGCTGATGGTCTGGTTCTCCACCACTGATGTGGGCTAGTCGGTTGTGCTGCTTCAACATCGCTGCAGCTGCTGTCCTGACTCTCATCCTTTCTCCGGCACAGAACCACAACACTAGCACTACTCATACACAGCAGAAAAACTAACAGTCTGACAAGTGATGATGCTTTACTGTATTTTAGAAGAGCTCCGACTATCAATGGCCGATTGTGCTGAAATCGAGAATAGACGGTTGCTGTGTCGGCGTGTGCATATGCGTCTGGATGCACGTGTGTTTACGAGAGGTTTTGCTCAAGCAGCTTTCGTGCAGCAAAAAAGTGAGACCCAGACAAGGGGCTTTCTGTCTGAGTGCAGCTGCTGTCTCCTCGTTTATTGAGTTAGAATTTATTATTCAGCCATTTTTCTGTGTTATGTCCTCCAGAGCAGGAGGGAGATGGAGAGGGAGAGAGAGGGAGAGAAAAAGAGAGGGGGCCTAGCAACAGCACAGGAGTGCGTACCCATTGGATAGTTTGATCTTCCTGAGTGGCACGGCTGTTTTTAGCACAGAGCAACAGCCTGGCTCTGTACTGGTTGCATTGATGGGAGAAAGAGGCGAGCCGCTTTGTACCAAAGGCAGTGAACAAGCATTAAAGGCCATGTTTGGCTGTTTGAAGCCCTGGGGTCATGTTGTTAGTTTGAGAAAGAACTGAAGTTGGTGACAGTTGAAGGTCAAAGCGGCTTTATTTATCAGGGGCTGCAGTAGGGCTTTGGTGCCAGCACAGTGTGTCAGCAACCACCTCTTTACAACAGTGTTTCTGTCCTCATTGTTGTTCAGGATTATACTCAGCTGACAGTCGTTGTTTTTGGTCCACTGACTAGAAAAAACAAAGAAGCACCACACGGTGTCCCGAACAGAGCCGCACTACAGCATCACTCCTTCCCCCTGCTCCCCGCCCGAAGAAGGGTGTTTGTTAATTTCATGGATTTATCTGCTAATGGCTTCCCTCCTCACTTGTCCCTCCCATATCTGGCATCTCCAGCCCGGTCCGAGCCGACCGCTGTCATTCCCGCTTTCTCCTCCATTAGCTCTGTCTGGTTGGTCTGAACCTGCTGCAGGGAGGGAGGAGGGAGCTCACCGCCTAGTTCTTTTTACCTTGTTAACTGGAGTGCTGCTGTCATCTCACATGATTAGTGTGGACATCACATCTGCGCGACATACAGTAGATTTAAGAGCAATGTCGATTTTGAATGACATGACGGTAAGGGCTGCATCTAATGATTATTTTCCTTATCAATTAATCCACAGATATTTAATTTTTGGTCTATGACATGACAGAAAATAGATTTAAAGAAATGGCAGATCCAAGTTCTCAGACACTTTTAAAATGCTTCTTTTGAACAACCAACAATTCTAAACCCAAAGATACTCAGCTCATATCGAGATTGAAATTGAAATTTGAGAAGCTGATACCAAAAATTTTCGGCCTTTTAATCTGAAGAAATAGCGTTTACAGCCATGCTAGCAGCTCTTTGAGGCTGTACGTCAGTGCTTTGATCTAAGGTTTGCGTGTTAGCATTTTAGTTCTAAACACAAAGTACAGCTGAGGATGATGAGAGTGCCATTCATTTTGCAGGTATTTGTCCATAAACCAAAGTAATGACTAAATGTCTTTTTTTTTAGTCAGGGAAACATCATCATTGGAGCACCTGATGTCATACCAAATGTCATTGAAATGTGTCAAATACTTGTTGAGATATTTCACAAAAAGTACCCAAATGTCAGCCTTAATGTTGACACAAGATGAAAACTCAAAGTCAGTAGGAGTCATGTCCTGAGAACCATGACTGTCTCTGCAAAATTTCATCTTAATCATCCAATAGTTGTTGACATATTCAACTAATTGATTAAGCAAAACTTTTTTTGAGTTCTCCATCACTGTCACATACGAGAATAAGCCTGAACTTGAGTGTGGTGAATCTTTAACTGCAGAAAAAGAAACCCATATTAATAATGGAAATAATATGGCTTTAAAAATGTGTGTAAAGGTTTAGATCTATGCAGCGATCCTATCTATCAATGTTCCATCTCTCTCCTCTCACTGAGTGTACCGACAACACACTACTGTACTTACAGGGACTTTTTCTGTGTTGTGTAGTGTGTTGCTATGGTTACCAAAAGGAGATTCCTGACCCAATACTCTCCTCAACACCACTTTTTACTGGCCTCTTTCTCTACGCCAGATTGTATAGCTTTTATAAAGCTGCTCAATATTTGTGCTTTCAGAGCACAAAATTCAGACAGTAATTTGGTCAAACTTTTGTGTTTTGGAGCACACAATGCATAAAGTTCATCTTTAGGCCCATTAATAGCTACTTCTCTTTCCCTCTGAGCTTGAGCAGGCTTGCTGGGCTCATGGGCCTCACTCTTCATTACAGACTCATCCCTATACACGCAGCTTGCTGACGCAAAGTTAGTTTGCATCTCCAGTGTAGGCGAGAGTGTTTGTGTAAGCCTGTGAACCATCCTGAACATTTTTCAAGCTGCTACATGTTGTAAGCTTGTATGCTTTCTGTCTGGTGTGTGAGGTCATGTGAATCTCTCCTGGGTGCTGGTATGGGAGACAGGTTTCTTCATGCCCTATATATGTAGTTCTGCTGCTGCTAAATGCTTTTTATGTGTCCTCATCTCAGCATGACATCATCCATCACCGTCAGAGTATCTGCACCATGACGTCAGTTTGCCCTTAGAGTTTTTTATTTTCTGTTGCTTTAGTGCTCTGTCAGTTGTGCAGAATGCTCGTGATCACCTAATGCGAGCTGTCTTGTGTGGGTGTGGTGATTACGAAGCATGTGGCTGATGCTCAGTAGAGGTAGTTTAGCAGGTTAACAGCTCATCTGCAGGGGCAGACAGCTGCTGTCGGCCCAGGGGTTTAATGGAGACTGCAGTTCCTCCACTGAGTGTGTGTTGACCTGCAGTGTTCCTGCAGCACCATCTTCACCTTCCCCACAGACTCTGGCAGGGACGAAGGACACTGCTTCAACGACATTCTAGGGCAAAATGAATTGCTTTTAGATACGTGGCTCAAAATCTGATTTAGGATTTGTCAAGCAGCCAAAAGTGACAAGTAAAAAGGAGTATGAAGGATTACTTCTGATCAAAATGGTTTGTGGCAGTGACTGCTGATGCAGGAAAAGCTTCAGCTGACTAAAATATAGAATTATATCAACCTAAGATAAGATTCATTCTTTGAAACATTTATTTTGGATCCATAGTTTCATTTTTGGATGTAAAATATTCAGAGCTGAAACGATTAGTTTATCAACAAACTGGTAAATGAATCAGCAATTATTGTGGTCATTGATTAATTGTTTAAGTCACCTTTCAAGCCAATGCCAAACATTCTCTGGCTCAGTGTAACGATTTGCTGCTTTTCTTTGTCTCAAATGATTGTAAACAGATTTTTGTTTGGGGGTTGGACTATTGTTTGGACAAAATAAGCAGCTGAGGATTGGTTGTTTGGTCTAAGAAAATTGTAATTTTAACTGTTTTGATTGATCAAGAAAATCAGCAGATTACTGGGTAATGTCTTAATCATTAGTTGCATCCATAATAACATTGCATTGATTACAGGGTTTAAGTACAGTTTCCCATATCACTGGAAAATCTGAGAGTTATATAGTTTCATCATCCTGCATCGTCCTACATTGTTCAGCTTTCATTCAATAACCAGTTTAATTTATAATCCGAAACATTTGTTATCTATGTGACCTCTGGAAATGTTTTTCATAACCATTTCCTGCTGTTTCATTCACATTTATCATAAAGGGCATCTAGTTTGCTCAAATATGCGTATTACTTTGGTTTTAGTCATACTATCTGTCTGCTGTTATTGTGTAAGCCTGCATGTGTTGAATGAAGCTTTGCATAAAGGAAAAATAGAAAAGCTTGGACTTTGCGCACACATGCAACAGACGAATACAGACTGTTCAACCAACATGTTTCATGATGTATTTGCCAATGCACACTCATGAATGGTGCCGTGTTCGTTAGATTAACATGTTTGACAAAATCATGTTAGAGCAGGTATTTTTAATATCTAGTAATAAAGCTACCACAGCTGTTTGTGTGTGTATGCGTTTTGAAAACTCCTTCATATGACTGCAGTTTAAACCTCAGCAAGCAGTCCCCCTGCTTATGTATCATTTAGCAGGACATTTCTTCCCGGCTTCAGGTGTGCTGTTTAACCTTGTTCTGACCTCCTGGAGGCGAGGAGTGATAAAGATTACGAACAGAAACCAACATATATATGCATACACACACAGTACAGTAGAATGCATTTACTCAAATACTGTCCTTAGATATTATTTGGCACTTTATGTGTTTTACTCCTCTACAATTATTTGACATTTTTAGCCATTAGTTACATTACATATCAAGATATTACATACAAAACTTATGATGAGTGAATAAAATATGTTTCATTGTGATTTAACTGTACAACAGTATGTAAGATTGTTTAAATTAATTCCAGCTAGATTAGCGAGAACATTAAGTCTAGTCTAAAAACACTATGCTAATATGATAATATACCATATTATTATGAAAAGAGTAAATTTACTCCATATTCTTCAATTAATCCCATCTTAGCTTTTCTCTGAACTAATCGAGTGTGTGCTGCAGTTAGGCACGAATACGTTGAAGTATTTGCTTTTTCTCTTTCTAGAAAGTAGGTTATTTATTGGGCTGATAGCTACCAGGTAGAGATACAGAATCGGTCACACAGGACGGTGAGAGTCGAGCATATGTTTTCACTCTCCAGCTTTATCTCTTGTCAGTGTGGTTTATTTGATTTCTGCTGTGCCACTGTGGAAAATCCGAAGCTGGCTCAAATACTACACCGGTCATTCCACATTGCATTGAAAAAGACTTATGAAATCAAATGAAATGTATAGTTTGATTGAAACTAAATGTTACAAAAGGTTATCTTCAAATGAAATGTGAAAATGTGTAATTACTGTGTATATTTATCCATAGAAACAAAAAACAACTTTAAATGAGTGGTGGTTAAATTTGTTGTTGATTCCAGTGTAACATACTCTTAATGCGATGAACACTTTTAGAAAGTGTTGCATGAATTATGCAACATAAGATCTTCTGGGACTTCATTAGTACTTTATTTCAACATGATTTACAAGACATAGTTCTTAGACGGTTTGGGAAAACACACTTAACTCTTGATTTTTATCTTAACAAATTGCACTTGATTGTATAGTTCTCTACTAAACTTAGATCAGCTGCTGCACTAAGGTGAGCTTTTTATGTTTGGCATTAAGTGGTCATTGTCGTCTGCGTAAAGGCACACCCCTTATTGATTTAGCCTCTCAATCACATTATTCTCATCTCCCAGCTGTGTGACTTCATCTCCCTTCACTAAGAGTCACTATAAAGTGTCACTCCATCTGTCTGCTCTCACACTCATCTACCCTCCCTCCTCTATCCTCCTCAGGGGCGCTGCACACGTGAGAACTGTAAATACCTGCACCCACCTCCTCACCTGAAAACCCAGCTGGAGATTAACGGGAGGAACAACCTGATCCAGCAGAAGGCCGCGGCAGCCATGTTGGCTCAACAGATGCAGTTCATGCTGCCTGGAACACAGCTGCAGCCCATAGTGAGCAGCCCACTCTAAAACAACGACTTTTTAATTAATGCAAGTGCCACCGGTCATGCCTGCAGGCAGAGCTTACCGGCAGAAGCTGAATCTTTCTCAACAAAAGGAAAAAGAGGATTCTTCTGACTGTTTAAAGATGAAAGCTAAACTTACTTGCTTTAGCTTTCTGTTCATTTACAATGAGAATTATATTTAGAAATCCCTGCCAAATATAACCACTGGGTATTTCCAAATAAAATGAAATTGTTAATACAATTGTTCACTTGGACTTCACGATAAACTGAGTAGAATTTGGTGGTCAAAGGTCAAGGTTACTGTGCGCCTTATTCAATTCTTTAAAAGGAAGTGTGGACTTGCCTGAATGTCAAAAGTGACCGTTCTTGTTCTCATTACTTTGAAAAAACCCATAGTACCGGTTATGTTACCGCCAAATCTTCTCTAGCTTTCATTAGCTAGTAACCGTAACTTGTTGTCTTGCGTCTCTGCCATTCCCTCCCTCCCTCAGACAACATTCCCGGTGACACCCTCCCTGGCAACGAGTCCCAGTATGGCGTTCAGTCCATATCTGAGCCACATGGGCCCAGGCATGGGCTTGATGCCTGAGCTGCTGCCCAGTACTCCCCTGCTGGTCCCTGGGAGTCCCACCAGCCTGGCAGCCATGGGCAACGGCACCTCCGCACAAAAACATGTGCGCACAGACAAGCTGGAGGTATGCAGCCTGCGTGCAGTTGTTGTGTTTCTATGTTTGGCCAAAGTATGATGACAGGTAAATGTTGACCAGTGCTCCCGCTCGCCCTGCCAGGTTTGTCGAGAATTCCAGCGTGGTAACTGCACACGGGGTGAGAGCGACTGCCGCTACGCTCACCCCCTGGAGGCCGGCATGGTGGACTGCAGCGAGAACTCCGTCATCGTCTGCATGGACTACATCAAGGGCCGCTGCAGCCGAGACAAGTGCAAGTACTTCCATCCTCCTGCTCACCTGCAGGCCAGGATCAAGGCTGCACAGCACCAAGCCAGTCAAAACACAATCACCAACACAGGTTTGGTGAGTCCTTCTCAACACTGTGACAGGAACAGAACTCTATTTTCTTTTTACCAAAAGTAAACATTAGGCAAGGGGTTGAACATTTTATCAACTGCGTTTCTGATATGTAAAATCGTACAACAGAAAAACACAGGTGTAAGCCAATGCTCACCTTCGCAAAAGTTACAAATCTACTTTCATCATATCTGCTTAAACTGCAGTGAAACAGTAGAAGTTTTTCTTGTTCTGGACTTTGATATTGCACTGATGCAATGAAGGATCAGGGTGTCACAGTATCCCTCAGCTAGCTTGAAATTTGATAATGTAGTCTGCGGATTATGTTTTTCATGAACATCTGCTACTCTGAATGTTGCTGAACCTGTATCAGTGAAGCAAGCTACAAGGGCTAAAGTTAGCATTGTTAGCAGCTGTAACTTAATCAGGTTGATCTGCTGTGCTTATGCAGAAAAACAAGAAACACAATATTCAAAAAAGATATGAAATGAAGTCATAAAAAGAAAGGAATTAGAAACAAAATGGGTCCAAGGTTTATACAGTCTGGCATTATTCAGTTGTTGCTGCTGTGGGTGCTAATACTGTATGCTATTGACATGCTGAACTGTTGCTGTTACTACTATTCTGTATAGTCACCAGCTGTTCACATTTCCACATATTTAATCTGAGACAAAGGTTGTACAGTTAAAATCATATTCCTGCATCAGCCTGGGATCACATCCTACAATGCCATATTGTGCCATTTGTTTTCCCACACTCATGTTATATTTATATGTTGCTAACATAAGTCCAAAGTTGTCTTGCTTATCTTCCACTGCAGTTTGATGTTTCAGCACCGGGCCCATTAGAGAATGAAATCATAGCAATCCTGTTTTGCTCTTGGCCTGACCTCTGGATTGTCCCACATCGTCTCAGCTAATCTTAGATGCTGCAGTGTCCTCTTGTGGTGGTAAACAGAAACATCCACGTCAACACAATGTTGAGTCTAAAGAGCACTTAGAAATACCACAGTATATTTACTCTAAGAGAAAACCAGAAAATGCAGTTGTTTGTTGCATGGAAAGTGTTTATATATTGCAAGGGCAGGTTTTGTTGCCCCTGCAGGAGCCAGTGATGAAGAAACATTTCTATTTTTCTCCTGCTGGCCAGGCTCTGCCTCCAGGGGTCATGCAGCCGCTGCCAAAGAGGCCGATCTTAGAGAAGAGCAACGGAGCCGCTGCCGCCGTTTTCAACCCCAGCATGTTCCACTACCAGCAAGCCCTGGCTAACATGCAGCTTCAGCAGCCAGCCTTTATCCCCACTGGTGAGTCTCTGAACACATCAGCAACACTGAGACACAGTCCATCCATTGTATACACATATAGGGGCTAAATTATTGGTCATGGACCCTTGGAATTGATTCAAAAGTGCTACGGACCGACAAACACAAGGGTTTTTATGTTAGACGACTAGTTAATATTATGGGATACGGGAAGTTACAGCTGTAGTGGTAACAGTATGCATGCTATGTCCGTGCAAGGCTTCTCAACTGTGTAACATGCACGCTTCTTACTCTGCTATCACAGCATGCTTCCCTTCCTACAACTGTCTGTTGTGTTGCTTGCATTTGATTCCCTCTGGCTTGATGTGTGATGAGAGGGGTTGAAACCATAAACAAAGTTAGAGAACACATGTTACAGTATCAGTACAAACATGGTCGGTGCATGGATTGCTGGGTGCATGCTTTGCATGCAATCAGAGAGCTTGGCAGTCATTCTAAGTTGCATGTGTTTTTGATTAAAAGCAAACAAATAAGGTAAGACAGAACAAAGTACAAAGCCAAAACAAGCCCTGCTGTTCCTAACAATATTAAAAGTTTAAAAATGTCATGATTTTGTCCATGGTTTTCACGTGTTTGTGAAATAAACTGGATGTTTAGTTGTAATTTAAGATCAGGAGAGACTTGATTTTAAGGGTTTCATTTAGATTTGAAACAAGGACATTATGGCTGGAAATGTATAGTCACATTTCATTGACGAAACCATTAGCCAATTAATTGATTAGCTGATTGACAGAGAAGTAGTTGCCACCAGTTTTTAAAAATTGCTGAACTCATTTATGAAGTAAAAATGCCACATATTTGCTGGTTACAGCCTCTCACATGTGAGATTTGCTGCTTTTCTCCTTTTTATATAGTAGTAATTAACTTGAGTATCCAGATTGTGTTGGTCATAAATTACATACAATTTGAAGGTGTTGCCTTGAAATGTCAAAATTTATGATGCAGTTTCTTTCCACTATCTTTTGAGTTGTCATAGGTTAAACAATTAATTGATTAATTTAAAAGACAATGAAAATAATCAGTTGCAGCCCCGGATTAAATTTTTATACACTGAAACACTAAAACACCCACATACTCTGTTCTTTAGGGAGAATAATACTGATTACTCATGCATGTTTATTACACATTCGTTTTATCTTAATTTCTTGCTGCTTGGATTTACAGTACCACCTCTACACTAATGCTAATGCTGATCAAAGCTTCAGTGTCTTGTCTATGCATCAGCTGAAAGCAGTTGGCTTTTGTGCTCTTATCTTTCACTTATCAACAACTTGTTTTTGTATCTTTATGTATCGGCACACATGTGTACCGACTGTGGCAGCCTCGGAGTCGTTTGTGTTGTCTGCACTTAACCTGAACCTGTTCACTTGCATTTACCTGCTGTTGCCAGTTATTCTTCTTTACCACAAGTGTTTGTCCTTGTTTTATTTTTGTTTTCCTCTTGCTGTCTTTCTTGTCTGCTCTTCTTGTTTTTAGTACGTGTCTGTACGTAATGTGACAGGCTCTGTTCTGTGCATGTTGCCCTCTGGAGCCACCGGTACGCCAGCTATATTACAGCTGGGAATCAGCTACTATACTGCATGTGCACAGAAGAATTTATTGAGTGAATGATTGATTAACTGGACGACAACATGGTTGAACTGGATAGTATGTCTGAGCCAATTAACTACAAATCATGTATGTTTTGCAGTATTGCCAACAAGTCATAGTACAGTGCATTCAGAAAGTGTTCAGACCCCTTCAATATTTTCACATTTTGTTATGTTGCAGCATTTTGCTAAAATAAAAAAAAAATGCATTTTTTCTCTCATCAATCTCCACTCAATACCCCATAATGACAAAGCGAAAATTTATCAAAAAGGAAAACTGATATATCACATTGACATAAGTATTCAGACACTTGAAATTCAGCTCAAGTGCCTCCCATTTCTCTTGGAACAACCAGGACTCTTCCTAGAGCAGGCTACCTGGCCAGACTCAGCAATCATCGCAAAAGGGCCTTGGTAAGAAAGGTGACCCAGAACCAGTGACATTGCAGTTACATTGTCAGTGTCTTAAACACTTACGCCAATAGGGCGCCCTACAAGGATAGATAATATCTTTAAAACTCTCTCCTATGCATACAAAGAAGTTCTGACAGTAAAAATTTAAATTTTGCTCCTGAAAAGAATCTGAAGCTCAGAAAATGACATGGTATTAAAATGCAGATGCAGATGTGGTAGTTTCTTTCCTGAGAAAGGTTGGTGTTTGCTGTCATGTCTTTGTTGTCAGAGGTCTTTTCAACAAACCAGCAACGAGGAGTTTTAAAAGCAGTCCTTGCTCACAACTACATTATGTGATAATAATGTTACTGTGATGGGGAGTAAAGGAGAGTGAGTAAAGGTGACTAAATGTTCGCTGTGATGGTTTACCTCTCTCTAACAAACACCGTGTTTCTCTAAGTTGATTTTTAAACCATCGAGTATTGGAAAAAAAACAGTAGTTGCTCTGCAGCTGTATGAAGTATATGAAATTTTCAGATAATGAGCTCAGACTGCTGAGCTCTGTCAAGGTTATCGATATAGAAGTTCATTCACGGCTTCGGGAGAACGTACAATCGATTACTGTGTCATCTGCAGAGACAATATTATAATCATCCATTTTGGAGCATTCAGACTGTTTTTTTCATCGCATCTTGTCCGTATGTCATCATGTCTGTCCATCTGCAGTCGCATTAACATGATTTGTGTGAGTCGTGTTTTGTGTTAGCAGTTCATTAATTCATTTCAACTCTGTGCGAGCATGCGTGGTGAGTGTGCATGTGTGTGCATGTGTGTGTGTGCGCTATATGTGTGTGTGCAGGCGTAGCCAGCTCAGGTAGTTCAGGGTTGCAGGACAAGGGCCATCAGTCGATGCTCTTGCTGTAAGCCTTCCTCCCGTCTCTTGTAGGGCTTATGAAAACCCCGGCCCCGCTGCCAGCGGAAGGCTGCTGGGAAAGGAGGGAGTGGAGCAGCTTCAGGCAAAACCCCAGCCGCTTCCTGTCAGTACCTGGATTCAGTGGTGAGGGGATCCCCTGTAGGTTATCCCTGTCTAGACAACACCTGTACCAGCCCCCTTTAACTTCCCAAAAACTAAGATAAACAGGTCTGAATAGAGCGTGTGTAGAGTAGTGTTTCTCAGTTTTTTATTATAGCTGTGTGTGATGAAAATAAAGCTAGTTTTTAGACTCATTACAAATATATTATACTGAAATATTCAAGATCTATTAGAATTAAGAATCTACCCCCCACACACACTCACACACACATAGAAAAGGAAGACAGTGTAATTTGTGGCGATGCAGATCTTAACTGCAGTCACAAATCTTTTGGATGTAATCATGAAGGTTTTCCTGAAGATGTTGTCACGTGTGTATCTGAGTGTGTGTATGACCACTCTTTATGCACTTCATGACTTTGTATTCTCCATCCATAGCGCATTTACCACTGCTGCATGCTGATATTATGACAGTAATATACAGCATTTTGAAAATAATTTCAGGGTCAGTAAATGGAGAAACTCAGGAGACAGAATGAAGAAAAAAATGTTTTCATGTGTTTGTTGCTTTTAGTGAAATGAGTTTCCAGGCTGCCTTGTGCTGCTGTTGGAAAAAACATGTCTTTCCTTTGGTCCAGTTGGGAATTTAAAGGTTTAGTCCTCCAGTTCATTAGAACTGCACTTTCATAATGTTGAGGGACTCACAAGAAATTAAAAAGGACATAACTGAAGTAGCAGAGGTTGAAATATCATGACTTTTAGTTCCTTATAGGGATCTCACACCGAACACACTAACAAACCAGATCCTACATTTCCCATAATGCAACTAAAAGCAACTTCTCATTAGATCCTTCCCACCTGGTAAACACACATGCCTAAAGCCTCTGCACACCCACACAGGTGTTTTCAATCACTCTGCTTGATTAGGCCTCTTGTCAGGCGTAGGTTGGGTGGAGCTGTGCTGGGATTGGGAATAATGTGATGTCTCTAAACTCTATGTACTAATAAATGATAATGTTGTATGTACCAACAGGTACAACAGAACCAGCAGAGGTGTGAGTGAGATGACTATGAAGCACAGTGTACAGGCTCACACAGTCCTGAGAAGAGGTCTAATTAGCCAACATAAGTGAAAGCAGATGTGTGGGTGTTCACAGGCTTAACAAATATCAAAGGTCTGTCCCAATACTCACACATTTTTAACATGTTCAGGTGGCAGCAGGTCAGCAAGTTTGTCCCATGTCTGAAAAATGTCAAGACACAGTACATTTAACCCATACTTAATGTTTAATATTCCTTCAATTCACCAAGGTCTACTGGGTCACACCAGTCTAGTTGCTGGAGGTAATGCACCTGTAAACAATCAGATAATTGTTCATGTCCAAACACGACAAAATTATGGCAAAACCTCTACAGATGGTTGTCTCATAATATTAACAATCGGTTCTTCTTGATGGGAATGATAATATTGCTGATATGACTCTGACAAAATAAATGTTAAATATCACATCCTTTTTATCGAAGGTTTTGAGAAATATTTTCCCTCGTGTAATGTTTGGTATGTATGTTTTACCTGTCTGATTTGGATAGTGATTAAAGATGCTGATAAGATCAGATCACACCAGTGTAAAATTATGCAAATATCTTATAGTGAAATTAATGTATTAGTGTTGTCTTTGTCCACAGCACCTTCACCACAGGACATTTATGAGTTGAACTCAAAGTGAGAGTGAGATGTTAAAATTTATCTTGCAAAGCCAGTCACTGAATCTTGCACAATCACAAAATTATCAATGAAAATAAGTCACATTTCATCCGCAGATTTCAATCGATATTATGATTATCGAGTTACAGGACGATTTCTAAAGAAGAGATAAACTAGTGTCACACTATACCTGTGACATTATTGAAAAAGCTTTTGTTCTCTTATGGATCATTTGCTCCCTCCATACACATGCTCTGTCCATTGAATACAATTATCAGATACTCCAGTCTGATTAGATTGTATGACTGTGTATTGCCTTGTTTGTTTACCTACCATTTGTTAGTGGACAATTTTTTTTTTTTATTTTGTAACTGGTTGGCTAATTAAATATGTAATTTTCTTTTATCTCTTATTTTGTTTGCATGTGTCGTGATACTTGTTCAAATTCATCCTGGCAATATCACTTGACTTGTGCCATGACTTTTGATCCTACGCATTTTGCCATGGTAACCATATCATTCCTGTTCCCCCCTCCTTCCCGCCCACATCCTCGTCCTCTGTCTTTCGTCTGACTCGCCTGAATAAAAGTTCCCATGATGCACGGTGCCACCACCTCCACTGTTTCGTCGGCCTCGACCCCAGTCACCAATGTTCCTTTCGCTGAATCTGCCGCCTCGAATCAGGTTTGCTCTTTCATTTCAGTTCTCTTTTATTTTAGCTCTGTAGGTTCTGAGTCCTTTTCATCAGTTTAAAGAAACGCCTGCTTGTAGCGTCACATGTATCATGTTCACATTTCATCTGTCTTCACTGATGTGAGCAAATGAAAACAGAATTTATTTTGAGTGGAATCTTAAGATAAGTGACTGTTTTCATCTGAATGTCTTAGTTTGGTGTTGAACCATATCATTACTCACTGTCTGTCCCTGTGTTCATTGTTGCTCTAAGTCATCTATGGACATACAGTATGTGGTGTGGCAACCCTGCTGTAACAATAATACAATGACTCTCCTCCTGTTTCAGTGAATTTCCCTCTATATACGGTCTTTATCATTTCATGGTGATTTACAAACATCAGGAGAATTTAGCATCTGAGTTACTTTGTAATAGTCTGTTCACTGCAGTATTTATTGGAGTTTTTTTCAAAACAGCAGATATTACTTTCCTCCAGCAACAAATGCTTTTGACCGTTCACTTCATCTTATTCATTCATTCCTAAATTATATGCAAGAATCCAAAAGAGACACCTGCTATTTTTTTGTGAAACAGTTTAGTCTGAGAATGATTGTGATTGGTTATTGGTTATTAAAGCTGATATAAAATAATAATAATGTAACCGTAGTTTTTTACAGTAAAATACTTTATGAATTATTAATGTAACCGACTACTGGTTGTTATAACGTATATTAGTTTTCCAATATTAGTTTTCATTATCAAAGATCTGAGTATAATCAGAAGCTTCAAAAGTGGAAAATATAAAACTTGTTCAGAAAGAAAAACCTGTAAACATACCTGCTGCCACACAACATTCCAGTGGTTTATCTAGTTTGTGCTTGTCTCTTTTCACTGTCTTGGTTTCTGAACACACAGTTTTTTCCGCCATCTAGAAGACAACATTTTCTGCTGTTCATGTTTGTTCATTATGACAACTTCCACAGACTTAAACACTGGCCAAGCTCCATGATATATCACAAGAAAACATGAGCATCATTTTGGTTTTGCCAGTATTTCTGTTCACACATTATTTTACAATGCGCACTTATGTTCACTTCCTGCAAATGACCTGAGAACCACAGGAAATAAGGATTTTTATGTGTTTACTACAACCTCTAATCCAGTTTCAGTGCAAAAATATTTCATTTTTTCTGTCCAATTAAGGTCTGATGATTTTGCACCCAGAATAAAGAAAGTATCTGAATCCTCATAATGTGACATTTTTTTAAAGTTCAGTACAAAATAGCTCAAAATATTGGTTGCTGGCTGCTTCAGTCGAACAATGATGACAACACTTATTCAGTACAACCTAAGCGCTAACCTGTCGTAATTTTTAAAAATTAATATTGTCATGTTTAGGCTGAATTGTTAAAATCTGAAAAATACTGGCTTTACTTACTTATTTTTAACACTAACTTTATCTTATAGAATAATCTACTGAAGGTTATTAAAAGATGTTTGTGTCCGTTTGAATTCATCATTCCTCCTCTCTCTCCGCCCTCTCTCTCGCTTCCAGTAGATCCCTCGGAGCTTCTGACTTCTGATCCAGTGGAGCTTCAGTGCGTTCCCATGGAAACTCATTTCTGTCCCATCCCTAAAGTGCTGGTGGCGGCTCCAGTGGCGCTAAACTCAGTAAGCCTTTCCCGAAACCCCAGTTAAAGCCCCTGAAACATGCGCAGTACCAGGGTGGTCATCTTTCTGAATGCAGCAAACATGTGCCTCACCTACAGTGCACACTGACTGAGTGGCAATGTGAAACTTCTTATAAGATATTATGAAAGTAGGAAAGCTGCGATGGTTCACGCAATACAAGCCTGGACGTATTACCGTTGCTTTAAAGCAGCCATCCTGATGCATACTGACTTGATCAGGCTGAGCAATAGAGCTCCCTCGTTCTTACAGCCATACATGCCCACACCTTAAAAGTGCAGCATACATATGCATACAAACACACACACAAATGCACACATACAGATTTGGGACTAAAAGCCCTTTATGGGTTGGAGCCATCATATGCGGCGACCCAAAACATTTGACTGTTCCAAAGTCAGAAACTCTGAAAAGTTAATTCTGGAAATTCAGACCATTTAAGTGGCACTTGCGGACCTGCCACTGGTCTACAAACATTACGTGTTGTCAAAATGAAAGAGTGTTTCATATCATGTCATGTTTACGTTTCAAGATGGCTACAAATGTAACATTCGTGCTGTACCATGTATACCATTCAGTTTGTTCTCAATCTCATCTTGCCTGATGAAACGCCATTGAGTTGTTGTTAATTTGTTTGTGCCTTTGATTTATCAGCTCGGCTGCAGAGGAGACTTAGTTTCCCAAAATATTTCAAAACATTTAACAGCATACATAGAAAGATGTTGTTATTTGCAATTACAGGCCATATCTGTTGTTACAAAAAATACTGTGTATTAGCCTATAGTTCCTATTGTAAGAAAATCTAGTAATTACAGTGATCACAACTTTATATTGTTTCATAAATGTTAAGGAAAACAGTTGAAACAGTTTTTGTCCCCCGGTGTCCAAGTCAGTAACTGGTACTTACTATAATAATAGCAGCAAATGAGACATTACTTTTCTCATTACTTACTTTTAATACAACCACCCAAAAAACAAATGGAAAGAATGACATAAAATTAGGATACAATTGTTTCTGTACTAAAGGGGCTGAGTTGAGAGATTTTTCTTAATGTGGCTCTTAATTTCTGGATTTAAAACACAAACTGCCTTAAAGCAGGTGAGTTCTCTGTGTGAAGGCTCAGCTCAAATGATTGAAACTGTTGAATTTGAGTGAAGTATCTTCATCATGACATCTAATCAGTGATTCTTGCCTGCGCTGGGTAATTGTCTAATGACTGAAAAGGAAGGTTTGTTCGTCCCGTTTTCACCATGATTTCATAGCCAAACATGGTGTTAAAAAAATGACAATCTACCAGCGCAGTCATGTTGACCTCCTATTACAACAATGAGTCCTGGCCTCAGTCACAAACCCAGATTTCCTGTGTCCAACTTAGCTGAAACCAAGACAAAATGATATTTGTGAGGCTTGGATCTAAGAGTACAGACTTTTATCATTGGCACTTGTTAAACTTTTACACCTGATGTCAGAGATGGAAGCTGGATTTGTTTCCTGATGTTGTGCCTAAAGTCTGTGTGTGCCAAGTGGTGGTATATGCAAGGAGCTTCCCCATTTAATGCAATACCTGAATAACTCCTCCTAATAAATGTCTCCCTCTTAAATGCAGATATGTATTTTAAAAAGGCAGTTCGTGTAATTGTCTCCATTAGTGGAGAATCTTGGATTGAATGAGTGGCACAAGATTTTTATGTTTTATGGCTCTTCAGGGAGAAAGCTTAGAACTTGAAAATGTCCTGTCTGACTTTAAAATGTGTCGTCTTTTCTACTGATGTGTCCTTTTTGTCAAAAGTCGTCAGACTCTAAATATTGCAGCGACAGTTGTTATAACCAGAACTGAGTTGTGGCAAAGTCAGGAGATGGAGGAATAAATCACCCGTTTGATGTCTGTTGGTAAAAAATTACAAATCAGTTGGATTCCTGGTTTTCAAATGTCTGTAAGGAATTGCTCTGTAGGCGTGTAAAATTGAACGTAACAGCTTTGGAAACTGGGCTGAAATAACTTTTATCCAAATTCAAATGTGCCTCTTTCAAGTCTCCTCAAACCACAGCTGTCAATTACACTGTAAGAACAGACCAGTGCTCAAAGATAGATGTGTTATTTGGTACATTATTATAATAGTAAATCATATCTGTACTAGTTTCTTCTCTGAGACAGCTGTGCTGTCTTATTGTTTATGTAAAGTAAATAAATCAGTGAGTTGTGTGCATAGTTAAGTGTGTTGAAAGAGACAATGAATCACATATTGGTTAGTTGTAAATGCTGCAGATATTACAACATTTCCCACTGAACATTATTCATTTTAAATAATGTCATTGTGTCGTGAATGTATCTAATGCAAAAACTCTATACATGCCCCTCTAAAAGACAGGCATGTTGAAATGTAATGATTCACTATATATAGACTAATTCTGAGGTCACACAGGTACCATGCTGATACTGTGTTAAGACATATTAAAGTATGTGTATTGTTATATAGATTTATATTTAATGTCAGTGGGTGGTGTGACTACTTTTAGAAATATCTTTCACTCTCAGAAAAGGTATAGCTGAATTGTACTTTTTGAAGTACAAATGTACACCCTACAGGTACATTACAGTACCCTTTCTTGCTAGTCAGTTTTTGTACCCCAACCTTTGAAAGTACCCAAAGTGCCCAAAATGCACCGAACAATGATATAATCATTGGGCAAAATTGAGAAAATTGTTTCTGCTAACTCCCACTCTTGGTCTTAGAGACTGCATACAAAAGTAACAGTGAAGTAAGACCATCCAGTAGGAGTTGCTAGTATTGCAACAGGGATGTAATCCCTTACTGGCTCCCCATCCATTAACACATCTGTGTTCAAGGGGAAGTTGGAAACAACACTTCAGCTGAATTGGTATAAATGTGTCCCTTAAAGAAACAGTATGCTTATTCGCTGTCTTTTGAAGTCGTATGAGAAGTCGAATATTGCTCTCATGTTTGTGTGTTAAATGTAAAGCCAATTAGTTTAACACAAAAACTAGAGGCAGGGGGAGGTAGCTAGCCTGGAATTGTCTAACTCTGAAACTCAATAATTAACACATCGTGTCTTGTTTCTTTTTTGTTTTTTTTTCATCAGTACAGAAACAGATATGTAAAAAACAATTTGTAATTTTAGTCAGAACTACTACTTGGTGAACAACAGCTAGGCGCAATGACATTCTGGAATCTTGTTGTCACAGTGAGGTTGCCAGGCAACCAGCACGAGAGCCAGGAGCAGTGACATTCCGGAATCTTGTTGTCACAGTGAGGTTGCCAGGCAACCAGCACGAGAGCCAGGAGCAGTGACATTCCGGAATCTTGTTGTCACAGTGAGGTTGCCAGGCAACCAGCACTATAGCTAGAGACTTAAGTCCTGGGTGGTTGGATAATGAGCAAATATGCCAATAGTAATTTTTTAAGACCTAAACAATCTTGGAAGAATTGTGACCAAGATTCATATATATGTGACATTTACAGTTACAAAATCAACTTGTCAACGCTCTCTAGTGGACAAACTATGTAATTTTTACATGGTCTCTAAATGACTTTAAACCCATTTCTGTAATGCAGTTTCTTGCTACTTATTGGCCAACATAATATTTTCCCCTTGTTTCTAGTCTTCATGGTTCGAGCTTCATAATATGATACAGACATGAGAGTGATTTCAATCTTCTCATCTAACCCTCAAAAACAAATGAATATGTGTATTTTCTAAAAAAAAAAAAAAAAAAAAAAAAAATAGCTGAAGTATTTATTTAAACTATCATTTACTTTTTATCTACATGTGTATCAAACAGTATGTAGCCTGTTATATGCCTGGTGTCGTACAGCAATGTACTTTTTGTTACAGAAATACACTTCTCCTTTACCTCTGTTTTTCAGTGTGTTTAGCAGCTACATACAAGTCTCTGAAGAATTTGAATGGTAATGTTCCTCTCCTGCTTGATGAAATTGATAATTAGAATGTCCAGACAATTTGTCTAAATTTTACAGCTTTGGAAGACTAGGTTTGTCGAGCCAAGAAAACCCCTCCCTCTAGCCTTCATTTCTTCCCCCCATCACATCATTATGCCTTTACTAACTGCTGTCCAGCTGAAAAAAAACAGAATACTTGATTAAAAAATGGTGCCTCTTGAGGGCATTTGAACTTTAAAGTACACGTAGACATATGTATTGATGCACAAGAGTGTGTTAGTTAGGGGATCTGCAGTGTGGCACGAGAAAAATTACGTTTTACCTCTTTCCCTTTCTCATTCTTTTGTATTTTATTTCCCTATATGCAAAATGCTCTGATCATTGTGTCCAGTGATCAGATCCTTTAGCATGTGGACATTTAATTAAGTCCTGAACATACTTTTTCCGGGGCACAAAAAAAGGGCCTTATCTCACGATCACTGTATAAAGATGTGATAGCTGTGTATGAACATGACATGTATTAATGGTAAGTTAAGCTTTTTTTTTTTTTTTTTTAAATCTGACTTAAAAAAAAAACAGCATGAAAATAAAAAAAACTCATTTATATATAGTTAATAGTTTGTGTAGACCAACAAGAAAAAAAGATATAATATGAAAATCATTTGTATACAATGATGGAGTCATTGGTAATAGTTGCTGTTGCTATGGCAACAAAATGACAACATGGCTACCTTTCTATTATCCTAATTGTGAATTTTTTCACATTAATTGAAATAACATACAACACTAACTTATTCAAGAAGGGAATGTCTAATTAGTTTGTCTTGTTATTGCGACATGATTAAATATTTTGTATGGAAAACTTAAATCCTTGTAATATCCAAAGGTCCTTAGGGGAGATCAGGTGTTTATTTTGTTTTGTTTATTTGACCTTAATTATTTTTTGTTCTTGTACATGGTGTTTTTGAGAAATAAGAATGGACTTTGGCTTTTAAAGCAAACACCTATCTGTCAGGGAGGTAAAGAGGCTTTTGGACTAATTGAAAGATCTTCATCTTTTTTTATATAAAGTCAAACTAGTCAGCAATGCTCACGGTTCTCCTCCTGCCTGCAGACTGGAAGGCTTCGCTCAGTTGTCTCTGTATGGAGGTTTGAGGTTTCATTAGTGAGTTCTCTTTCTGTTTTGGCAAAGAATGTGGTCCAGAAGTCTCTTCCTGCCCAGCTGTGCTGGGTGATGTCGATCCTTACTGAGGTGTATATGAATGTGTGACGTTCACCTTGTTTGCACTTATGTACATAACTATGTCAAAATACTCAAAATTTATTTTGAATAAATATAGATAAAAGAGTTGATTAAAAATCAAATCAATGTATTGTTAATGATATGTCTATCATTTTATTACAGTATAAAAAGATCGCTTTGAGGGATCTGTTCTTTTGTTTGTTTGTTTTGCTAGAGCCCTGTTCTTCCCCAAGCATGACATTGCCTTGCTGTAAACCATACCAATAGTTTGCTTTAAAAAAGCTTTTTGAGTTTATTTACAGCGGCATTTTTGGTTCAGTAATATCTGACCCTGACATCTAAGAATAGAGGTGGATTTGAAGAAATAGTCAGTCTGGAATATATGTAATAAACCAGTACTAACATTGTTATTATATGCTCATCATGATTACACAAATGCAGGTGCATTCCTCTCTCCAGTAATGCACCAAAAGCACAGGGTAGCTCCACCTGAAGGCTGCAAAACAGCCAGGAAAAAAAGAGGAGCAGATATAAAAATCAGACTTTAGAGGGACATAGATGTAAGATGTTTTCAGAAAGTTTTAAACTCACTTTAATTTCTGTCATTTTGTGGAATGGGTTATTCTTTGCTCCCTTGTTGTCATTATCCAAAACAACAATAAATCTGAATTCTCCTCAGGATTTTAGTCAAAATTGCAAACAACCTGGTTTTCCAATGTTATTCTTGCAGCAGCAGCAACATCCTTACGCAACTGTGTTCCTGCAGATTTGGACATTTGATGCTCTTCAATTGCTCTCGAAGCCAGCAATTTTGTTGCCATGGCACTTGTCCTAGTGGTGGACTGACTGAGTCATCCTGGTGAATCGGTTCACAGCCCTCCGACTGTTGAATATTGACTTTAAAGTGTATGTTCACAGAGATGGATCTCTGTACGACGTGTACCCAAAACTCACCAAAGCTTCTCTACTGTGACTCACCAGCTCCCATAATCACTGCAGTGTCAATGTACAGATGGGAAAAAGTACATGTGAAGTTGTCTGAACATGCTGTGGGTATTCAGTCAACAATAACGGTGATAGGAAAAGATTGCAATTTTGTTTTGAAATGGATTTTTTGTTTTGTTGTTTTTTTAAAGTTATTTTTTGTAATAGTCACATGACAGTGAGACAGGAAGGCCAGGATGAGGGAGGGGGGGGGGGGGGGGGGGGGGGGGTGACATGCAGCAAACGGCTGTGGGTTGGACTCGAACCCATGGCCGCTGTGGTTAGGACTAAGCCGACGTGGCACTCTACCAGGTGAGCCACAGAGGCGCCCCTGAAATAGATTTATTGTTACCATTATTTCAAAACAGTTCAGTTGTAATTGTGCCTTTATCATTCAAAATGTAGTTTACTTTATACGTTCTACATGTGAATTGACTTAAAACAGCACACGTGTAGAGTGTGTATAAAACTTATCCCTTTATTTAAAATCCTCTGTTGGTGAGTCGTTATTACATTGGGTACAGTCGCAGATTGAGTGGCAACCTGTGGAAGGTGATGAGGGCCAAAGACTGTTCAGGACTAAGCCATATGAAAAACTCTCTCTGACACTCTAGGACAGACTTGAAAGTGACTGTTGTTTCTTAGTCACCTATCGCTTCACTCTGTTTTCTGCTTGTGGTGCTTGTATGTGCTGCTGTGCTACATGCCAATTTATTTTGCAGTGTATCGCTATTAAGAGTAAGTTACTGTGCCTATGATGAGTTCTGCGATTTCTGTTTGACCTTTAATAAAACACATAATTGTGATCCTCTTGTTGTGAGTTTTGTTGTTTATTATCTTTTTGTGTCACCTTTAAAGAGAGATCTTTTACCTTTTGTATGACCTGATATTTTGACAACTTAACCTTAGATTTACAGTTGAAGTCATGGATGTCTAATGAACATAGACTTTCAGTATATTGAAATATTGCATGCAAAACTTCAATTCTACCGCAATTAAAACAAGTGTTTTGATTATCACTTGTCAAAAGATGCCAATACTTACACCTTCTGTTCCAGATTATAATCTTTAGATTCGATCATGGCCTTTACATATCAGACCAAACTAAACTTTTTTAGTGTCAAAATAATTGTATATAATTTTGGGAGTACTTATCCAGGCATCAACTGTTCTGCGAGGAAAACCAGAATACACAAAAACATGAATCATACCTTGATATCTGCACTCAAAATTTAGATTTTTAATTTTGTTGAGTAACAGGTTGAAAATTATTGTTTCACCAGCCTCTCTGATTTAAAGTGTCAAGACTGTTGCACTTGTAACCACACCCGACTGCAATAATAAAATTTTTATTAGCATTATAAGAAAAATATCACTGTTGGCTGAATGAATACTTTGAGAAAGTATTTCTTAAATCTATACTAATATTATAGGACTAGATGTACCAAGTAATATTTTTTATGTTCAGTTTACTATAGTGTCTAGCACTAATGAGCAACTTGTCAACAAAACAGAGAAATGAAATATAACAAGACTGCTTAACAGGCAACAGCAGGGATGTCCATTAAGTACTGATTTAGTAGGGTGCCAAAGCATTTGCGCATTAATACAATTATTAATTTATTTTAATTATTATTAATTTAACAAGGGCAGTGCACAATACAACGTTTGGGGAAGCTTTTTATGTCTGTTTCCTGCAGCGGTTGTATTTACTTCTTTGAAACTTTTGCATACAACTGCATCAGACCACTGTTAGTAAAGCTCTGCCAGTATTTAGGCCCGCAGAGAGGAGGCTTTTATTCTGAAAAGGAGTCCCACCGGAGGTCTTGTTCTCGTTAGCGGAAATCAGGCTGTTAGCTTCAGGAAACCCACTGGTGGAGAAAAGCTTTTCTTTCTGTTATCAAACCTGCCCAGCACGGAGTCAAACACACACCGGAGCTGCAACAAACTCCAGCCAATGGACCCCCGGATTGTAATACAGAATCTGCGGGTGGTCCATCGATAGCACGCCCGGGTGCCGAGGCGTTGGGCCGGAACCAGAACCAGGCCCAGACGGACGGACAGACATAACCAGCGCTGCGTTCTGCGACGCCGGCGGGCTGGTGTGTGTGTGTGTATGTGTGTGTCGGAATTGGCATGCTGTCTGTAGGGGAAGTGTAATGTGTATCTTGCTGTCTGTAGCTAGGCAGCAAGTCCCCGGTACCGGTGGTCGATGTAGAGGCTTGAGGCTCGAGCATGGGACAGCGAGCTAGCTTTACCGCTAGCTAACACCGGAGTTAACGGACATCAACTTTTACTCGCTATCAGCATAAGAAAAACCACAAGTATGAGCGGTAGACTTGGGTTTAGTGAATGAAGAGGGTTTATTTTATACCGTGTAACATTTGTCAGTTCGCTTGTTTGCTCTTGTAAAGGCCTGATAAATGTTTCTGGAGCGAGTACAGCAGTGTAGCTAAATCGTTAGCTGCTAAGTTAGCCTACCTCCACCGCCCCAATGAAAGAGTACAAAGTTGTCGTGCTGGGTAGCGGCGGCGTCGGCAAGTCCGCGCTGACCGTCCAGTTTGTCACCGGCACCTTCATCGAGAAATACGACCCGACCATTGAGGACTTCTACCGCAAGGAGATCGAGGTGGACTCATCGCCCTCCGTGCTGGAGATCCTGGACACGGCGGGGACGGAGCAGTTCGCCTCCATGAGGGATCTGTACATAAAGAACGGGCAGGGGTTCATCCTGGTCTACAGCCTGGTCAACCAGCAGTCATTCCAGGTACCTGTGTATGCAGGTCACTTTATCTGACTTAAACCACCCTACGTGGAAATGATTCATAACTATAGGTAGTTAATACGGTTATTTGTGACTGCATGCATCTCATGTAGTAAGTGCTGCTAATCAAAGCCCAGCACCGTCCACATGTAACGTCACTATTCAAAAACAGAAATACTTTTGGTCAAAAATGGAAACATATAATCTAGTGGCTCTCTACAGCAGGCTGGAACTAACGATTATTTTCTCAATTAATGTCAGTCAGTCAAAAACGGCAATCCGAAACTCAAAAGTTATTTCTACTACCATCATATGTGGTCAGTAAAAGCAGCAGGTCTTCACACTGGAGAAGCTGGAGCCAGCAAATGTTTGGAATGGCTGAACCGATTTTGCTATATGATTATTATTAAGATAACTCTTAATGATAAATGAGCAATTGGCATCATTATATAGTTGTGTTTTTGTGCCTTGTGTACAATAACTGACTATATCCTGTCTTTCCAAATGTAGAGAGAAAATTGGAAAATAATTCTGAAAAGGAGGAATCAATGCTATATTTATTACAGGGTTTCAACTAAGGTGTATTTGTACAACTAAATATCCTTTTTGTATTGTGTTGTGGAAAAGGGTAATCAACGGTGTAAGCATGCATGCAGACCTTTTTTGTTTATGCTTAGTTTTTCTGTTTTTCACAGTTGAATATCTGATGATAAGAAATCATATGTAGTATGGAACTAGGACACAACTATAGTGTCATTCTTGTTTTTGTCCCTTAAAGAAAGCTTAGTGGTTTTCAAGAGAAATTACTCTCATGCTCCTCTCCCTCTTCATTTTTCAGGACATCAGACCGATGCGAGACCAAATAGTGAGAGTGAAGCGCTTTGAGAAGGTGCCATTGATCTTGGTCGGGAACAAAGTCGACCTGGAGTCTGAGCGTGAGGTCGCCGGGTCGGATGGACGAGCTCTGGCTCAAGAGTGGGGCTGCCCCTTTATTGAAACGTCTGCCAAAAGCAAGACCATGGTGGATGAGCTGTTTGCAGAGATCGTGCGACAGATGAATTATTCCACACTGCCAGAGAAGCAGGAACAGTGCTGCACAGCCTGCGTGGTACAGTGAGGAAGAGGTACGAGTGCTGCGAGTGCCATCCTCTTAAGGTTGAATTCATACCAAAGAGCTCACAAGCACAGCACAGTTGGCCACTCTCTAATTTTTTACTAAATGTGATAAAATGTCCCTCCAGTGCTTGTGTAAAAATGGTTCACAAACTGAGGAGAAATGTGACACATGGATGACTGTGTGGCGTTTCAGTGTAGTGTGAGGGAGAGGAGATTCGGCTGGAAGTGCGAAAGACAAGTGGGTGGTGCTGCTCCGCGCAAACCGTTGGTTTAGTTTGTTATCATAAGATCGCAGCAAGTATGCGGCATGAAGAACACAACTGTCTGAACAGCTCAGGGCTGGGAGAGGGAAAAGACCCTATAGAGCAGAGACTAATGAAGCTGGCAGTCCTGTGAGCCGACCCGTAGAAAGAGGAAAATGTAACATCCTGAAAAAGAAATTATGTTCCAAAACAGGAAGTTCACTTCAGATTCAGTGAGAGATGTGGCCTGTGTTAACCACTGCAACACAGATGCCAGTTTTAAGCCCTTTAAACCTGTTGTATTAATCACTTATTTTGTATTTTTCTCTTTTCTTTTTTTAACAGATGTATCGTATGTCTGGATCACCACAAGCATTTTGATGAACCGTGGAACAACCTGACTTTGACCCTACTGACAAAAACTTACCAGAGCTGGTAACGTTTTTGTTCACGGTGGTTTCTGACTGTCGATCACAGAGCATCTGACAGGAAAGACGTCAGTCCTATTTTTGATATCACAACTGATGAAAGACGTTTCTGCTGCAACCTCAACGGCCTTTGTGATGACCCAGGATGGAGTCAGACAGACGGACTTGGCCATCTGTGAAAATTTCTGTCTTTTTTTTTTTTTTTTTTTCTCCTTTTAGTCAGAAGTATCCCAGAAATAATAAACAGGAGTGTTTGTGAGGTTGCAGCTTCTTTTTAAAGCTGCTTTAATCACTATTATATACTTTATTACTATTACTTGTATTATGTCTCAAGTTTGGAATTTGACAAAGTATTTCATAATATTGAAACATTTTGACTTTTAAGCATGCATACTTCAAACAGTTTGCTGCCCAGGTATACTGCTGGCTTTACTTTGAAAATCTTGTCAATGACAGTTCCTCTAACTGACACAAACAGCACTATGTATTAAGAGTTTTTTTTAAACTTCAGGACACTTGGACAGTATGTATGACTGTGGATTAAACTGTTACTTTATCCACCAGTCCACTCTGTCGCCCTGTGGTCTAAAACTTACCGTTTTTATTCTTGTAGTAGCCTGAAGCAGCTAAACTCATCTGAAAACATGCATGCTGAAAATTGAAAATGTTCTACTAAATCAACTTGAAGTGATAAGGAAGAGCCATTTTACTGTTTTTAGCCTGAATTCTGTCAGTCTCTACAAGGCATGAATCGCGTGGACGCAGGTCTTCCATTTTCAATTTTCTCGAGGAGTCTCGGTGGGAGAATGATTGTGGAACGACCAAAGAAAGCTCACATTGCATATTTGTGATTGACTACATGATGTGTGTTGCTTTAAATCCAGGAGACGCTGATTTCATGTCATTAAATAACTTCTGCCGCAATGTGGTTTGATAAAAGTTCTGGCACAGTTAATCAGATTTAACTTTGTATTTTTCTTTCTTATAGTAACCTATTTATTAAAAACTAATGACATGGGTAGCCAGTTTTAAACTTTTAATTTTATACTAGTTTTTGCTTTTTGTGACTTTTCACAATTCATGGTATATTTGTTTTTTTGAAGCTGAGAATTTAACAGAGCCTTAAATAATTTCTGTTGCACCCTGGTCTCATGTTTCTTTTTTGTGTCCTCAAAGACACAGCTGTCATCTGGTAATAAACATGCTGCCCTTCCTGCTTTTATCATGGGACATAGTTACAGTTTTATCTTTGACTGATACACAACAAACGCTAGTTTTCCTCCTGTTGACCTCGATCTGACAATTTCTCATTTTAGCTTCAGAAACCAGTAACAAAATGAACCAAGTTCAGTTTTTGCCTTTTCATGCCTCATTTTTCCCACTGGTTATGTGCAATTCCACAGCACCCTCACATTGCAGAGACTGGTGGTCACTCTGATTTAAATGAAATATAGAGCTGAAACGAATGATTGATAGAAAGTAAAAAAAGCCAAACATTTGCTTGCACCAGTTCCTCAATTTTGTAGATTTGATGCTTTTATTTGTCATATATCATTGTGAAGTCAATGTCTTTGAGTTTTGGATTGTTGGTTGGACTGAACAAGGCATGTGAAGATCTTACCTTAGGCTCTGGGAACTCATGAAAGGCCCTTTTAATTATTTTCAGACATTTTATTTTACTAATCAATTAATAGAGGAGATAATCGTCAGATGAAGTGAGGATGAAAGCAACTGTCAGCTGCAGCCGTATGTATGTGGCTGTTCCAATGTGAAAGATAAAGTAATGGTTGGTTTCACATTTTTTTCAGCTGTCTTAAAACAATTCTTACCTGTTTCTCTGTCATGAGAAAAGGCAACACTCCATATGTTAAAAACAGCAAAACAGTCACCTCATGTTTGATCCTTTATTTATTATTTGCAATAAATGACCTGGAAAAAAAACTTGCCCAAATTATGAACGTGAGGCATGACTGTTTTTGGGAGTAGAGGTTAGTGAGCTCAGAAGAGGTTACTGTTTTTAGAGGCAGAGCATCCAAGTAAAGTTTAGTGTAGGGGAAACGCACCTGTTTCCTCTTAAGAACTCTACTCACATGCCCATATATATGCTGAAGAAGCTTTTAGTTGGTGTAATTGTTCCTCTTGTCCATACCCATTGTAAAAACCACTTCATAACATAATTCCAAAGTAAGTGATGGGAGACAGGTTTCTTTTTAGGAAGATATGCATTTAATACGGTGAGCTCTGCTCAAGCCTCGTGTTTGCTGCAGATAAGCCTTATGATGCATTTTTACAGTAAACGAGGGCTGTGAATTTTAACTGCCATCACTTAACTCATTAGAATCACAATATGAAGTGATCAATCCACAGGTGGATAGATGCCAGAAATAAGTGCTGTGATCATTAACTTTTTCAGTGTACATATGATGATTGTTTTAAGACAGTTGAAAAAAATGTGAACCTTTAAACTCTTGTACCCATTTTTTCTTTTTCTTTTTTTTCTTTTTTTTTTTGTGCAGTTTTGTAAAACCCATTATCAGCAACCTAACTGTAAATCCTCATCTCATGTAGTATGAGCCCACATAGCGACATGTAATGTTTCTGGTAAAATCTTGGTCAGAGAAACAGTTAAAACCTTTTCTCAAGCTACATTGTCTAAAAATACCACCACACTTTTCACTTCCTTGTAGCTTTGTGTGTGTGTGTGTGTGTTTTTTTTTCATGTACCAGCCTGGCTGAACGCAGTTGATGTGCGCTTTGCAAGTTTTTTTTTCTCTCGCATTTGTCACACATGGTACCGCTGTAGATTTCACATCCCACGGAGCACAAATCTGGCTCTTCTTCCTCTCGCTCTGCAGTTGTCAGGTGGAGCTGCTGGGTTCTCGCTGAGCCACTGCATCCTTCACTGAGCTGGCAGCAGCTGCTGTGTGGGTGTGTATGGGTAGTATGTTAAACAAGACACTTTAAGTGCTCATACCTTGAAAAACAGTGTTTGTATCCCTGTAGAGGCAAGCAGATGAGTATGATGGCCTGTCAGCAGTGAAGAGAATAGTTCCAACCTGTTCCTTCACACTGTCTGTGGTTAGAGTTAGTTATAAAGTAACGCCTGTGTAAAACCTCAGCCAAAGGAATTGGCTCACGAACTGGACTAATTTGACTATTATTGTTTATTATTTATTATTAACTATTATTATTATTATTATCGCTAATGAGCTGCTGGACACCTGAATTTGCCCTGGGGGATAAATAGAGTATCTATCTATCTATCTATCTATCTATCTATCTATCTATCTATCTATCTATCTATCTATCTATCTATCTATCTACCTATCTATCTATCTATCACCATTTAATTAACTCTAATTGGACAATAAAAATAGGAATTAATAAAAGATTTTACAACTGAACTAATTCATAAATAAATAGCGAAATTACTTAAAGCAGCTATAATCACTATCTCTATAATGACAAAGTGAAAATGTGAAAGGGGTTGTCATAACCTTATTAAATACAGGGACATTTCCTCCCTAAACTTCTCAGGTCAGATCAGAGAAAATTCCAAAAAATGAATACAAATGTGTGAACAATGTCACAACTACTACTTTTCTTCTGTCCTCCTCCATTAATCATCTCATTACCCCTCTTGTGACCCTTTGGAGGGGTCTGACCCCGAGGTTGGGAACCACCACACTAAACTATTGACCTTTATGTATAAAGTGGTTAAAACTCGCCCTACCTCAACTTGAGCAGCTACAACAGTAAAATGCCACTTATGGATGGGCGCATTAGTGTTAAATAATCTAATAATGTCATATATATTTTAATGCATCGGCCACAGGGGCCATTTTATTGCACATTGAACAGTTTTACTATTGATACTTAAGGCACACCAAAGGCGTATGAAGTGAAAGTTATTATAAGCGGTGATGATGTGCCCCTGTAGCCCAGCTTTCAGTGTCAAACACAAACCTTAATGCTCTGATTCCTCTGTGGAGCTCCGTCAGCAGGTTCGCTGCCGTACACCTGCATGTTCCAGCTACACAAAGTCTTCACATCACATACTGCCCACACTCAATTTGCAGGCATGCTTGCTTAGCATAAATTGAAAGCATAGCAACTCTTTGAAATAGACAAAGACTCTTATTCACTGTCACTTAAAAATGAGGAGCAGATGCTCAACTCAAATGCATCTAGTGGCGAACAGTTCGTCTCAATCAGTCGGTGGTGTGTCCTTAAATTCCTCATAATGTGGATGAATTTCAGTGTTCTCCTGAACTTTCTTCCAGCTTTTTATCCCCCTACTTGTCTTGTGTTTCTACTTGTCAGGCGTGAACAATGTGAGCCTCCATCCTGCCCTTCTCTCTACAGTCTGTAAGTACTGTCACCTTCAAGTCGAGCACACAGTACACAGCAGTTTGCCAAGAGCTGCAGGAACCAGCAAACACCCCATTAGTGACACACCTGACCCGAGCTTTGTTTTATCAGTCTGTTTTCAATTAATTAATTAATTAATCAAACATGAATATGCACCATTTGAGTAAAATATCAGCTCAAATACTGACAGTCCTCAAAGGCAAGATCTGAATACTTTCTGATCTCACTCATGTAGGACTTTCTGTTTATCAGTACAGTGTAGTCACCATGTACCCTCTGTGCTAACTGCAATTTTAAATGTTTTTCAGAAACCACAAATTAAATGACATCAGCTACAAATATTTAAAATTTAAGATTTCTTTTTTGTTTTGGATTCTTTATTTATACGTGACTGTTTTGTATATTGAACATTTCTTGAAGCTAATTTCTCTATCTCAAGGGATATTAGATTTGTATTATATTGTAGAGGAGTCATGATGCTTTACTGTTGTAATTCATGTATTACTGTGAAGCTCAGCAGCATTAAAACAGTGATCATATGTGGACTGTTACATTACAACAAGGTGCAAACTCAGACACATTACAGTGTGCATAGAGGACGTTTCACCTCCAGACCTGCAGGTGGCAGCACGAGGTGTTTTCTCACCAGGACTGTGGCGTGAAGCGGAAGTAGCTGTCAGATCTATGGCTGCAGGATGGAGAGGAGGCTGCACAGTGTTTGAAAAAGAAACTCAACAAACAGGCTGAACACTGACAGGTTTTCACCGAGCAGACATGAAGACAGTGTTTGTGACTGTCGGCACCACGAGTTTTGATGAGCTCATTACAAACATCACGTCCTCAGAGAACGTCCAGGTGAGGGAGGTTAGAGAGTAAAGGTTCAGTTCGTTGCTAATTGTTACTGTGTACAGTCTCTGTGTGAAACTCAACACGAGTATATGATGGTGTCATGTATGTCTGTGTCACTGTTATTGTTTTGCCTTTTGTTCAATTTTGTCTTTGACAGTATCGGTGTTGTAAATTAATTTAATAACATTTACTCAACTTCAGTACAAACATGAGGTACTCATACTTCATACTCATATCAGAGGGAAATGTTGAACACTATGCAGTATATTAAACTAGCCAACAGTATTTTAAATAGTTGAAGTTGGGTAAGTTGCAATGATTAGCTGATTAATTGACAAGTGTAACTACTTTGATATTTAACCGGTCATTTAACGTCATTTTCTAACCAAAATACCAAATAGTTGATGGTTCCAGCTTCTTGAATGTGAGAATTTGTCACTTTTCTTTGTCTTAACATTACTATAAGTTGAATGTCTTTGGGCTTTGGACGGTTGGTTGGACAGACATTTTAAGACATCACCTTGGACTCTGGGAAATTGTGACGGGAATTTTTCATTATTTTCTTACATTTTATCATGAAAGTGATTAATCAAGAAAAAACTGTTAATTACTCACTATATAAGCTATATCAAATATATTATAGTGTCATAGAATTAGTATGTTTCCTCTACAGATGCAGGTGTAACTAATAAGATTAATGATGGCTCCACTGCACATTACCAGGACCCTGGAACTACAAGGAATTTTGCCATAAATTATGTTTTCAACTGTGATTGATGAAGACGATGGCGAAGTCAAAATGTCTGCCAACAGAATGGTCCATTATATTTGAAAATGTCAAGACGCACACTTAAGTAGTTAGACTTTTTTTCTCCTTTGGTTTGGTATCGATGGACAAGTTGTCCCACATTGTAATTTACATGAGAAATTGAGGAGCTACTCAAGAAAATTAAAAATTCATTAAACAACTTAAATAAATTTCCCACTGGCAGTAGTGTGTCAGAGTTGCA